TTTGCAGAGAGGAAGCATGCTCAGCACGGTGTTCCCGAACTTTGGAAGCATTTTCAGCACGGCGGACAACACCAATTACAAGAATTTGCACTTGGATTTGGAGAACCAGGGAGATGGCGAGGACTATGCTTCGGACGACGGCGGCGACCAGGATGAGAGCTTGGAGACACCATTTCTTTCTCCCGAGGCTAGTGCCATAGGCAAGGACCATGTCAATCAGGCATCTCATGGAAGCTATATGAGCACACGACTAGCAAGCAAGCTAATGCAGGAGGATGCCAGCGAACCGATCAACAGCACGGATATCGGTAGTGGTTGGAAGCTCGCATGGAAATGGTCAGGGAGAGAAGGAGAGGACGGCGTGAAAGAAGGAGTTAAGAGGATCTATTTGCATCAGGACAGCACCATTGATGGTTCTCGACATGAGTCAGCTCTTTCGATCTCGGGTGTCGATTATCATGAAGAGGGCCAATTGAGTCGCGCAGCTGCTTTGGTTAGCCGGTCTGTTCTTTTCTCTCAGGACATGATGGGTCGATCTCCAGCGGGTCTAGCAATGGTTCAGCCACCAAGAGCTGCTACAAGTGTGCCTAGCTGGCGTGATCTCTCTGAACCAGGAGTGCGTCGAGCGCTATTTGTTGGAATTGGTCTTCAAGTTCTTATGCAGGTATATGCTTGTGAAAAGTTAATCCCAATTAATCCGATTTTCTTAGCAACAGTGTAATGTTCAATTAGAAGATTTCCTTCGACCATGTCAACGAGTTAGTGTTTTCGCAGCTGTCGGGCATAAATGGAGTCCTGTACTATGCTCCTCAAATCCTCAAGCAAGCAGGTGTTGCTGTTCTTCTGTCAGGCATGGGCATTAGCACTGATTCTGCAACCTTCCTTATAAGCAGCATCATGACATTGACTATGCTACCGTGCATAACCCTTTCGATGAAGCTAATGGATGTGGCAGGAAGAAGGTAAATACTACTTTGATACAAACTGTCTAACCTGGAGAAGTTTCTGGTCATCTCGAGAAACAAAATTCACCGATGCCAGTTTAATTCTGTCCTTCCTTTTTCAGGTCTCTCTTGCTCTCCACCATCCCTATCCTGGCATTGTCGCTCCTCGTCCTGGTTGTCACCAGCATGTTCAATCTCGGTTCTGTCGCGTATGCAGTAATATCGACCATCAGCGTCATGGTTTATCAGAGCATCTTCGTCATGGGATTCGGAGTGATACCGAATATCATGTGCTCGGAAATCTTCCCTACCAAGGTCCGTGGGCTGTGCATTACAATCTGCGCTCTCACGTATTGGGCAGGAAACATCACCGTCACCTACTCGCTTCCCGTGTTGCTCAACTCAATTGGCCTTGCCGGCCTTTTCTCAATTTATGCTCTTGGGTGCATTGTGTCTTGGATATTTGTGTTTTTGAGGGTTCCCGAGACCAAGGGCATGCCTCTGGAGGTCATCTCCGAGTTATTTGCCGTGGGCGCGAATCAGGCTTCCGGTGATAATGATAGCTAAGGTGGTTGTTATGCCACAGTGTTCCTGTTTCTTGCACACTATCAACGGCGAGTTATGCACTTGGAAGTCCTAGAAATTTACTTTGAGCATATTGAGTTCCTAGGGGCACATCAGTCTTATTTTTCGCCCATTGTCGCATGCCATTACATATCCCAGCACCCTCCATTTTTGTACTTGTGGTCCTAGAGATCTTCGATACATAGACTCATCGTTGTCCTAATGGTGGTTTTGTTCATACTGTTTTCCCTTCAAGGATGTATTGCGCAAGACATATAGTCGGCCTCATGTGGCCGTGATGAGCCGTGAATCATCGTAGTCACACATCATCTGGATTGTTGTAATGTGGTCTTCATTTATTGCAGAATTACTCTGCATAGCTTGAAGAGGCCACATTGAACAGAGAAATACGCTTTTCTTTCAACTCCTGAGGCACTCTCAGGTAATGTGGAAATTGATCAGAAGAAACAGAGCGAGAGTTTTTCCATGTTTGCAAACAAATCGCGACGATTTGCAATTCGACATGTGTCGGGAGCATCTGATAACTTCTTTAGGTTTCGCGAATATTTGTTAGCAATTCGACACGACGTGTTGGAACAAGACATTGAGTTTCAAGCCGACGACCTACATCAGGATGAGACCTTTTTTTCCAGCAGCGTTCATCATGCACATCCTTCTTGAAATAAGGGGCGACAACACTTCACGGAGGTTATATCATGCGAGTTGATCATGCTACCTGTCTTAACAAGAAATTTATTCAATACTGTTGTCGGGTTGGCCAAATTCCCTGAAAAAGCATCTAACTTTGTAAGTTTCTCCCGATCGTGACACTAACTCCGCAATGTGCCCAATCTATTTCTATTTACAACCCAAAACCGGCATCGTTAAGCTACCATCCTTTTAACTTCAAAAGTCGATGCGTCATCCAACATGCATTGTCGACATCATAGTCATTGCCGACGTGCGCCGTTAGGCAAAAAGGACGACGTCGTTTTAACTAAGCATTTCATAAAAAATTAGCCATTGGCTTACTTCACTCTCGGGTTGAAGAAAATTAGGGGAGGAACTTAGGGTAATTGATGGAGCTTGCACCTTGGACCGGGCATGGCAAATAGTAGTTCGCTCAAATTAGGGCCCAATGGAACTTGCACCTTCTGCAATGGAAAAACTGCTATTTCAAAAAATAGAAATAGAAAAAACTATTTCGATCAAAAATTGTTTCAGGAACAGAAACGTTACTATGCTGACCTTCTAACTTCGCAATGTGCCCAATCTATTTCTCTTTACAACCCAAAACCGGCATCGTTAAGCTACCATCCTTTTAACTTCAAAAGTCGATGCGTCATCCAACATGCATTGTCGACATCATAGTCATTGCCGACGTGCGCCGTTAGGCAAAAAGGACGACGTCGTTTTAACTAAGCATTTCATAAAAAATTAGCCATTGGCTTACTTCACTCTCGGGTTGAAGAAAATTAGGGGAGGAACTTAGGGTAATTGATGGAGCTTGCACCTTGGACCGGGCATGGCAAATAGTAGTTCGCTCAAATTAGGGCTCAATGGAACTTGCACCTTCTGCAATGGAAAAACTTCCCAATCAATCCTAAACCTATTGTACGGATGCCAAGTCAATCCTCAGTTTTTCAAATTTGTCAATTTAGTCTTATATCTTGGTGCGAAATTCCAATATAGTCCTTTCGGTTAATTTGTTACCGGAAAACGCTGATGTGGCGGTTTAGTCACCGCTGGCCGTCCTACGCGGCACACCGTCACATCAGCGATTTCCGGCGAAAATTGGTCGAAAGAAATACATTGAAATTTCGCGCCAAGGTTTAGGACTAAATTGACAAAATTGCATAGCTTATAATAAAATTTGCATCCGTACAATATGTTTAGGATTGGTTGGACAATTGGTGAAAAACGTCAATCTCTAGAAGCCTATTTCATTTGTCCCATTAAACCCATATTTTCTCCCAAATCAGAAACCGTTGCTACAAATTTCAAAAGTCCCGACTCTATCATGCCCCTAAATCGTAGGGGCAACATCTCTCTCTTCAAGCCCCATTGTAATTGGCAAAACCACGTCGTCTCCTTCGCGCGTCAGCCATGGCCTCGAGGTGCACAGAGTACGCCGAAATGACACATCGGCTTTTCAACGTGAAAGATGAACGGTAGCTTGTAGGTGCTAACTTTGGATCCGGGTAGAAGCCGATGCTTTTCTTTTCGCACATTATAAAGTTTATGCTAGAATTGGGAAACTCGCTCGGTGAAAATCTATCGAATGGAATTCGGTCTTATTAGGCTTCGTTACTATTTATCGGAATCCGACCCTAGTTTCGCCTTTTGATTAGAAACTTTGTAATTGACTTCGTTACTACTTGTTTGGGAAGGGTAGAATGCGTGGGAACAGAATATCCGGAGAAAGAAAAAGGTGAATGAAATTGCATTAAAGAATAATTAGAAATTTGATGTGCTTTTATTTCGCGAAAAGTGAATGATTTGGACAACATTTTTCTAGATATAATTGCTGGTATTGCTTGTTCACATAAATGTTCAGACATACATTATTGTCGTTAATGAAACATTTTTCGTTGACTAATTATTTTAATCGATACAAATGATTAATTTTAAGAAAATCCTTTCCAAATCTTTTCCTTTTTGCGAAACAATCGGAACCTTGATTTCTAATGTTCTCCCCAAATTTGAGAGAAGCTGGAGAATCGAAGCTAAATGACATCTTTGTCATTGTCTTTTGACCCAAAATCATAAATCTGAAAGAACTTGTGAAGGTTTTGTAAGGATAAATGTGTCATTTCCTCCGCTTATTCTTTTTTCCTAAATAAAAGCAAACCCAAAAACATTTTCTTCACTTCCACTTTCTACCCTTCCCCAGCATCAAAGGAATTCTTTCTTCGACTTTTATCTCATCACCCTCCTTCTCTTGGCCCACCATTAAAGTCCTTCCTCACAATGAAGAATTACATCTTGTCCCCTTAAGTTTTTTGGACAGTGGCAAGTTACTCCTAACGTTTCAATTTTCTTTCTCGTAATTTGCTCCCCGACATTTTGGAATCCGTGGTAAGTTGGTAACGTACCCTATCACTATCACGTTAATTGGAGCCAAATTTTTCTCACGTATCGAATGGCGTGACCTTACGTGATTAGCTATGAGAAAAAATATATATGGACTCCTCAAATGCATGTTCCCGAATCACATATCGATGTGCATCTGGAATTAACTTCGGTCATGTTCTTGCCGGAAAGTTTAATCCCATGCTCTTGCATGCTGTCATTTGGTCGGAGCTCTGAGCAAGCAAAATTTAAGCCGGACTCAACATAAGAGGATGCGTTGTAATCGATTTCTAAAATTCAGGGGGGGAGGGGGGGGGGTCAAATTGAGAAAACTGAAACATCGGGGGGGCAATTGGCAATAACCCTAAAACCTAGGGGGGCAATATGTTATAATGTCTCGCACTGTGTGTTAAGGTTAGGTTCAGCCTTCATCTGATGCAGCTTCCCACATTCATAGGAACGATCGAAGAAAAAGCTGAAAATTTTCGAGCATCCGATCACCTCTTGCGGGGCACCTACAACAGACCCATCAAAGAAGAAGGAGATCCCCGTCCGCGAATCAGTCTCTCCGATCGGAACAAGATGCAGGCCGACGGGAAAGATGATGGTTCACTCGAGAACAGGCCCGGGATCTTCGTGATCGGGCCTTCCGGCGTCGGCAAACGGACCCTTCTGTCTCGTGAGTTCCGCTCCCAGCTTAAGCTGGTGATTCAAGTCTCTGGGTTCCTTGTTGTTTGTAATTTGGAACCAAATGGCGGAAGTTCTTTTCTTGTCTACAGATTTTGTTGGTATTGGGTCGTGTGTCATGTAGTTGAAGCCTGCAAGTTATTGGATTCTTGGGTTTCGTTCTCATTTTGCTTCAATTGGAAAAAGAAAAAAAGAGGTCGACGAGCTGGACTCTGTGACGGGTCGCTGGATTTGCTGCCTGAGTTGTGCTTACATTTGCTCTCTGTCGTTTTAGTTTGATGTCCCTTCTTGGCAGATGAATATGCCATTGGTAATTTGACAATTAGGTGAATATATAGGCATTTTTTTGTTAGGGGATTGCTTTGTCGATGCATCTTGACGTGCTGGAGGGAGAATGTTATCTGCACATGTCTATTGGGATTATGGTAGGAATTGTTCTCATGCTAATCTAGGTAGTTGAACACTCGTAAAATATGCAAAACATTAGAAGAGTGGATTGAAGTGTTGCGAAATGCAAGTTTAAGATACATTCGAGTTTATGAAGATTACTGTATTGGTTTGTAATGGAAGTTCTGTACATTATTTTAGCGTATCTGTGTTGCTTCTCTATCTTTTGCTTAGCTGGAGGTATATATTCGGCTGGGTTCGTGTTCTCTGAATATTGAATTGTCCGGCTGACCTGATGCTTTCGATATTTGTTGATATTAGGGTTGCTATCAATTGATATTGAGGAAGGTCCTGACCCATCGTCGGACGTAGTTGTCCATGGGTATGTATGCATCGAGCTTTTCTCTGGTCGGAAAGTATCTCCAGAGCTTTTTCTTTCTGTCATGTTGAGATTATTTTCATTGTCATTTGGACAATTTCTGGTGCATCTTTCTGGTACTTAATTGGTTCCGGTTAAACAGGTGGAGTATAAACACAAAATACTATAGTGCGGATGTTTCTGTGTGGATGGCGCATCTCCGTGATGATTTTGATGCACAATCCCTGCCTATTCTCGGGAAGTTGGATGCCTTGGTGATGGTTTTTGACTTGAGTAAGGTCAGCCTCCGATTGATTTTTGTTCCTATTCAGTCTAAAATCTTTTACTTTTCATCTCTAGGAGATCTTCTCAATCAAGTGCTATACTACCATGATAGCCTCTGTATTGGTGTAGATGAACTTATCATCCTCTGTGCCTTTATTTGCAGTCACCATCCCTTACTGCACTTCAGGAATGGGTCTCTAAGAATGATATTAAGAATTTTGAGATATTGTTGTGCGTTGGGAATAAAGTAGACCTTATTCCTGGTCATCCGGTTCATGCTGAATACAGAAGAAGGTTGCTAAATGTTGAAGACGACTCTGTCGATTATTATGCGGAACTTAAGGACTGCGGAATCTCCGAGACTGAGGGAAGTAGTTTACTGGGTGGTGATGAATCTACCTTAGAGATTAGAAAAACATGTCTGGACTGGTGCGTTGATCACAATATTGAATACATTGAAGCTTGTGCTTCCAATGCTGACTTTGACAAATGTAAGATCCTCTTTGTCACTGTGATACATCTATGCATAATTGCTGTCTATTCCTTGGTTTTGTACTCAGTTCATTTTAACTTATAAATTGTGTGGCTGTTGTGTTCTCGTGAACTGTCGAAGGAAAGTTTGGTCCTCTATTCTGATTTTCCAATTAATCTAGATCTTAAAGAAATGCTAAATATTGGACTGTACATTTCACAGGCTTATCAGTTGCTGGCGATTCACAGGGAGTTGAACGTCTATCTGTTGCACTTTCTTCTCATATGTGGCCTGGAATGATACTGAAATCTGGTGAAAAGATAAGGGAACCATCATTGCCTGAAAGACAAGGTTTCCTTTGCAACGTTTGTTGAGATTAAAATTTCCCCATTTCTTTATGATTTATTTTAGAATCCTAATTGTTATGTTTATCACCCTTTTCTACAGAATCATCAGAAGAAGAATCAGATTATGAATTGGAATATGAAATTCTTTCGGCGGGTTCAGCAGAGCCATGGAATGATGCAGATGAAGAATGGGTCTCAGCTAGTAGTTCTACAGTACCCTCAAATGCTGGTGGATCGACTGTGGCTCGGAATACTTCTGTCACAGAAAGTGATCATGAAAATGGAGAAAGTTATGACAGGAAAGATAAGCAGGTCTCAACCTCGGAGACTTCCCTGGTTGACAAAAACAATGATGTCGGATCATCGGTCACAAAAGACCCTGATGACTTCACAGAACCAAATCCAGATAATCAGATCGACTTTGAGGATCTGGAACAGTTGATGTCCGAGATAGGGAATATTCGCAATAACCTGCGGTTCATGCCCGACTTTCAAAGGAGGGAAATGGCTGCGAAACTTGCTATGAAAATGGCCAGCATGTTTGGTGGAAGCAGTGATGACGAGGAGTAACATACTAGTGCATTCCGCAAACCGAATATTTCGAAGTTGATCTTTACAGGAGTTTGAGGTGTATGGCTTCAATTAGTCGAGATTGGGATATTTCTCGCCTTAAAGCCTTAGCTCGTGCCGTGAAATGGAAGTCAATATGTGCCAGCGAAGATGTGAAGTAAGTCTCTCTCTATCTGTTAATCTGCTGGGAATTTTGAATTCTTACGGTGGCACGGTTATCGTTGCTGCTGGAGACTGATGGCTATTTGCACATGATGCTCTTCATCTACTTGTGCAACACTTACGGAGAGTTTGTCTTTATTTTTCTGTCTATGTATGCAAATAGAAGAGCATCATGTGGAGTTTTGCCCCCCGTTACACTACTCTTTCCTGCGAATTATGCCTAACCTTAGAGGCAGGTTGCTGATAATGACTCTCAAAACTCAAATGCTTTTCTGTACTCATAAAAGGACTTAGTACGCATGCCAGAGGTCACGAATGAACGTTGGCACGCTGTGTTGTGGAGTTAGGTATTGCAACGATTCTGATCCTTAAAGGGCATTAATCAGAAAGAGAGAGTGACAGCCGGATTTTTCGTTCTTTTTTTTGCCCCTCGGAATTCCGCATGCATGTTCGAGGACAACCTGGACAAGTTTAATCTTTTTCCTCTTAGTGCTTTCATGATCATGCTTACCAGTTAAGTAGAATCAACATAATGTCATTCCCTGTTTTTCTTAGATAAGGAGCACAAAGTCATCGTCGCCCTGAGTGCAAGGATATTTTCACACCCCTTTTCTAGAAGGATAACCTCGGTTGGTAGTTTGGTCCCACGTCCAACTACGAGAAAGTAGTGACTAGTGCGATGGCTTTGGATTTTTCGCTTTTCAGCCATATAGATGCCTTTTAGTTCAAAATTGCTACTTTTGTACCTTTTGATTCGGGTTCACATCGAAAGCACCATTCGATAGAGAATCTTTAGTACTTGTGTATGTTACCATATTTCGCGACGAGATTCATCGAGCACTCGATTGTCCGAATGTGATTGACTCGATTGAATACGAAATGGGTTTGATTGATTAAGGTTCAACGTTCTAGTTCGGAAAGCAATTCAAGCATCCAGGACCAGGACCGGCGTATGGAAATGGGCAAGGGATTCGCCTAGCGTATGATGCTGAACTTTTGATGCTTTGGATGGTTGCCCTAGAGAGATTGAAAGACCCCCAAAAAAGGAGATGCTTATCCGCTGCTTACAATTGAAGCGGTGTTGTTATCTGGCAAGTTGTGGTCAGTTCGCAAGATAGGACCTTTATTCGCAAGATCCCAGCTTGGTAAAAAGCTTCCACTGCCTACTACTCGCGGCTAAGTACGAACTCCCAAAAGCGAAATCAACGCTGATTCCCAGACGGTGATGTAGGTTTTATTCGGGATATGCATGTCCACCTGTTAAATTTTGTGCTGCTAAAACCCCATGAGGTCTCAAACCCAGTTTCGTTCTGACAGAGAAACAATATGACATTACATTTTTCCTAAAGATTATATACTATCAAGCAACCTGGTTTGAGCTTATCGAATCCACAAAAGAGGAAAAGATGGGCTAAGGTACGAGGAAAAACAGAACCCGGTAGGCTACTATTAAGCTCTTCAGGGAACGAGGAATCGTCGTAATCGAATACGCGAAATGTGTGTATAACATTTAGTTTTCCACGTGTCAATGAGTGGTGTGAACTCACCTAGTAAAAATCCCTTATTACAGCGCTGTTCCTAACTTTCTGATCACATGTACAAAACTCATTGACCGAGGTCAATCCTCAGCAACCCTGGAAGAGAAGAAGAGAAAATCAAACTAACAGAGGATGAAGGAGATGAAGGAGAAGGAGGAGAGCCCCTTTTTCTCCTCAAGGCAAGAAACTGTGGCTGTTACCCCCGTCTTCTCTCGCCTTGAGCTGAGCCTCCGTCCCGTCGCCGGGAACCGCCGGGAACTGGCCGCACTTCTGGCACCGCGCCACGACCAGGATCCGCCGGCACGACGGGCACGACGAGTGGGACGCCAGCCACGGGTCAATGCAGCCCACGTGGAACCCGTGGCCGCACTGAGGCAGGAGCCTCACCTCGTCCCCCTCCGAGAACTCGCCGAGGCAGATGGCGCACTCCACCGGGAACCTGGCGGCGCCCGCCCCCTCGAGGCCGTACACGACCTTGGGGAGCGACTGCAGCGCCTTCTTCTTGAGCCCCCTGTTGGCCGCCGGGGGGGGCCTCGACGCCGCCGCCGCCGCCGCGGCGCCGGGGTGGTAGCGCCGGAGCCAGGCGCAGCGGGCGACGGCCATGAGGCCGACCACGCAGATCAGAGCGCAGAGGAGGACGGCGAGGATGACCACGAAGTCGGACTCCACGTCCAGGGCCTGCGGCGGGGGCGCGGCGGCGGCGGCGGCGTCGGCGGCGGCGGGGGGAGGTGGTGGGGGAGAGCGGGGCATGATGGGCACATGGAACGAGTGGACGAAAGAGTTCCTTTTGCAAGAAGTAGTTGGGACGATGTCGCGCTTTATAAGTAGGCGGGAGTTAGGAAAACGACGAAAATGGGAAGCAGAAGAACGAGGAGAGAGAGATAGAAGATAAGAGAGGATAAGAGAGGATAAGACACGCTTGTCTAGGATGCTGCTGCTTCTTCTTCTTCTTCCTCTTCTAGGGTCAGTCGAGCTGCAAAAAGGGGGGGCGCCAATTTTCCCAAATTTAAGGGATAAGTGTACTACAAGTCCTAAAACTTATCACAAAAATATATTTGAGTCCTCTAACTTGCAAAAAGTTCATTTGAATCTTAAAATTTGTCAAAATAGTTCATTTGAGTCCTAAAGTTAACACCGTTAGATTTACTAACGGAAAACGCTGACGCGGCACTAACGTGTCATTTTTTATTATTTTTCTTGAGACACGTGGCGCCACGTCAGAAAAAAATAGAAAAAGCTGTAAAAAAACCAAAAAAAGGAAAAAACCAAAAAAAAAAAAACAGAACCGGCGGTGGCCAAGCCCGGCGGCCACCGCCACAGCCGCCGACTATGTCGGCCGAGAAAGGAAAGTAAAATTGGGGGATCTAACAAATCTTATTGTCCGGTGTGCGATTTCCAGCACGGTCTGTAAATTGAAAGATGATGTAGTATTTCCTTTCTCATATGTCTAACGTATGGTAGGGGGCAGCTTTCATAACGACGTTGACCACGACTGTGTACGGCTAATGCTTGATAAATATCTAAGTAGGGGATGATTATTATATCTCATATGTCTAATGTATTGGACATCGAATCATTTCTTCTTCTTTTTTTGAATATCGTTAATTAAGTGTCTCGAACGTGCTTATTAATAAAAGTCTTTTAACAGAAATAAAGTTCAAAAAACTTTTTGAGGGGCGCTTATTGCGGTACAATGTTTATGCCATTACACCCCCCCCCCAGTAAAGTGCAACCGGCAAATGCCGGTTTCTATTTTTTTTTTCTCAGACACTATACCGCGAATATGGTGAAAACGCCGACTCTACAGAAAACTTCTTCGTTATGTCGTAACGTCGTAAATTTTCGTAATATCTTCTGTGCCATGATTTTGCTACAAAAGAATTTTGGACCAATTCGAACGCGATGTGTTAATCGAACGAATCAAATAACTCGACTCGGCTTAAATCACGGGTGGTTTTTTCCGACACGAGATGACAATAAGACTCGTAGGGGTGAGCATAGTCCGGGTTGGGCCGGTCCACCCCCTAACCCTAGGACCAATCCGCACAGTGTTGGTCCTCAATTTTGGGACCGAAGACCGCCCGTCGGTTCCATGGACCCGCCCGGGAACCGGATCGCCGGTCGGGTCCGGTTCCCGGGCGGGTCCATGGAACCGGTCCCATCAAGTTTTCCTGGACAAATAAAAAAAAATATATGGACTAACATCGGATCAACGGAACAAAAAGAAAAGAACATAACTTTCCATACAATTCCTATACTATGATCGGTTCTATTAACCATATCATCCATAAATCAAGTGGGTACCCATCAAATGAGTGTCCAGAGATAAGAGAGCAGAGAGTTATGAGTGTCTAGTTACGTTTTTTTTTTTTAAATTTTTTTTTGGTCAGATTTTTTAAATTAAAATTTTAAAAAATAAATATATTATTATTATATTACCGGTTCGGTCCGGGTGGGCGGTTCCACATCGGAAACCGGGAATCGGATCGATACCCACCGGTTCCAAAAAATTGAAGTCGGGAACCGGACCGGTCCTGGATTTTTTGCACACCCCTAAAGACTCAAACACCATCCGAAAATCTATGGGTTTGGAGTTTGAGTCTCTATTGAGAGTGTTTTATCGGTGTTACGTTAGAGATGATCGGTTTCAGGGTAAATCGGTTCTCGCTTTAGAAATCGGATATTGGAATTGGACCGGACAGGGTTGGTCCCCCGTTTGTGGGACTGGGAATCGGCCCACGCGGTCTTGGAACCGGTCCGGTTCAAGGGTCGGTCCCAGAACCGGTGATTTCTTCTTCTTCTTCTACTTCTTTTTTATTTATTCTATTCCCTACAAATGGGAGTTTCTCAACAATGAAAAAAAAATAATTTACTAATCAGAAGAAAAAAAAGAAAACCCCGGGAATCACCTAGAAACTAGCCAATTTAGTCCCATCCGGACCGGTTCCCGAGTTGGATCGGGACCACTGCACACGCCCAAAATTTGAGTTGGATTAGAGATGGGAGAAGGGTGGGAGCACCTTGTAGGTAATGAGAAGGATGGATGTCACGGTGGGCGTTCCCCCTGTTTTGCCAAGACCCACCGAGTTAAAACCAACGGAGAAGCCAAGAAACGACTGACATAGTAGGTTAGTACCAAACTCGGCGACGACAACAACATTAATCTTACTCAAATCCCAACGCGAGGCGCCTTTTTGTCCGCCACGGACGGGGTTCTATCTCCCACACGGGGTTTTCAAACACTTCTGTGCCAAAACCAATTTCGTAATTCGTGTTCACCCGAGGATTCGATATTCGCACGTGGCCTCCAGGCAGGGGGGCACGTGTTAAAGATGGCGAGCAGGAAGTGGCCCCAGCTCTTCTTCTTCACCCCGCCGCCCACAACTTGGTCGTCCAAGTGGTGGGAGCGGTGGCCCGAACGCCCATGTGCCCGTGGTCCCCCGTCCCTCTTTTAATGACAAAACAATGTACATACGGTTTGAGTCTCTCGATGTGTTTGATTGTGTGCATACGACGAGAACGATCGGGACAATCGAGGGATCGGTGCCTCCTTATTTTTGGTTTGCTTCGTGGCGCTTTCTCAAGAGATCGGTTTTCGGGTGATAGTTTATTCGACAGGGGGTCGATGCATGTCGGGTCTTGCGTCGGGGGATTTGTCCGGGTGCTCCGACCTGTGTATCTCGGTCTTTTTTTCTCTTTTTCTTTTCCCTTTTTTAAGTCACGGCGCCTCTCGCTTAATCAGAGTGACTTTAAAAGCCCCCCGCCCGCCCCCACGCCCGCGGGGCCCGTCGTCGTCTTATGGCTAGAGCCTCGCGTGATGCGTGCGGTCGCGGGGGATTTAAGTTTCATCCGTGATGGTCGGATGGAAGTCGACGGGTTTGAATTCCCGTGTCGTGAGAGGGAAATATCGAATTGGACGTGGATATTTTGTTAGAGTGCGTTAGTAATGAAAGTTATAGAGAAAAATGATGAGAATTGCTAATGGGTGAGGATAGGGATGATGTCCTTTGCTTGGGACCCTTGGACCACAAAATAATATCTCCCCTAAATTCCACTCCCGAGTCATTAGTTCTTCTAATGCACTTTGACCGGAATTCCACCAAATTTTCACTCGCAACTTGATATAGTAGGCATGAGGCATATGGCACGGGACACACGAGAGTTCATGTATTTACGGGGCCACGAGACCTTTTGCCGCGGTCGTGAAGGGCGGCAACGACCCTTTGAAACAAGGGCGGAGGGTCGCATGTACTCCATCCGTCGTTATTGTTAGGGGTGAGCAAAAGGAACTATTTGGACCAATCGGTTCTGGACAGTTCTCGGGGGCACCGGTCTGGTTTTTTATTCAATAAAATTGAAATCGGTGAATCTCGGTCCGATTCAGGATTCCAGGTTTGGAATCACCCACTCGGACCGATTTTTTTTTTATTTCTTCTTTAGAAAAAAAAAACCCTAATACATCTCTCATTTCACAAAGCAAGGCTTACTTATGCACGTGAGTAAAATGATAAGAACAAATCAAAACACAACAGTAGTTGCTCATTCCAACCAAATTTTGTCACGTAACTCACTAGTTGTAGGAACGCTTTAATTATCAAAAACATTTTCAATTTTATCTTGAACATTAAAGACAAATAAAATAAAAACTGAATATGACACTGATTCCATTGGCCCTTCCGAAAGACAGCTCGAGAGCCAATCGCCCCTAGTTGTTGTAGGGGTCGTTATCCTCCACCATCATCGAAACAACTATCCAGCCTCTTTTTTAGTTTTTCCATTTTTTTTCCCAATTTTACTAGCTTTATTTGTTAGTCTTTTTTTTTTGTCTTGTCCTACTTTGACTCTCCACTCACTTTGAGAATTTTGCTTTGCCTCTTTACAGAGTATGGAAGTCAAACCACACACCTAAATTAAATGTCCCCACCTTTAGTCCCCTGAGAAGGTGGAGATTCGAACTCCCCATCTCCCCATTCCTATGTGGGAAGGATGGCCACTGGGGCAACCCCCAGTGGTTTGTTAGTCTTGACATGGTGCCCGTTTGGCATCTCGTCGGCATGTGCCAGTCATGTCGACATATTCATTATAGAATTTGGTTCGATCCTGGTTAAAGTGTATCGATCGTAAAAAAGTAAAATCAATTCATTGAATGATCAAAAGCAAAGTTTCACAATAAATACATACTCCCGAGTTTGGTAACCAAAGGTTAAATTTTTTAAAATATCTCGTTAAAGCTCGAATTGATTTATCTTTAAAAACTTCGACATTGAGTGCTTACAAGTCAAAATGCATCGAGTAATGTCATAATTGTTAATCGTGTTTTATTTCTGTTTTCTTGTCGACTATAATAGAAATGGATAAAGAGACACACACGTACGTGATACATTTACCCTCCGTTAAAGCTTAGTAAATGATAACTGTAAAAAATCTACCTACATCGATGTCACGTGGTTTAAGTGAAATAAAAACGTTGTTGTGACTGAAAAATCATTTAACAAAACCTTGATAGACGGTACGTGTGACATAGAGGTACAAGTTTGAAGTTTTTGTTGTGGAAGTAAGCAATCGAAAAATATATTAGATAGAACAAAAAAATGAATCAGACACCAAATTTACATAATTCGGTTGGATGGCCTATGTCCACATGGAGAGCAACAAAGAATTCTACAATAAATTAAGCGATACAACTGACATTACAATCACGCTCGAATCAGTCAAACAGTGTGTTTCTCAATCCCGATTATACCCAATAACTCACATATTATTTAGCCCCACAATTCCTCACAAATTAATCTTTCAATCTCACAAAGAAATTAACAAATCTTACCATAAGATTTAATCGGCTACGACACATTAACTTCATGGGATGTAATTCACGAGTAAGCAATCGTGGATATCACGCCAAATACATCTCTCACACGAACTTGAATATCTATTCTGCAGCAAACCCCCACGATTTCCCATTATACATATATAGTCCAATTGGATTTCAATATTTCTTATTATTGATTATATATACCCAAGAAAAAGAACGTGGAGAAGAAATTCCATGTGATTCGGTCAACAAGTCCAAGTTCGGACTTCCCCTTTTTTTCTTTTATTTCCTCGGCGACTCCAATACACAAATCGGACTTAACTGGGAAACATCAATCGAGGAGAATGTAATATAAAATTTAGAATATTCATATTTATCCCATCGCCAAAAAACTTAAAAAAAATTGGGTTTCGTTCATGGACTTAAAATTGGAGATATATTTTCATATACGGGCAGCCGTATTCGTCGATTCGATGATGAAATATGACCTTTCCTTCGTGTTTTCTAAAACTAGAACTTGTGATTTTACACACGACCAAGATGACATACATGCCTAACCATGTTGGTTTACTATGAGTCAATTCACAACGATATGATACAATAGTACAAAACGGGCCGACGTGGCTCTCACGGCTCTCTTTGCGGGACGGGCTTGACGAATGACAAGTCGTCCCCATTGCCGATTCCCTCCTCTCGATGGGAATCGTCGATTTCAATAGAATGGCTGTTGTCGTCGTGATCTGCCCTGGTGATCAGGTTAGCCGTCGGCGGCCTTGGCAACAAGGTGTCGTCGTCGTGATCCGACATGTCGTGGTCGTCGTCGTAAGCGTACGAGCGGGTCGAGTGTCCAGTGGTTTTGAAGCGGTGGAGGGCGTGCCCGGAGGATGTGCTCACAAGCAAGTGGCTCGGGCTTGGGCTCGCGTTTCCGCCGAGGGTCACGGTGGCGGCAGGCTTCCCTCCCTTGCCTAACCTCTTCTGCTTCACATCCTTGTGCCACTTCTTGAGTGCCCTTGACGTTTGCTCATCAAAGATTGATTTCTTCATGCACGTCCCCATCTGATTGAAATTTTTTTTTTGTTTATTCAATGACCATATGATGATCGATCAGCATTTAGTAATCCGTACCAAATTGTCAATTCTTTAGGATGAACAAATGCCATGGAATCTAAGTGAGAATTTACCTGAGTGACAAGAGCATAGAGAGGGAGAGTGATGTAGCTGCACACACATAACACACCCCCACTGCAAAATTTCCAGAAACAGAAACATTCAAGCCATCAACTGAATCTTGGAAAGATCGACGAAGGCAGTGCCGAAACGCCGGAATGTTGTGGAATAGCCGAAATGTATAAAGACCGTCGGATTTATCAAGGGACTATGATCTGCATAATATGGAGAGGGATGATGGAAAAGAGAGTTACCCTAAACCCACTTTGATGACTGCCAGTGTGAAGTTAGCATGGAAGCAAGATTTCAACCCGAACGAGTACTGCACGGAAAAAGAATTGGCGGTTTTAGACGAACGCCGATGACGACGAAGCCTCAGAAGGCAGGGTCTATAGAGATAAGCTTTCATACCCAAATCCACAGGAAGTATGTTATCTGGAATGCATTCTGTTCAAAAGAAATAAGAAAGCACAAGGCTAAATCAGAACACAACAAAAGCAAGAGCAAGTCATACATCTTCCAGCAGAGCTATACTGTCAAAAGACAATGCATAATCAGACAGTGACAAATGAAACTGCCATTAACAGAGATCTTTCAGAACCAAGCTGTCGTTTAATGAGGTTCTGTTCTGTCGTTCGACCAAATTTCGGTCGTGAACTTTAAGCAAAGCCTAGTTCAAAATGAACATCATCATCCTAATGCTCACGTACAGAAAAGGAGGTAAGGCCTGGAGTACCTGAAACAAAGCGAAGTGCATCAGTTGAAGAAGTAGCTGAGGGCGACCGAACCAAAAGTATTTATCCGAAGCCTGCACGAGAGGAATCCCTTGGACCACAGCATGTCTCTCGAAGATTTCGAGGGCCATCCTTGTCAAAATAGCTTGAAGCTGTGTCCCGATGGCCAAGATTATCTGCAATACATTTGTATGGTGATGTTATCATCGTCCTCGTCTCCTAATCTTAATCGAAACCATGCAGAGGGAAGAGGTCTTACAACCACGGGGATCAGCGATGCCCAAAACAGTGCCTGCCATCCTGAAAGGAAGCGCCGATGGTCAGGAACTTTTTAACTCATAATGAAAAAGCAGTCTTCCTAGAAAAACAGCATACCTCTGACATTTAGAAGCAAGAAGATAACGAATGACGCCCACAACACAGGGCTGGCAAGATTCCAGAAACAAATGTCAGCACAAGCCTACGCTTTTCCAGACGCAGAGTTAAGACATTCAAACTAGCAATCAAAACAACTTTATAGCTTGTTACCTGACTCCTACGATGACCTTGAAATCATCTTCTAATGACCTCTTGATATACTTTTGGAAGTTAAATTTACTTCCCGGTGCTAAATGGACCTGCATATATTGCATCAAGAATTATTACGTGTGACAGAAAGAAGCGGTGCACTGGGACGACCTAGGACTTGAACAGAGCAGAAGGCTTACGGTGATGAAACCATTACGCAGCGCCAAGTAGTCTGCCTTACCAACGGACTTGAAAAACTGCCTAAAGAAGCATCCCTGCAAGTGGAGGTGCATCGGAGAAATCCAATGCAAATGGTGTCATGCTACAATGGTGTGTCATCGTGAAAATGCCTGATGTTAGCCGTGACTTACAATGTAAAAGAAGAAGGGAATCCTCGTCCAGAAACTGGTGTGCGCTCTGACGAAGGAGGTCTCATGAGTGAGCCTGAATCGAGATGGATCTGCGCCATCATCAACAAGTAAGATGTTTGAATTAGCAATATTAAGAATAACGGTGGAGATTTCATGTGGCTAGATAGGACTGTTCATTTTTGTGAGACACGATACCATTGGAGAACTCGTAGTCGGGGGACATGGTTTCTTGCTCCCATTGCTTCCAGCCACGAATCTGCCCATGATATGCATCCGCGGCAAGTTAAAGTACAGACAGCGAGGAGCATCTCGTTTCAAGTATCCCAAAAAAAAGAAAAAAACTATCGACGGCCCCTTGTGTCACATATTCTGAGAATCAGATTTAAGAATCGATTAGAGTTCCTGCTAATAGAGGTGCAATTACAGATTGGGCTGGTCTGACAATTTCGAATGAAAGTTGAAGCATGGTGTTTTATCCATTTCTTTATGATCAACGAAATCCACGAAGCACAGATAGCCATTGGCTCGATTGTTAGATTGATTATCGTGGATTGGAACAATTATTCTAAAGCTAAACTCGCTATCTTGTTCTAAGAATTATGATTGCATGTCTGTCAAACAGAATTGCCAATCATATCCATCTCGACAACTAGCAGAACGCTCAATCTTTTGTGCAAAAAAACATCTTCACAAACCTTCAGTCGCCCAAGCATCATTGTGATTGCACTGTACAGCACGTGAAAGACTGCCAAGAAGAATATCAGGATGTGTAACTGATGCAATCCGTTGACTGATATAAGCGGTTCGTGCCCCTGTAACCAAAGAAAACGAGGTAAATTCCAAGGGATCCTGCAAAAGCGATGCGATTTTCGGGGGAAGGAAAGGACTGATTAGTACACGAAGACCAGGGGAAAACAGGTCTGATTGCAACTCTTGTTGCGCAAGTTAGCATTTTTCGTTTATCATCAAGGAAAGCTTAAATTATAGTTCAACATATCTGACTAAAAAAAAAACCATGGAAAAAGCTCGTGTAACGGAATACCGTCTTGCAACTAGGAGCATAGCTACCGGCAGCCAAGGATCTCCTCTCGTACCACAGAAGTCTCCGATGTCCTCCTTTCGAGGACTCATCTTTTTTATTGTCGTAGCGGCACGGCAACATAGTGTCTGCGACCTTTTGGGGAATGCATATCCTAGATACATAACTCTGACCAAAAGTGAGGAGTAGTGAAATGAAGCCCAGAATCATCAGCTCTGCACACAAAAAAAGGGATGAATTCCCAAGTCCAAGCATATCTAAGTTTAGAAACAAGAATTGCGGAATCGATATCTGCTGTCTTACCTGATTTGACCTTGTCCAGAGCCTCGTATAAGGCGCTCTTGTGCCTCTCTGTGAGCCACTGAATTGCAAGCCATGTTAGGAACAGAGCTCAAACACCGGACCAACTGCCCAATAGTTCATCATAGAGTAACAAGAATATATTTTCACAATCGATATCCAATCAAATAAGCTGATTGTTGCCATGCCGAGCTACTATTACGAAGATTTTTCCTTTTGGATAACTCAGGTATCCAAACTTTTGACTCGAGTAATCTCCATATATGTACGCAAACCATACAGTCCACGTGCATATTCACTTGAGACTCTAAACAAGACGCGGTAGCCTGTAAGCGACTAGGCATGGCGGAGGCCCTGAGGTTACTCTAAGTGGAAATTCGCGTCATGGTGAAATAGATAATCCGATTTCGTTTCAAATGAAAAAATCTTCCATCATCAGGGGTCCTCTTTTCTGTCACGGGAACTAATTGTTTTCCTCAAAAGAAGCAGCTCAGGTGGCAAGAACAGATAGGCGTAAAAGAAAGACCAGTCGAGCAACATCAAGAAACGTACCAAAACGTAAACAGGACAGAGAAGAAAGACAGAGACTCATGAATCTCCAACGTTCGAGCTTACCGTTCCAACTTTGTGCAGGAACTTCTCCAGCACGAGAGAGATGACGATGAATGCAGCACAAACGATCGCCACAGCCCATGTTGGGGTCTGGTCTAGCTCTCTCGACTGGGAACCGCTGCTGTCTGATCCTGCCATGGCGTTTCTTTTCTTTTCTTTTCTTTCCCTTTTCTCAGAACAAGAACTGAGGAAGACCCGGAAGATGTCTGGTCAGCTTGCAATTACTGCAGGAGGAAGACCGAGCTTATCTGCATGCCGTGTCAGAGACTTTGAAGAGAAGTAAAAGCAGAGTACAATTCGTGCGCCGGGGGAGTTTCCAAACAGAAAGGGCGATGTCAGTGCCTTTCCTGGGGCAGTTCCTGTCTGCTCTTAATGGGTCAAAGGCGGTTTTTTGTCTCTGTCCGGCCGCGCCCAAAAGTCCACGCCTTTCTCTCACGGTAACTTTAGGAAGTCGGCAAATATCTGAGAGCAAGTTGATGTATCAGTGTTCCAAATTCCATCCCGAGTAATCCTCGTCCCAGACTCGTTCTGCTAAATCGAGCCCGTCGACAGGAGCATGATTCAGAGCGCCTCGAAGTCGATCTTCGGCCCTGAGTTGCCCGTGACGAGGTGGGTGGTCACGAAAATTGCTTATGTATTATTCGATGGTCCCCAGCTTAGGTCATCTCCCTTTGTCTGCTTCTGTCTCTATGGGGTTTCTTTTTTCCGGTGGGGTTCCGCTCAAGTTGGATTTGGAAGGAATAGAATAATTCCGACTTCAATAATGGGATAATGATACAAATAATCCTTGAACTTTGATCCAATGTGCAATGTGATTCCTGAACTATTAATTTGTTCAATGTAGTCTCCAAAATTGAGCCTAATGTTCAATGTGGTCCATAGACTTTTAATTTGTTTAATGAGGTCTCTGGACTTTCGATACATGTTCAATAAGGTCCTTGAACTGTATGAAAATGTTAAATGCGGTCCTTGAACTTGAATAAATGGAAGAACTACATTATCATGTTCATATAGTTCAAGAACTAAATTGAACATATACTAAAAGTTCATGGACGATATTGAACAAATTAAAAGTTCAAGGACCACATTACACGTTGGGTTAAAGTTTATGGACCATACTGAAAAAATTGAAAATTCAGGAATCACATTACACATTAAACTAAAATTCAGAAATCATTGATATCATTTTCCCATGAATAATAAAAACTCTTCTTCGATCTTTTTGGATTTTTTTTCTTTGATTTTGTCCTTTTCCGCCTACTCTAGGAGGACCGTTTCGTTGTCCGGGACTGATCAAATGATGCCTGAAACTTGTGCATGTCCAAGGAGAGGTCAGACTAGGTACCTCTAGGGACGTGGTTCTTGTACGATTTCTTCAATTTACAGATCATTCAAAGGATCATGAAAGGGTCGTTGTTGCGACCTAAACATCAATAATTCTTTCATGCCGAGATTATTTTAACAGCAATAAGATAGAGAGCCTCTTGAGACTTTCAGCTGTCGTTGCAGGATATATATTCAAATGGGTGTTGAGCATGCGAGGTAGGGCCATGCATATGTTATCACGTACTTTGTCCTAGCATTTGGATAATATATGGAAATGGCCTAATTCGATTTTGGATTGGATTCTCGAAACATTGACTGAGTAGCGTGTAGTTGTACCTTTAGAAAATATCGACACATTAGTTTTATAATCACTTTGGGGCGGTCCAAATCCTTGTTCTTTCTTATTTCACCCCCTTCCCATTCTTCCTCTTTTTCCTTCTATTTTGCCTCTTCTTCCCTTTTGCCCTTCTGCCCTTCCCTAAGTAGGACACTGCCGCGGCGCTCGCTCCGCCGCTGCTGCCAAATTTTGTTCGAGCCGCATGACGTCGCCGCCCACACGGCCCCTGCCCAGTTGCCTCTCTCTCTCTCTCCGTGTCAAGTTAAATAAGAAAATGTGGTTTTCTGTTCGAGGTAAGCGAGCCTATATAGATCGAAGTCACTAGCCTTAGGCATCCCCAGATATGAGGTTGCTCGCTATGGTTGTGATAACCACGACCTCCTTTCTCTTCGTTGAGAAAGAGAGAGGCGAGCGCGAAGGGGGCGGAGACAAGTGACGAGGCCTTGGGTGCAGCAGTGGCACGAAGGCGACAAAGGTGTTTTCTCGAAGGCATTTTTACTAGTGAAGATAAACAATCGACCATCCAAGGCATTGTTCGATCTATAGCTTAGTGAGGAGAAGCATGAACAAATGAGTTTTTAAACTTTAAATTATTTCCTTTATCTTTGTCAAAAATTGCTTTTACCTGATACACTAATTTACCACATAATTCGGTGTGCAATTGGGCAGAGATGGAAAGATAATTCCGTTCTTAATTTTATAGAACGATACCTAAAGTATCGAGTGCTAATTTAGCCAAACTATATCAATACAATAATGAGTCGGTCAATTTGATGCTCGATTTAAGAAGGCTAGGAAAAAATGTCTTACTTCGCTCTCAAAGAAAGATTTCACGTATTTGGCTTTTGATGGATTGAAATTCAATCTAAGGAAAAATTTGAAGGCTAAGACTTTGACGATTTATTTCAATTGGCAACGAAAGTGTCTAAGGCTGTGAATGGTAACCATTCTGTTTCAGAAATCAATTTCTGGCCAGAAATTGATTTTTCTATTTCTGTTCCTGGAGGAGTTTCTTAGCAAAAAAACACGTTTGATAACGACACAAAATTTCTATTCCAGAAACAGAAATTTGTTTGATAACGGTACAAAATTTCTTCTTCTCGGGTGGTCGGCGGGCGGTGGATGGTGGTGGGAGGAGGGCGGGTGGCGGCGGGAGACGGTGGCCGGCGGTGGGAGGCGGGCGGTGGCGGGAGGACGGTGGCCGACGGTGGGAGATGGTGGCCGATGGACGGCAGGCGGTGGTGGGAGGTGGGTGGCGACCAAAAGAAGGCGGCCGGCGGTGGGAGGCAGGTGGCGGTGGGAGGAGGGCAGCCGGTGGTGGGAGATGGTGGCCGGTGGACGGCGGCCGGCGGTGGCGGGAGGAGAGAGGCCGGGGGTAGGAGGCGGGTGGCAGAGGGAGACGGTGGCTGGCGTACGGCGGCCGGCGGCCCACGGTGGGCGGTGGCCAAAGGCGGGCGGCGGTGGCGAGAGGAGGGAGGCCGGGGGTGGGAGGCGGGTGGCAGCGGGAGACAGTGGTTGGTGGTGGGTGGCGGCCGCAGGCCGCCGGTAGGGGGAGGAGGGTAGGCGGCGGCCGGCGATGGGCGGCGGGTGAGCGACCGGCTAGTAGTGAGGGAAAGTGATGAGAAGAACAAAAAAATTTTGTTTCTCATTTCTGTTCCAGAAATAGAGAAGTAAAAAATTTTAACTTCTGATTTCTGTTCCAAATCTATTTCTGGAACAAAAATTTGTTTTAGAAATAGAAATTAGAATTTCGTTACCAAACGGATTTCTGTTCCAAACCTATTTCTGGAACAGAAATAAAGAAATAGAATGGTTATCATTCGCAGCCTAAGTATGAGCAACTTCTCAAAGACAGAGATAAAGGGTCAACCGAAAACTTTGCACAAAGTATGACTTTAATGGAAAATTTTGAGTTGGAGTATGAATTGAAAACATTGAGATAAACGTGGCAAATATAATGCTTGACAAGCATTACGTTTGTCCATCCTTAAAACGCCAAAATAAAAGGAAAACGAATGGCTGAGGCTAAAGACACTCAAGTTTTCTTGTTCAACATTAATAAGTTGGATGAAATTTTTGATTTACTCTTAAAAGATGGCTTAGTAAATTTAACGGAAGGTCAAATTATCCCGAGTAAAGAAGATTTAGTAAACAAAAGATATTCTAAGTGGCACCGTTGTGGAGCCATAACACAGCTAATTGTATTATTTTCAAGAAAACAATTCAAGAGGCAATTTGGCAGGGAAAAATCAAATTTGCCGATGACAAAGAGTATATGATGACCCTAACCCTTGATTATCTAATTTAAAAGATTCCAATGATTTATGAATCATTCAATTCTTTAAAAAAAGGTATACGTTGACTCCAAAAAATGATAAACTTTTGATTATAATCAACAAGTGACAGACTAAGTTGATAATAACAAAGCTTGGTGAATAGCAGAATTCATCGAGGAAAAGAACCGTTGACAACTTGATGAGCATGAAAACAAAGATGTCATCAACAGTGGGCAATCGACGCAAAAACGTAACTCCTTGGTGGTTATGTTTATTGTCGCTAATTTAGGATTTTTGTTACTTTTTGTGGATAAGTATTGTTGTAATAACCGAAAATGGGATTATTTGTTTTGAAAATAAGATTAAGAAGTTATCTTTTTAAATTCAATAACCATTTCTAATAATTGATTGTAGGCTTTAAATAAGCACATCGTATCCCAATCAAATTACAAAACTCATCTTTACCTTTTTGCAATTTATTTTTCTTGCATTTACAGTGTTCGTAGCTTTAATTCTCTTGCCATTTACTTTCCTCTTCAAAATCAACAAAGACTCTTCACAACCTTTCTCGATCCATCCATCCATATTCTATATAACATTTGGGAGACTTTTCGGCCAAATAGATATAAAAGGATGGAACACTGTAATGTGTGTATGTCCAAAAGGATGGAACCAGGGCATTGAGCGCTTTGTCTGTCCCTATGACGCAAACTAATTGACAGAACAAATCTCTTAGAATCAATTACACGAAAGTAAACCGAATCGATTAGAATCATGAACTTAACCTGTATATTTGTCTTACACGCTTGTGTACCAATGACTAAACTACCTTTGACAGAAAATCTGATCTTCCTTAACCATGAGAGAATGAGAAATCATTCTGAATATCACCCCCCTTGTGGTGGGCATTGTTGTTGTTCTGTTGCCCTCCTTGTTGATCTGGAATTTGTTGATGAGGGTCAGTGAAATGGGTTGGAGGAGGGCCTTCATAATCAGAGAGCTCGGTCTCAGAGATATAGCTCGCGGGAGAGTTGAGCACGCTCTCCACGTCATTGGTGGAGGAGTTGTGCCTGTTCTTGTGGAGCAAGTGCAGGGGTGATGAGCCGCGGCTCGGCGTGTTGTCTGGACTCATGAACCCTGAGTACGACACTGATTGGTCTCCTTCCTTCTTCCTCTGCTTCTTCCTCTCCCTCGCCGCTCTCTGCCAGTTCTTCAGCGCCTTCGCCGTCTGCTCCTCGAATATCGCCTTCTTCATGTGCGACCCCATCTGCACCGAAACATGTTAGCGTGTCTCGTTGTTCTTATGCTCGTCCTCAACAGTTCTGCCGTGAGTCGATTCGTCACTTATGTCTAGTCTTTCTGTTAGATGCCTAACTGTTCGTTTGAAACTATTACCTCCACTAGGTAATGGGACACGGATTAGGACTAGTGAGTACTCACTTGGGTTACTAGTGAATAGAGAGGAAAGGTGATGTAGCTGCACACAAATTGAAGGGCCACACCGAGAAAAACCCGTATAAGGATCTCGGCTAGTCTCTGGTGGAAGCATGAAGTCAAGCCGAACTCGTACTGCATTTTGAAGGTAGGTTGAGGTCAATTGACACAAAATAAGTCACTATCATTATAGAAAGCATGTAATTCAAAGGAGAAAAATAGGCGAATGCGAATCGAAGAGAAAGATTACCCATGTCCAGAGAAAATAGGACATCTGAAATGCATTCTGTGTCGGACAAAAAGAAAGCAGTCAGATATAGGACTTGGACAGATTTCAGCTTCTTCGAAGGATGATTATTGTTCTTTCTATAATAACGTTGGAGAAATTTATGAATCTCATTCGCATTATCTTCTGGTTAAGTTATGTGCATATATGCAAGTTGTTGTATTTCTGCCTAAATAGATTTACTGGTACTCAAACTATGAATTTTAGGACAGAAGAAAATATCAGGATCATTAATCAGACATCTCCATTACCTGAAACAAAGTTAAATGTATCAAGAACAATATAAAGTCCGGCCGGTTGAACCAGAAATACTTGTTATTAGGCTCTACGATCGGAGCTCCTTTCACCACGGTGGTTTTATCTTGAATTTGCTGAGCCATCTCCATTATAACGAGTTCAAGCTTGGTACCAACTATGAGAAGTATCTGTCAAATGTATAAATGTCAAGGAACTCATCTTATTTCCAAGATCTATCAATTGATATCGTATTTATCCGTGCTTTGGGTATTGGAAGGTTCAACACAAGTACATAAAAAATGTGTCTTACTGCCAGAGGTATGAAAGAGATGATTGAAAGGGCATAAGATTCTGCACATTAACAAGGCGAATCATTCTGTTAGTACAATTCCCGAAATTAATCTCGAGGATGCATATGGGAGATGGTGGTTCGCACAAAACTGTCTTACTGTAGACATTGGAGAGCTCAAAGAGGATACAGCAAATCCATAAGGGTATACTGCGAGAAAGAACATGCATTGTGAATAGGTTACAAGAACGGTTAGGTCTCATTCATACGCTCTAGTGTGCGAAATATATACGAAGCAACATGATGAGGGAAAGAAGCTGACCTGATCCCCACAACCACTTTGAAGTCATCTTCCATAGACCTCTTTATGTATTTGTGAAAGTCGAATTTGCTGTTTGGAGCTAAATGAGCCTGAAAAGATCCACCGAGTTTGTTAATATAAAAAAGGTCCTAGTTCTAACATGAGGAAACAGAACATCTTAATAAATATCAAATGCCAAAAGCATGGTAGTTGTCTCAATAGTCTTTTTAGATGTCTTATTGTACATAAGTTCAACTGCATGGAAGAAAACACAGAAACATGGAAAACAACTTACATTGATGAATCCAAGCCTCATTGTCAAATAGTCAACCTTTGAGACTGAACCAAAGAACTGCCTGAAGAATGCTACCTGTGGAATTCACAGATGTTCTCCGTCAGTCAGAGAATTGGACATCAATGTTCAAAATTAGACTGGAAGCATTGTTTATCCAATGAGGGCCCGGTGAATTCATGAGCAACGCTATGGGAACATCATTGGAAAGGTCTAAGAATAAAGCATCTTACAATCCATCTGACACCAGGAGTTGTCGAAAGGCCACTATGTCGTCTGACGAAAGATGTTTGATGGGTCAATCTGAATCTGGAAGGATCTACAAGAATAACCGACAATACGATCATCAGTTGAATAGTCCGGCCTTAGAAGTCTCGTACTTTTGAAGTAGGAAAAAGAAAAGAAAGCTGGCCTCTAGATGATCACCATTGTTGAACTGATACTCCAGGGAAGTTGTCTCCTGCTCCCATGCCTTCCATTTCTTCATCTATTCACAAAATTTAAAATGGAATGGTACTTTATCATTGATCAAATAAATAAAAATTTTGAAGACCTTTCAAAGTTTAATTTATTTAAGAATAGGATGAAGGGTCGTACTTTGGCTTTTGCCAGGCAAATGGTGATGACGCTGTAGAGAACATGAAAGACGGCAAGCACGAATATGAAAATGTGCAATTGGTGCAACCCTGACGCCGAAATCAATGGTACCTTGTTCTGAAAAAGCAATTCGTTAACCAAAGTCAGAAAGATCATTCGCATATTGTGAAGGAAAACTTCTTCTTTTCTTCTGTTATGATAATTCTTGTATTCTTTTTACATGTTTAGAACAATGGTCGCCGGTGTCTGCGGCAGCTAGAGAACGTCGCCACGAGACATCCTCATCATACCACAGCAATTTTCTCCTATCACGCGGATCTTCACCTTTGCCGGGCTTTTCCGTATCCTCCTTGTTACAAGGAAGCATGATCGTCGCATATTTCTCAGCAATGCATATCATAGAGATCGGTTGCGTGCCCACAGTGATGAGTAGAGATATGAAGCCCAGTAGCATCAACTCTACAGGATAAAACAGTAATCAGTGTAGGGTCAGAATCAGGCTCAAGTGCTCGAAAATGTCCCGAAAGCATAAATTAGATAGGAGAATGCAACATGCATTAGTTACCGGATTTAATTTTCTCCAGAGCCTCGATCATGGCCTTCTTGTGGCGCTTCTGAAACCACTGTCACAGTTGAACAATCGATATCAGTAAGTGACCCGACCAATGTTTTCGCGTAATGCGAGTACTTTCTTCTTCTTTTTTTATTTGGTCGGAAAATGCGAGTACTTGAGTCATCAATTTTATCCAATCAATTTCTAGTAGTGGACTTCAGGACGTGTGAAACATCAAGAATCCACGAGTCAAGACTCGGACCATATAAGTCACTCATTTTGACCAAAGATCTCACCTTTCCAAGAGAATGAATCCCGTATTCGATGACAATCGAAATGATGATAAACACGGCAGACACGACTGCGACCGCCCAAGTGGGTGTCTCCTTCAGTGACCTCTCATATCCGGCTTTAGGAGCCATGGCTGATCAAAACAGCACTCCCTATCTCTAGGACTCGATACACCAACTTCAAGAAACGTCTGCAACAAGAACTGCTTTCAAGTTTCACAGGAAAAAACTCGGGCAAGAAATGCAACATTCTCGGTCTTGGAGTGACTTATATTCGTAAAGCCCGCCAATAAACAAACAAAAACGTTGCCGGCTTGTGCGCTGTTTCCTGTACCAGGAAAAAGACGACCGCTGATGCTGACACGTTAATCCCATCATTAGAGCCAAAACCAGAGAGTTTTTTTTATACGACGCGGGCAATGTAATACGATTCATCCTAAAATCTCGAGGCTAATCACAATCGGATCAGCGATCACGACATCGTGATTGGTGAAGTCGAAAGTATGAATCAGTCTCGAAATTTTTAAAAGGGGTCTTATGCAACGAAGAGTGAAGACTCCTTTTTTGGCTTCAGTCGGGCATTGCGGAATTGGTAACTCAGGAGGAATTACAGCGTGTGCTTCAGCCGCTTCTTGTCCACATTGTTCTTGTCGAGCCCTTTCGCATTTGAATAATGTTTCTGCGCAAGACCTTTCACCTAATTCCATGAGCCATCTTGTTTAGCCTCTTCTTGCGGGGGTTCTTGCTCGACCAAGCATCTTTGGACCGGGTCTTCGGTCCTGGGTGCGCTCCACGTGGCGCTCCGCATGTTGTTTACGCTCGTGTGTCCGTAGAAGACTCGTAGGTTTGGTGGAACTGGTGTTGACCTACTTTGTCTTTGGGTGAGCAGGACCCAGCTCCAAATTTACTTGTTTTTTGCTCTTCTATGCATTCATAACGAATGATGTTTCTTCATATTTCCGTTTTCTGATTTGTTAGGATGATTCTGGAAAAGAACAGTAAAACTCATGTCCTCGTAGTCGCGAACGTATGAATCAGTCAAAGCTGACACGTCTCACGATGACTGATCTTACAATTGTACGTGCAATGCAACCCCTCGTCAGCACATGTGCAGCACCTGTAAGTAAATCTCTTTGCTTATAAAATCCAGTGTTCCACTCGTGCATTTTTGTTACCATTTTTGCCTGAGTTAACCTCTAATTTGAATTAGGTCTTTACTTATGCATAAGATCATAGATTCTTTCTCATCCGACGTGGGACTTGACGAATTGTAAACTCCCAATGACGACTCAGTTTGATGAGAGGGAACGATCATCATCCGGGCAAAAGATTCGAATAATATGCTATTTCAAGTAGTCACTTGGAACGGCGAAATGGGCAAAAACAAACCGAATAACAGATGACACGTGAGATTGTGGAAGAGTTGCCATATATGCGAAATAGAAAGTATTTCTTAATAGGTGTCTTTTCGATTAACGAGGTAATTTCAGTGTTGAAACCCCAGTGCTAGTCGAGCTCAGGTAAAATCACTGTCGGGACGGATGTTCCAATTGCTCGCTCGAGCTCTCTATCGCTGTTTTCCCATCAAGCAAGGCGGCAAAAGGTCGTGCCTTCTGCACGAGGCGTGTTCTCGTTCAGAGAAAAATGTATTTGCCTTCCCTTCCCGGTCATTCAAAGGTTCTATGTTAAGGCCCCAAGTGCAAATTTCGAAGGGGGGGGTTGGGCTTTGGCGAAGCGCAGCCCCATACAGAGACAGAGACATACAGCGGCTAGGACCAAAAGCCCAGCCCACAATATTGCCAACAGATTTTCTCCTCCTTTTCTTGCTCCCGGTTTTCCTCGGCAACATCGAAAGTAGAGGAAAGAACCAAGAACCAAGAACCAAGAATCGAGAAACCAACGCGCCCTCGTTGCTTCAGCTGCGGTCGCTGCGACCGCCGTACTTCGCTTCCTCGGGTCGCCACTTCTCCTCCCGTGTCGAAAAGATGAGCGCCCTTCCCAGTTCCGTCGCTTCGGGCTCGATCAAGAATCCACCCAGCAGCTTCTTCCCTGGTAAGAGAAGGCATTTTTGCCGATTCGTTTGTCGCCCATGGAGTGCTTGTTGCTGCTGCTGCATCGGTTGCGTGTCGTTAAATTCGGTGGATTTAGCGTCCCGCAGCTCCGTTTCTCGGTGGAATTGCGTGATCGGAGCTCTAACTCTCTTTGCCTTGTCCATTTTATCCGGTTTCCATGGGGAAACGTGGAGTGTGCTTGTCCGGAGAGAGAGGGTTACGGTTATCAAGGATCGTTTCTTTCTTTTGTTGGGTGATTCTGTTGCTCGGAGTGTGAGTGAGGAATGAAGAGCAAAAGGTCTTGCTTTTACAACAGATGAGAAAAGCGTCACATTTTACTTTTATTGAGGTCTAATTTTGTAGTGATTGTAGTATGTGCTAATTAGTCGTGCCTTTAGGTGAAATCATCTGTGTTGATGAGCCTTTCGTGGGGTGTATCGCATCTGGTGATAGCTTATGTTTGTCATGCGTATGAAGGGGATCTTGTGAGATACCTATCATGGGTGATCATGGACAGCAACAATATTCGCATCGAATTGCGTTTAAGCCAGTTTTTTTTTTTTTATTAAAGTTGCTGACCTGATGAAGCTAGAGTAGAAGGGCTTGTATTTTCGTTTTAATTCAATCTGGTTAAAAACTGTCATGATTACTTCATTGGGCATTTGCTTTCTTGGATTGGGTAAGCTCATTCATTTTGAAACTTATGCCATCATAGGAATCTATGCTGCCCCACTCCGTAAAGACTTAAGACGTTTTCTTCAAGTTATCGTATCAGTTGATTAGAGGCTACTATGAAGTATTTACTCATGGGTGGGATTATGCTGTGTTCTGTGCAGGTTTAAAGTCGGTGGACCACCGCCCTATGAAGTTGAGCTCGGGCAACGTTTCTCTTAATAGCAGATTTCATGGAAAAGTAAAGCTCACAATGCGTAGAAATCCATTTACTGTTCGAGCAACGTAAGTGTCTCACTCATCATCAACAGCATGATTGCTTTCTTGTACAATTTCTTTTTTTTAATGGAATTGAACCACCATGATAATTTTTCGGTGGGGAGATGTAAATTGTGTGCATCCTATGATACGTAATTACACAACAGTACAAGTCTGGCGCTTAATAGAAACTAATTTGGCACTAGACATCTCTCTCAAAGCATCAAATGATTAAGTATGGAGTAATAGCTGCTTGACAAGCATCCTCATGTTTCCCAGTTCTTGAGCTTCTTGTGATTGCAGATGTGGGAATGGGGGTAATTTCTGTGGGATATCCCCTAGTCTAATTGCAGGAAGGATAATGTTGAATGGTGGTTTGATTGGACATTCTCTTTCTCCTTTGGTTTTCTTTGTAGTTGGTGACTGAATTCTTGACAGAATATGATTTTACAAATTGTAATATTCTCTTCACTGTATTATAATCAATTTTTTTTTTTTTTGGTTTCTGTTCAATTGTAGTCGGGATGATGGCAGACCAAGTAGTGCGGGTATATTTGTTGGTGGATTTGTGTTGGGTGGACTTATTGTTGGAGCATTAGGTTGTGTGTATGCACCGCAGGTATCATTTGGAACGCTAAACTTTTTGCTTTGATAGTCACTTCATGCCTCTCTCTCTCCAGATACATGTAGGTATGCAAGCTTGCCATTCACGGACACGTGCTTTTCAAATGGAAGTAGGCACTGAATTATAACTATGGCTCATATCTTACAGATAAGTAAGGCCCTAGCAGGAGCTGATAGAAAGGATCTAATGAGAAGACTGCCAAAATTCATATATGATGAGGAGAAAGCTTTGGAGGTAAAAATCTGTCCCACCACAACATCATGTTTGGATTTCCTTGGTAGTGGGTAGTTGATTTTTACAAATAGGGAATCGAGCTTGAATCTACTCCTAGCTTTCATTATTCTTTTTTCTATGGTACAACCTATGAAAAACAAAAGACACAGATCACAAGCTACAACTTAAGTGGCAACTTTCAGAGTCCTAGCAAAACAGCAGCTCCTTCAATCCAAAGACAGCAGCTCTGGCTTTCAATTTGTTCCAGTATTTGCATATTCAAATTAAACGATCACAAAGATGCACTCTACTTTGCTGTCAAATCGAGTGCATATTTGATATCGCAAAAGCAAGTGCCATCAACTCCTATGTTTGGGAGATGGACGAAAATGGGGGGAATAGAGTTTGCGTGAAGAAAGGGGAACATTTGAAAGTTTTGCGAGAAGGATGGAAGAAAAATTTAAACTTTTGTGTGCTTTCCATCTAAAATTTCTTCCCCGCTTTCCCATTCATAGCATCAATCTCTATATTCCCTCATTTATTGCTGTGTAAAAGTGAGAAATCAGATGCTCATTCTGATTCGTTTCCGTTTTCAGATGAGTGCTAAACCCACACTTCTGTGCACAAACATGATACATGAGATATTGGAAATTGCCCAAGGGCAAAACATCTGGCCGTATTCTAAACTTTTCTGTCTGCACCCTGCTCTAAATATTGCTTTTTTCCTGTTTCGTGATTTGTGGCAGAGAACTCGCAAGATATTGGCGGAGAAGATTGAGCAGCTAAATTCCGCCATAGACGAAGTTTCTGCTCAGCTGCGCGCAGATGATCCTCCCAATGGAACTGCAGTAAATTCGGATGAAATCGAAGCTTCCATATGACGCCACACTTGTTCGAAAGCCTTACATGAAGTAAAACCCGGTACATCTTCTATGCTATCCGATGTAAAAATTTCCTCTCGACTCATTATTACATTGAAGATGAAAACCAGAAAGCGTGACTGAGTGCGGAGTGCCCTGTTGGGCACAAAACTCTTTCTGCTGTGTCATTCGCTATCGTCCACAGTTCCCCAGGTACCACTTCGGTCCTCCGAAAGTCGAATTCTTTCAGGGGGTCGTTCATCTTATCGTCGCATGATTAGGCCTTGATCCTCTCATACTACCACATCACAGGTTTCATTTCATTGAATATAACATGATTAGCATCAGAGTTGCCTGGCCGAGAAAAAGTCATCCACTTGCTGAATTATTGGGCATCCGGTCCAAATCATGTTTTTCATCTCCATCATTTATCTTATCCGGCACGAAGATGGCTTGGACATTCAAAGAAAGAAAGGGTACGAAGATGACAAAAAACTAAAGTTTGTCAGATGCAACGAAGGACGTGTTCCAAGATTTTCATACAGTTCTTGTGTGATGTATGATTGGCAACTGTTTCGAATCATGTCGATTTCAAACTTATTGAGAAGAAATGAGAATGAGAAAGCGATGGGATTAATGAAATTATCAAGGTTTATACATTTAGTTTTCTAGAAACTTAAAAATTATTCAATGGAAAATGTTTTCATTATTTATAATAATTTATGTCTAATTACTTTCGTGGGTGATAGAAACATTTTGCATTCAACATGATCATTTTTCGGAAAATGTTTTTCAAAACTTGAATATTTCGTGAAACAAGCTGAGTCATCATTTATGTTCCTTTAGTCATTTGGAAATTCGCTCGTGTTACAAGCTTCACTACGTCGCTTTTGTGTCTGCCTCCAATCGATAGATAGGTGCTTGTGGAAAATATTGAGAACAGCCGGTAGAATATTGGAAATGAAGAACGTGTGAGGCGTGCCGGGACCGTCCTCAAGTGTGATTTCCGCCCGTCATAGTGCATAAGGTAAATACGCGGCTGTCCTCCCGGATTCAGCCGACCTTCCGATTAGTACTCCACTATTCAGGCAAAGCGGGAACGACGAGAAATGTAAAACCACTAGGGAAGAGTAAGAGAAGAGGGTGTTTCTTGTGTTGAGTTCGGTGTGTAGAATGACGAAGAACGATTCGGTGTTGTTAGGAGAAATAAGTTGGCCATAAAGTTGGAATGGCTACGCTTAGGAGAATTAATCTGAAAAAGACTAGCAAAACTAGTAAGGACGATCACCATGATGAATAAGAACGGCTGGCTTAGGCATTTCTAGATGAGGCCTTGAGACTCAAATAAATGCTCGGCAAAATTGAACCTCGGACCGGGGCAATGTGTATATTTTGCGCACCGGGAGGGCGAAATCCAACTTTATACTTGGTTCGGTCCAATCTCGTGCGCATGAACCCGACACTTTTTTCTTGTTATTATCGTTATCAAGACAATAAAGTGGACCCATTTAATGAAATCACCAAGAAAGAATTTCTCGAACAATACGAGACACGTAAAAGCTAATGAAATAAACTTTTGGAAATGCTTTTCTACAAAACTAGGAACCCGTCTTCCGTTTGTGTAGCAGTTCAAGTTCATGTTATCCCGTTATCCCAATATCTTCTTTGAAGTAACACTAAAACAGCATAAAGTTCTTGGAATTCAACTTGCACTTGCCCACCCAAGTTCAATATTTCCTCATTTGTCTATGCTTGTATATAAAGTCGACTTTCAAATTCTGTGTCCCACTTTTCATACGATCGAAACACCCTTATCACATCTCAATGTAGAAATAGTTTAAGATAACATCATATATATTATTAATAATTAAAGTTCAATATCATCTGTTAGTTACCTCAAAGATCTCCTTTTTTTTTTAATATGTATAAATCCTCGACTTTGAAATTTATATCTGTATTCTCTGTTAAGAATAATCAAAATCTATTTGGAACCACACAATGTTCATAACTAGTCTTCAAATGGAAGGAAGAGAAAAGAACACGGAAACGATTTTTTTCCCGCTATACATTTATGCTTTTTGAGATTTCCGATTACTTTCATCGTATCGTTGATAAGTCAAATCCACAGAGGCCGGGCCTTGACTAGCGCCCCATACACATGGAATGGATCGATTTTTATTTTCTTTCTCCCAATGGATGGAGTTCCTCTTTCCCTCGGACGCAAATGGAGTGGCGCTACTAGCTCATCGGAGCAGCCGCGGGCAACAGGATCTGAACCTACACGAAAGGAGGCTAGATCAAGACACGGGCCAGACTTCTATGGGAATTCTGATCTCGATTTGCCGCCTCGGACAGATCCGGAGCTCCCCGCCGTGCGCATGCGAAGCGACTAGTTTATAAAATTAAACAAATTCAGCCGGAAAACACGAGCACGAGCAGTGTGGTCCCGAAATATGGCCAACCAACCATGCAAATTGAATTATGAGTCAACCAAATCCAAACAACATTAATTGACATGTTTCTGCATTATTTCCGGCAATTGCCAAGCTGCAGACACCCAGGATTAGCAGACTTTAGCCCTTGATTTGCCCAATTTATCGGATTCACGAAGCAATGTGTCACGGACCGATGGATCTAGCGTGTCAATTCTCTGGCCGTGATAAATGCATCATAGACTTTGGCACACCCATTGATTGTCCAGAAGAGAAAAAAGGGACGAAAGGACATTTATGTGCTTCTGTCCAAACGATGAAATAAGACATGAACCGGTTCAGTTCATTTCACCACCAATAGGAAAGGGCTCCATAGCCAATTCCACCACACCACCAACCCCACAATAATTTAGAATTTTTTTTTTGGGGCTAATTCTAGAATTAATAATGAATAATTGAAGCAAAAACAAGTTGCATTTCTAAACCTTCTTTTTTTTTGGGGGGGAAATCTTGTCTTGTTTGTCTCCGATCAATTCGTCCTAGGGGTGATCGATTCCCAAGCGGTCACATGGAACCGGTAACATATTCAGTTTTTTTTTTATTTGTCGTTAATATTCAAGATGAAACTGAAGATGTTTTTGATAATTAAAGCGTTTTTACAATCAGTGAGTTACGTGTAACATTGTAGGTTTCACAGAAATTTTTCTTATTTGTGGCAAAATTTGATTAGAATGAGCAATATTATTATGTTTTGATTTGTTCTTGTCATCTTACTCACATGCATAAGTAATCACAGCCACTCCAGCCTTGAAGGGCCTTCCTTTGTAAAATAAGAGATAAATTTGGGTTTTTTTCACATATTTTCAAGAAATAAAAAATTAAAAGAAATCAATCTAGTCCAGATGGTCTAGGTGGGCAATTCCACCGTTGGAACCGAGAATCAAACCTAAATTCACTAATTCCATATTGGAACTTCAAACAACCCAAAACAGGCTGGTTCGGTTCTGGCGGTTCCTTTTGCTCACTCCTAATTCGTTCCATTGCAAGCTGTAGTGTATATACCTGTATTTGTTAAAGTATTGCAATCGCTTGTTTACGAAATTTATATGTTCTTTATACACATGTGGTTTCAAGCTTTTAGGTTAAACATTCTAACTTAATACCAGAGCAAGAAGTCTCGAGTTCAAATCTTTCCAAGCCCCTTAATTATCTCCCTCGTTATATATTTCTATTCTCAATTTTAGGTGGAAGTCCAGCTTATGTGTGAGGGTAAATGTTAGGATATATAATTATTAAATCGCACATTTAACTTTTGAAACAGCCGGTAGAAATCTCACAAAACCTTATAGTGCTCGCAAAGAGACTCGCAAGGTCCGAAGCACTATGGAAAATAATTCGACGAAAAAGGAAAAAGCCAAGCGTTTCCTTTTTCTTCCAAAATTATTGGGCTATTTTAATTGGTGGGGGACCCTTTAGAAATTGGCCAAATTTGTCTGGTTGTGAATTATGACCAATCTATTAATTAATTGAGAATAGACAGTATATCATACTCATCACATTACATGATTGAGATGCTCGGATCCTCCCAATCTATTAAATCGCGCATATAACTTTTGAAATAGCTGTTCGAAATCTCACGGAACCTCATAGTGTTCGCAAAGAGACTCGCAAGGTCCGGAGCACTATGGAAAATAATTCGACGAAAAAGAACAAAGCCAAGTGTTTCCTTCTTCTTCCAAAATTATTGGGCTATTTTAATTGGTGGGGGGCCCTCAGAAATTGGCCAAATTTGTCTGGCTGTGAATTATGACCAATCTATTAATTGAGAACAGACAGTATATTGTGCTCATCACATTGCATGATTGAGATCCTCGGTTGTCCCACACGACACGATGCAATGAGCACGGCTCGTGCAAGAGAAAAAGCAGGAGACGAATCTCGATTCTCCTCCTGCACACGTCGGAATCGACGTGGCATGTCGACATGAATTATTATAAAAATTGAAGAATAATATGGTGTCTTGGCAACTCCATCCGCTTTCGATTTGTTTTATTCCAATCTTTGTAGTTTGTGTCGGACCGACGGAAAATGTATACGCGTGCTATTTGAGATGGCCAAGTAGAATTCATCGTCCTCTAGGGTGAGAATAAGCGTGCTGAAATCGTATTCTTTCTATGTCACTTAGCGAAGATTCACTAGATCCGAGATACAAATCAAACACCATCTTGCTGCATAAAAAAATTAATTGCTATGGGATTAACATATGATTAGAGGAAGCCGATAAAATAAATTTTACTATAGTGTTAGAGAGTTATGGGGGGCAAGGAAGTAATAGTATTATAGTTAGAAAAGTTGAACTGAATAATATCCGTGAATACCTTAGTACAAAAAGAAGCAAGGACGGCCTCGCCATGGGCGAGGGTCGCTAGCCATAGGGGCGTCGTGGTCTCGCTAGAACTGGGCGAGCGGCCACGTGCCCTCGCTTTGGCTAGCAAGTGCTGCAATGCCCTCGCTCAGTGCCGACGAGGGTCGGCCGGCGACCCTTAACCGCCCTCAATCCAAAAAAAAAAAAGTAAATCAAAGAAAAGAAAAAAAAACAAAATTTAAAAATGTCTACGGTAACGCCAGCCGTGCCACATCGGATGGCTGTCATCTATGTCAGTGATTTCCGTCCAAAATTAACTACATGGACTCAATTGGCAAAATGTGAAAATGTTTAGAACTCAATAGATATAATAGAAAGGTTTATGACTGAATTGGCATAAATGTAATAAGTTTAAGAATTTTTTTTTATAATTGTCTCGTTCTGCAATCACACATTTATTTTTCTAAAATTTTAGATATAGCTGCTTCTCTTCGTGTACTTTTTTTATTTCTTACATGTATACATGTCCAGTCTTTTGTTAAATACTGAGAAAAGGGAACGATGCTATAGAACTTCAATCGATTATGCATAACCTAATCACCATAAAAAAATGATTTTTTTTTAAATTTAGTGCGCAACAAATTATTCTTTTTTCTTGTGAAAATACCTGGAAACCACATATATTCAATATAATTATATTGGGATTCGGCCCCATTCACAAATGGCCAAGCTTGAGAAATGTTACTTTTCCAAACTAGTGGGGAGTCGATTTGTCACTTTCATTTTTAGGTGGATGATGAACATTTTAGGTTGGATGTGAGTGCAGTGGGTCGACATGTGCTAGCTCAAGGCCACGTTATAATATTCTTATTTATCTCTATAGGGTCGAATTTCGACAGCCACTTGTAATTGCAAATTGGGAAACTCTTCTTATTAAATTTTAGGACGAGATTTTAGGCTAAACTTTAGTAGAAAAATAGCCATGCTTGTGTTAGCAGAAAGGATTAGGTCACCAAGTATTCAATTCCCATGTTTGACTGGACCAAGATAAGGTTGCCACATGAGTTGGCAACTCAGAATTGGCTGTACCTACATTATCTGGGGAGATTGTCCAATCGGTTGCAAACTTATCGTACGAATGCCAATTCGATCTTAAACTTTTTAATTTTATCAATTTAGTTATAAACTTTTCGATTTTGCTAATTTAGTCCTAAGCTTTTGGATGAAATTCCAATGTAGTCATTCGGCCAATTTTCGCAGAAATTGCCGACGTGGCGGTGTGCCACATAGGATGGCTGGCAAATCACTAGATCGCCCCGTCAGCGATTTCAGGGGAAAATTGATCGGAATGACGACATTCAAATTTTGCGCGTAGATGTGAGACTAAATTGGCGAAATTTAAAAGTTTATGACTATTCGTACAGTAGAATAATAACTAATTGCTTAATTTTCCCTGCATTATTTCGAGAGGCGTTGGGTGTGGTAAGATCAGATTTACCGTATCAATGATGTTGGTGATTAAATAGCAAAATTATTGTAATGATAATCACGAGAGAAATGTTGCATCCATTGTCGTTTGCTAATGAAATGGTAGTGTAAGATCCCACAAGGTATTCAAGTCTCTCTCCAATTATTGATGAGGAGTATACATCGACATGCGAAAAATGTCCAAAAAGTCCTTAACCTATTTCATTTTTATCAATTCAATCATGAACCTTTCAATTTTGCTAATTAAGTCCTAAACCTTTTCATATTTTGCCAATCGATTCATAAACATTTTAATATTTTGCTAATTAAGTCTATCTGATCAATTTTAGCCGAAAAATCTTTAATGTAAATGCCGACCGGCCTACGTAGCAAGAAAGCCAGCACTGGGCCTCAGCAACTCGCCAGAGGCGAGGGCTGGAGAGGCTCGACGTCATCTGATTTGGCGAGGCTCGCCCTTGCAAGTGACCGGTCAATGACGAGCTTCGCCAGAAGTCGTCGAAGGTCGACCTCGCCTCTCGCCATGTCTCGGCAAAAGCGTGACACTTACAGTTTTATTTTTAATATATGGTATAAGAGTAGGAAGATACACCTTTTTTTTTTCTATGTGTTCTATTTATGTGCAAATTCTTTCGCCCACATAAATCGAGTTCATCGACGTATTATGGGGCAATTATGTCGCACAGACGGTGCGTGACACTCGTAAGAAGTCAACAAGTCACGGATGAGATTCTTCAGAGTTTCAAAACCCGAGGAGCATGGGGCACGTCGGAACCACACGTCAATCAGCAAGGATCATAAAATACGGCTCCGATGCATACGACGACGAACATCGTAATTAGCCGATTGCACCAAATCAATCATGCACCCAATCCATATATGCACAAGATACTCATTTTCGAGCTCACCCCATTTCAGGCCCTCTGTCATCCTATCGCTTTTGGGGGCGAGCAACGTTTTCCTCGTAAGTTTAAGCGTTCAGAACGGGCGGTCACATTAACGAAAGGACCGAGAGGGGCATGATTGATTAACGAATGTGTCCTTCTTCTCGGAGAGGTGGAATCCAAGATCACTCACTCCTGTGATCGAGAGGGCAACGCATTCACGCACAGGATACCATCATTAACTTTGCTTTGGTCTCTTCGATTTCATGAGCAATTATTAGAGTGCGGACAAGCGTCCAGATGTCTCACGCACATGCCACAGAAAAAGTGGGGGAAATGGAAACGATGACATATGCGTGGGACAAGTGTGTCCGATCTTCGAAAGGGTTCGCCTATAAATACGAACGCCTTTCGCTCCAAAGTGAATCGCCGAGTCTCATGGACGCTTCTCCTCATCTCGTTCTCTCGCGTTCTTGCCGGAGTCCCCGTTCGTCTCGCCCCGGTTCTTGCTGGCCCGTGATGATCTTCGAGACCCAGTTCAAATTCGATTCTAGGTTCGTCCTTCTCTCTCTCTCTTCCGTGTTCTTGCTCTTGTTCGTCCAATTGGTGTTTTCTTTCATTTATATCGGGAAGCATTCGCATACGTCTCGTTTAGCCGTTCCTTGAGGCGCAGGGACGGGACCGACGGGGTGGCCGGCGACGGCACGGCCACCGGCCGTCCCTCCCCCGATCGGATAGGGATGTTGTCTCCCCTTTCTTTACTGGTTTTCTGAGTTTCCACGACGACCATTCGTTCTCTACATCTGTCTGTCTTTTCTCCGATGATTACGACCCCGACGAGGATGCGAGTTGGAAGTTTTGGGGGCCCCTCCCTTTCTATCTCGTTCTAAGCCTCCAATAAAGAACGCAAAACAAGAATTTGAAAAAACATTCTCGCTCCATATTCAATTATTTGATCTGCCTCTTTCTGTCGACCGCCGAGATCTCGATTCTGGACCCGCCATGCAAATCTTATCGTGTTCGTCGTTAAAGACCGTTGTCGGATCTGCTCTCTCTCCAAAGCTTTGCTTGCTTGCTTCTTCTTCTTTATCATAATTTTGGCTATTGTCGGCCATTTGCTGTGATTATTCTTATTCGATGATGAGCTGTCGTTTCTTGATTTGGCGGTCGTCCTGTGCATTTCTGACTATCCGAGATTCCGTAGAAGGTCGTCTCACGTAAGATTTCTTTGTTGGGTTGCTTTCGACTTGGTTGTGTATTCGATGTCGGGCACGTCCAAGACAAGACGGAGTCGTCTAAGAGCAGTATGCAAACTTCAAATCGATGAGGCAACCCCGCAACTCGATCATTTGTATTTCGGCCTCTATCATCCGTTAAACCATCGTTTGATTATTCTTTACGACCGGCGGCGGAGCGGGATTAAGACGGTTTAAGGAGGCGAGGAAAGGTAGGGAGAGAGGGGCCGGAGGAGTTTTCTCAGCGAGAACGCCATCTAAAAACGATTCAAAAGGTAAAAATTCCAAACGGCATGTAGCGGTCACTATCGAACTGCTTCGATATCTGAACGGTCCGCCGTCCGGTAATAACCGTCGAATAAGAGAGTTCTTCGACTGCCAAATTGTGTGTCGTCTCGAGAGCCGATCTACCGAATGGTACTATACATTTTATTGGCAAGAATCGATCCCTAAGTTTCGCATCGCATCGATTGTTTGGAAGAAGCCCTTTCTAGGTTCAGTGATCCTCCCACTTTCCATCCTTCTACAAAGAGAATATTTCGGGACTATATGATAAGATAATGATTTTGACGGGCCACTTGCCCTTTACATGTTCTCCCTGGCCCCGCCCTGGAGGCAAGAAAACATGCTGTTTGGTCCCACTTGTGATCCCCACTCCACATAGAAAAGGTCGTGTAAATTGAAAATTGAGAAATAATAGAAGCATTATGAACTAAACAACAAGATTTGTTGTTAATATTATTGATATAGTCCAAACTGACTAGATCAAAGCTGGTGTTTCTACGTCCATGAATTGGCAGCGAATCGGGTCCGCAAAAATATAATATAATCTATAATATATAAGAATGAGACCACACACTCTTTATTATCATATGGTATCAACACTCTCCACGCCAAATCCCAGAATAATTAGTGATTTAAACATATTGATTTACGAGCCGCATGAGTGGTCCTGGTGGTCAAGTTGGTGTAGCCAAATTTGTCAGGAACAATTGCGGACGTTTCTCGCTTAATTTCATGCTGAATAAACATGGTGATGACCATCCGCATCCTTGAAAGAGATGGTTAAATGATCCTAATCCAAGGGTTTAGTCATGTGATTAGCTTTTGATGAGATGTCGTGATCTTGCACGTCTTTTCGTAACAGATGCATCTGCCCAGATCGATGTGATGATCTCGTCCTCATGATGCAAAATCGGGTGTTTTCCCGATATGGGTATCTCATCGAAAGCTGGCGAAGTTCTAAAAGTTGGGATGGCAATTGTTATTCGTTAGGATTTCATCTGAATACATTTGGCATCTCCTGTTTCATTTCTTCCGAGCTGGGTTAGAGTGCTGAGTCGTTCTTCGTTGACGATTCGAAAAACTTGGGAAAGGAAAGATTATGTGGTGGATCGGGTTAATCAAATGCGAATTGAACACTGTGAATCAACATAAGAGTGACCGGTTTACCACGTGACTTTTATTCTTCGAAGAAGAGATGTGATAAACTTAGAGTAACTTGTTGATATCGGATTCTCCATTGTGTTATATTCATATGCTTTGAGTTTTTTTTTTTTTTTGGTTACAAAAAAATTTCTCTGAAAACAAAAGCAGATGGATCTGAATTTGAAATGCCAAGAGCAAGTTTGTATGTGAGTAGCCCTAGAAACTCCAGGGTTGCCTTGTGCACATGTCACAACGGTACCCCAAAATCAGACAAACCAGCGGTACCTTCATGGTTCCTTCCTTCCTTCCAAAAGTTATGATTGTTGGATCTACTCTTGTTCCACAATCATCTTCTTCTTTGGACTATGTCATTCCTTAATCTGGTCTGGGATTCACTGTTTGATGATTTCTCTTGTCTCAGTGATAATCAATGGGTTTCTCTTTCTAAAACACCTCTCTCTTTTGTGCTCTTTCCCAGGATTTTCCTTCTCTTTTATTAGCTATATAAAAAAAAAAAAACAAGAGGCTCAAGCTCATATACAGGGCCAGAGCTAGGATTTTGCTGCATTAGGCAAGCAAAACTAGAGTCAAAACACAAGCAAAAGGGACAGACGTATTTCTGGGTACATTTGTCTTGAGAAGAAGAAGAAGATGGGTTTTTGGACACTGTTTGAGGTGGCATCGATGCCAATTTTGCAAGTTCTGCTGATCAGTGGGTTGGGAGCTGTTGTGGCAACTGAATATTGCAGTCTTCTCACTGCAGATGCAAGGAAGTCCTTGAACAAGGTAAAATATGTTTAAATAATTGTTGTCTTGCCTCTTGAAAGAGGGAAAGTTGAACACCTGTAGCTTCTATGTGATGCATTTTCTTCCTGAATGCATACCTTAGTGAAGAGGGAATTTTATTTGATGCAGATAGTGTTCATGTTGTTCACTCCATCTCTGATGTTTGCCAGTCTGGCGAGGACCGTCACTCTCCAAGACATTATCTCATGGTAGGGAAATTTTTTCAGCCATTCGCTTCCTTTTGGTGTTCATTTTGATGTCTGCATTCACTTGAGTCAGAAAGATATAATTATGTAGCAGTCAGCAGATGATATGATCTTCCATTTTTTTAAGTTGCTCCACTGAAAGACTTGCCGAGCTCCACCATTGTTAGTCTGAGTCTATTATGCTTGAAAAGTTGATAGTTTTTAGCTCCTTTACTAAGAGCATTGAGGACTCTGTTTCTGCACCTAAGATACTGATGCTTATGACCTCGGATATGAAGGTGGTTCATGCCAGTGAACATTGCCATCACCTTCTTGTTTGGAGGGATGCTTGGATGGATAGTCGTGAAATTACTCAAGCCCAAGCCATATCTAGAGGGCCTGGTGATTGCTACATGTGCATCAGGTAATTGATTTTTATCAACAAATCAGTTAGAACTCGTCTATGTGACTAGAAACGTGAGCTCTTGAGTCTGATAACAGTTTTGTCTGCCTCCTAAAAGGAAACCTGGGAAATCTTCTGCTGATAATTGTGCCAGCAATCTGTAATGAAGACAACAATCCCTTCGGGGATAAGAGCACCTGCAGCTCTGTCGGACTATCCTACGTGTCATTCTCCATGGCGGTAATGAAGCCTCACATGTCCCATTACCCAATATGTGATTGAGTTCAAAACATCTCATGAGATGGAATGAAAAGGAGTGAAAAAGAATTACCTAGTAAATTTCCTCCAAATTTGACATTTGGTTCTATGAAACCATTGACGATCTGTTTCCCAAACTCTTTTTCAAGATAAGCAGGATAGTATGGTTGTTTTATTAGGTGCATTAATATGGCATACCCTCTGCTTCTTGTTCTCTGAATTCAGTTCTGATCCGTGTTTCTGATTTAACACAGCTTGGAGGTTTCTTCATTTGGACTTATACTTACCAATTGGTACGATCTTCATCGGTGAAATACAAAGAGCTTCAAGCAGTGGACAATTTCGCAAAGCAGCCCAATAAGGACTTGGACTCTAATGAGAGCACACACCTGCTCAAAGGAGAAGATCAAGAGCCAGTAGTAATGAGTGTGCAGTCCACAAAATCTGTTGAAGATGTAGAAGACCAAGCTGTAAGTCTTCCTCTCATGAACCTAAAACCGTAGTATCGAATCTCTCGAAGCCCCTTCAGCCCTAATCTTTCACAAGACAATGTCTCACCTGTTCAATTGCCACATCGCAGGTCATATCTCAAGAATCAAGCAGCAAGTCCGAAAAAGAATCGGGGACACTCTGGGATAAATTGGCAGGAGTTCTTCACATGATCGTGGAGGAGTTGATGGCACCTCCAACCCTCGCTACTGTGAGTCTCTCTGTGCATATTAATTGCTCAGCTACGATTCATCTTTCCAGTTTGAGTAAAAAAGTGAGCAATGCACTAATCTGTTGCATATATTCTCAGATATTGGGATTCATCTTCGGGGCCGTTTCGTGGCTGAGGAAGCTCATTATAGGCAACAGTGCCCCGCTGCGGGTGATCCAAGATTCCATCAAATTACTGGGGTAAATATCGTTTCTTTATTGCATACAACATCACTAATTTGAAGTAACCAGGACTGGATGACTCCTCTAAATAGTAGGGAAGGTCAAGTTATGACTCAAGTCAGAACTCTTCCTTGTGTTTTCGAGTTTCTTAATGGCTTTTAACCATGCAGTGATGGAACCATACCTTGCATTACCCTCATACTTGGAGGCAACCTCACTCAAGGTAAGAAAGAGCTTTCAAAACTGTCAAGTACCTTTTGAAGAGCCAATCAAAAGACAACAGTAAAAATGATCCGCACTTAAATTGCTCGGATCCCATCCATACAGGCCTGCGCTCTTCGAGAATCAGACCCTCGGTCATCCTTGGCGTAATATCTGTTCGGTACATGATACTCCCAGTGATTGGCATCTGGGTCGTCAAAGCAGCTGATCATCTCGGCTTCCTCCCGCCAGACCCACTCTACCATTACGTGCTAATGATGCAATTCACACTGCCACCAGCCATGAATATCGGTAAGCCATGTTCTTCACTGCAGCCTCATAATCTCATAGAACTGAAACATTTCTCACCAAGAAATAGAAGGCAACAAAAGGCTGAAATGAATGTGGAATGGCAATGCAGGGACTATAACCCAGCTGTTTAATGTGGGTCAAGAGGAGTGTTCAGTTCTCTTCCTGTGGACATACTTGGTTGCAGCACTAGCGCTCACTTTCTGGTCGATCGTGTATATGGGGATCTTGTCCTGAGAATTCTTCAGCTCAAGCAGGGCCAACCCAATTGGCGCAGTGGATTGTTCGGGCAGGCATTAATACATTGTTGGGTCAATATGGTCGATTGTTTTTTTTTAGGGTGTAGGCTTTGTTCCAATTTTTTTGCGTGTAATCAGTAGCTAAATTTGTCATCGTTTGCCTCCGCTGTAAACTAGGGAGAAAACAGGCTTTGGGTAACGCAGTTTATAGTAAGGTTTTTTTTTTGCCATATTCTTTGTGGTGGGAAGGTACTTGTTGGTGTTACCTTTGGTAAACTAGTGATGAAACGTGGTAATCACTTGTCTCTGCATTTTTACTTATTTCCGTTTCATTTCTATTCAGTCTCAAAGAAGAAGAAGGGCAATGGGATTAGTAACCTGTCTGGATGTTAGATTAAACCAGCCCATAGCAAGCATGACCAATATATTTGTTAACGTGAAAAATTCAACCGACGGAGGACAAGTCATGCGGAAATATAAATGTTAATTAGCAAAAGCGTCATGAAGCCAAAAGGAAGGGAATTAAAAGAAATGCATCATATCTCTCATGGTCAAAAGCCACTGAAGTTTCCCTTTCCTGGATCTGTCCAAGCATTCCATTTGCCTTGCATGATTTCAAATGCCCCATTAATACTTCCTCAAACAAGTTTGAGCACTCTTAACAACAGCAGACTTGTCTACTAGATGAGTTTGACCAAACCGGAAATGGTTTACGAACTTTATTAAAAGGATTTCTTTCCGCTAGCGTCATGCCAATTATGCACATATTGCGTGATGATGTCTGCAATTTCCCAAGCCAGAAAGTTTCAAAAAGTTGTATAGGGATTCAGATGCTGCAAGTGCTTATCTTTAAACAGCCTGAAGTCTGTTTTATATATGTAGTCTCTCTCCACCTAATAGTTTGAACTTTCCGTTCAGACATTCTACCATATATCAAAAACCAAGTTACGCCCTAATTGATTTCGTTTCTATGGACCCATTCGTCAATTTTACTTGTGGTTCTCAGTTCAATTTGCACGTGTGAGGGGGTTTTAAAGTATTCTGCGTCGTTTATCTACAGGTTATATTATCGTTTAAGTTTTTGATTTGGCATTTAAACAGGGGAGATAGAAGTTCTTTTAGTTATTTCCACATGATTTGGCATACGTTTAGCTTTTGTAGAAGAGGTTATACACCAGAAAAGACTCGTATGAACGGAGGAAGAACCTGTTTAACAACAATCTGCAGTTCTGCACAATCTAAGTTTATATTAACTATCTGTGGTCCATCCTTGCTTAAGCTTTAATACAAGAAAGAGCTGCGCCTGATTTAGTGACACTTATTGTGTATCTTATGGATATCATCTCTGCTTCAGATGTCATTTCCTGAATATGGGCAGTGAACTATGTAAGAAAAAGAAAGCGTTCTCCTTTGATTGAGTAGATCAATAACACAGGGCCAACAAGTTCATGCGTAGCCAGCCCACGAACTATCATTTGTGTAGTCTAGTGACGTTGGCTAATAGAAGATATGAAATCCCACATCCAAAAAGATCACAGAGAATGTGAAAGAAGAAAGAAGGAGCACAGACCCAGATAACAGAAAAAGCCAGTCTCTCCACATCTGCTCGAAACAAACATACGTCTGCAACATAGATTTTGCACATTAAGTTAGATCGAGGAAGGACTATGGATTAAACACAACTGGTCTCTTTGCTCCGGTATCAACGAGATGATTTTAAAGCTCCAAATGACATTTTACCTTCTGTCAAAGGCATTGGTGGCATATCAATGTGGCGCTCAACAAGGTAAACAGACATGCCGCTTTGCGCAGCCTCATCGTCAAGTGGTGTGGAAGGGCGCGGCGGGCTTTGTCACATCAGCAATTTCTAGGCGACTAATATTAAAGTACCAAACAACTTAATTCCAGCATTAAAAAAAAGGTCTTGTTATCAAGAGCTCTGTTAATCATACTTAAGTGTACATCTGCTTGCCGTTTCGCATTGTGTAAACCAATCAACATAAGATCTCTGTGACTAATTCTTACATATGAATTAGAATTTGGACAGGAAAGATCATTCTTCGGGTCCTTCCAGTTCTTAAAATTCATACTTCGCTTGCATTACTACTGCCCGACTATCTCTAATGGGAGGTCATCTGAATCTTATTTTGCTTTTGTGTTGCTTAGTTCCAAAAGTTGTTATAGGAGCAGATGCTGTATGTATCGTGTTTTCATGGATGGACAGAAAGTGAAACCCAGGAAGAGAGATAGCTCGATTCATTTTCTGATGGATCAGAAGGGAACAGGTGGACCTTCTCTCATAAGATCTCACTCACAGTGAAGGATGACTAGTACTTAATGTAGTTGTCCGCGACCATTTTTGTAATAGCCCGGTGTCCAGATGTGGCTTCTTGTCTCTGGGTTGTTTCGTTGCCCTCGTGACTTGCAAATTTCGTGATCTACAGGAAAGGGGGCAATGGAGCTTTGAAGACTTACAGGAAACATTCGATGATATGTTTCAGAGGGAAATTAAGACGTCTAGATTCGGCTCACAGATGGTGGATCCTACTACATCTTCATCTTCTTGCGTGGTTTACTACGAAAGTTCTACTTCCGGCAAGAAGTGTGATTTCACAGCAATGAACAGCGGCAAGAAAGAGGGTGGTTGTGGCTCTGACTCCCAATTTCAAAAATTTTATCCAGAGGTGAGCACATCTCTCTCTCTCTCTTCTTTTAGCTTACTATAGAATGCATTACAATGAAGTCCAAAACGTGTATGTTTCCATCCTGACACAAGTCCAAAACGTAAGTTCAAAACATCGCAGCCTGGTTCGCAGAGAGCATGGCCGGGTCGAGGCATGACGTCAGTGTCGAGACAATTAAGGGGATCGACAGCGTGAGGTTGACCAAGTCCGTGTTGTGCCACCGGATCCTCTTCCTGTACTTGCTCTACTACTGCCCCTCCGGTCCCCAAGGTCCAGGTTCCACGAGGCGGATCTGCTCGATCGCAAGACCAAGGTCAAGATCAACCACGGCGTGGCCATTTGCCACATCGACACGTCGGTGTGGAGCGCACGAGGCGTTCCTGGCCCTAGGGTTGCGGCCGGGTTTGATCGAGGTTCTGCCATTATATCATCGAGAATGACTCGACTTGGACGAGCATTAGCCTCACAGACGGACGAGGTCTTCTGAGCTCCTCCTTGGTAACTGTCGAATTGCATCCTTTAGAAAGAGCTATCCGCTTTTTTCTAATTTTAATCCTCTTATCCCAGGCGCTAGATTCAGCGAAAGCCAAAGCCTTATTTCCGGAAATAGAAAGAACATATAGACTCTTGTGTGCTCCTCAAGGAATGGACATGCAAAAGGAATTTCTATCCATAGAAACATCGCCCTAGTTTGATGAATCCTAGATGCATCAAATTGTCTTTTTATTAGTCGAAGTGCTCTTTAAGCAAAGAGAGTGCTTCTTATAAAGATTCAAGGGATAAGAACAGTAGGACTGCCATAACTTTCGTACGGCGCTCACTTAAATGCCATAACTTTTTTTTTCGCTCACCTAAGTGCCACAAATTTGAAAAATTAATCACTTGAGTACTATCGGCGATTTGCCTCATCGGAAAATCTAACGTGGACGCCGACTGTCCTACGTGGCTTCGCCGGAGCTTACATGGATAATTTTTTAATATTTTTCTATTCTTTTTTATTTTTCGTTTATTCTTTTATTTTTGGCAAAAAAATTTTCAATCCCGACGTGGGTCGCCAGTGACCCTCGCCGGCTGTGAAGGCCTCGCCCAAATTTGGGCGAGGGCCACCTTGCCCTTGGCCACGAAGGCCCTGGGCGAGGGCCGCTTGTGCCAGAAGTCCATATCGAGGTCTGCAGCACACATGCAAAAAAAATTCAAGCGAAAAGGATTAAGCTTTTTCGTTTTGAGCTCGTAATGGTTTTAAAGTTACACAAGCTGATTCCTCAGTGTCACTAAGACAAATGAAGACGCGAGATGAAGGAAAAGGTAAGGAGGCAAGAGAAGAGATCGATGCTCCAAAGAGTGGGGAGAAAACGAAAAGTCTCTTCTAGTGTCCCATTAGTTCCCTAGCCGATAAGCCGGGGCCTACTCTTTTTTTCATCTGCTGTCTGATTAGTTCTCTAGTCCTTGTTCATAGCGTCGAATCACGACTTAGGATCTCGGATCGGGGTAATTAACCGCCGATTGTTTACCCGCAACACTTAAATTAGCTACCACGGTAACGTATGGTCGGTTTCTGCATATGTTGACAAAATCGTAACAAAAATAAGCCCGGAAAATTTAGACGAAATGCTGGCTTCGCATCTTCTCCAACCAAGAATTCTAACTCTGGTAAAAAATCTTGGCCCCCCAGCTCCTTAGTATGTGGGAACCAGGTTGGTCTGCTGTGTTAGAGGAACAACAACCTACTCGGAACCCATCAACCTGGAGCCAAACCACAGCGGGAACAAGGTGGGAAACATTTGAGGCGAGCAGATAACCTATCAAAAAGGTATTGGGAACGCCCTTTACCTATTCATCTTTCTTATTGTTTTGCTATGCCATACTTTTGAGGAGTATCATGCCCGCGCAGGTCTGCAGATCGGCGAACCATCCACAAGCTCGAGTCATCCTGGACCCGTGGAGAGTGGCAGGAGAAGGCACAGATCCGAGGAGTCGAGACAAGAGACCTTGTGTTATTTCTATCTCGTTAGTTATTACTAAATTTAATCTGAAAATTTCATGGCTAAGCAAACTCAAGACCCTTTACTTGTTATGACTCATTAAAACAAAAAACTTGGGGGTCTTTGGGCATTAATATTCATGTAGCCATTATGTATTTCTCCCTTAGATTTGGCTTTCAACTGGTAACAATACCGTCTCATTGTGCTCGAAAACTAAGCAGAAGTCTGATCTATGCAATTTGCTACATGCAGATACATGTTGATGGATAACATCGGCATGCGGCGTGCGGACCTGTTCTGGCTACTCTAACAGGACGAGACAATGAATAAGAACCAATTCTCCTGATGCCATCATACACGCGACATATTTCTACATAGCGAACTTAGCCCACTGCATAAGAATTGAGCATGTGATCCAAATACTTGCACATGAAAATTGCCCTGGAAAGCATACACTTTACTCAATTTTTCTGATTCACAACAATTTAAAATTGTCCACAAGTATAACATATCTATGGAGTATAACAAGGTTTGAAATACCATATCAGAAAGATTTCATGTGACTAAAAGTGAGTTTTGGGACGGATTTACATTTACTTAAACTTCGTTACCAGAATTAAAGTTGTTGTTTGAAGAGTATTCGATATGCCTTCTCTTGGAATCATACAGCGATCCATCGTCGTCAGTGCTCCTGTTGGAGGCCCGCTCCATTTGTCTCCTCTTGGACCGGCTTATCACCGTCTCTTCCTTCTCGTCGATGAAGGAGAGAAAAGTCCATAGACGGCTCGATCGGGAGCTTGAGGTGGAGCTCTCGGGTTCCTCGGAATAGTGCCGGCTGAACTGGCGGAACATCCTTAGGAAATATATCAAGAGGGCCAAGAAGCAAGCTAATCCACACAGAACGAAGAGGCCCCAGAAACTTTTAAGGTGAAGACGGTCGAGTGCGAACTTCGTCCCCTGTGATGTGCAGGCACTGCTCATTAGCCATTTGTCATGCATCCGTTGGAGATCCCCGTTTTCCGAGAGCTTCAGGATCGCTGTCGATATATCAACTGCCAAGGGTGAGTCCCGTGGAAATGCCTGGTCATCGCAAATCATTTACAAATGGCGTTAAAATCACGATTCACAGAACAATATCTCCCTCACATTGACAGTATTGATAAATTTATTTGTAATGATACAAGATCAACAAATCATGCATCTGTCAAGCTTGCTTAACCTTTTTCCATGGACTTGCTACAATTTTTCATCTAAAACTTTTTTCAAAAGAAGAAGAAAAGATCGATACTTACAAATCCCCATCCATTTTTGGTGAATTCATGACCCACAATGCTGAATTCGCATCGAGTTGAGAGAAAAAGCTCGACATATGCGCGCTCGTCGATCACCGCAGTGACTCCACCTTTGTGAGGACCATCTTTCAAGGCCTTGGTATAATCTTCTGGCGTGATGAGAGGAACAAGTCTGGATTCATGGATGCCAAGTTCCCCTATCAAATAACTGCGGGCAAACGAACCCTGCTGGTATCCTATGGGATCGTTACTTGATAATAACGTTTCAATCCCTTTGATAGGAGAAGAAAGCTGTTGGACTGTAAGGATCGAGGTCAGACTCGCCGTGTAACTCGAGTTAATGATAAGAACCACAAACAGCCATATGATCAGCACAAAGCGACCGAGCATACTCACGGTATTTTCTCCTGCACAATTGCGTTCAAGATAGCACAATGAGTTTAAAAGAGAGCAGCCTTTTCTTGGAAACTGTGCGCACGCGCATATATATCTGTGTTGTGTTGGAGAGAGTGGAGGTTAACTTACTATGAGCAAAAAACCAAGTTGAAAAGCTAAACCTGCAGAATGAAAGGATAAGTGGGTCAGGAATCATCAGGTGGATGCAGTCATATGTTTACCGCAAAATGTCAATTTTCTGCTCTTCATTTTTTTGGATGCAGTGAGAATTTGTAGCTACAGATGTCATTCTCTAGGACACTCAAGTCTGGACATCTGCAACTGCAAGTGCTTATGCCTGTTCAAATGTTTTGTACAGGTTACCTCATCTACCTCCACAGCACTTAACCTTCCGCAATCGGCCTGGTCGAGCTCTTTTAAGTGACAAATGTTACTTGTCCTCATAGATTACGACCAACCAAAATTGTGAGATGACACTGAGGGGTTGCATTAAGTGAGATACGCTTGCAACCCTGCTTCTCAAAGTCATGTTGCTACATGAACTCATATTGATTCTCAATCTTTACTCGATCTCACTTACCTAGAACATCTAATCTAGTTAAAGTAGGAGCTGGAAATGGTGAGCTGACTTCAAGTAAAGTCAAGAATCTCATATGAGGACATGAGGGCTTGATCATGACCGTGGAGTGTTCATATCTGTCTTACGTGTTGGATCTTGTCAACACTCAAACCATAGTAGCATGTGTATTAATTCAAGCTGTGACTATTTAGACGCTTCTCCAGATTTCCCATCGATCTGGGTAGTACTATAGCGGTGATTGAAGTGGAAACACTAGTCACGTGGGTTCACCATGGAAACGCAAATCAAACAGATTCGCTCTCGCTATGTAAGTGATTGAACTCTGGCAAATTTTGCTTAATGAAATCAATCTTTAGTAGTCTGATGCTAGCTATGAAAAATTTATGGTCACTCACCAGAGCATAGTGATAATTTGTCTCCTAAGAGGTCCGCGGAAGTCATCGTTCAACCTGTGCTCCAGAATCCACACTACCGATCCGACAATGAGGAAGAAGAAGGCCGTTACGCACCACAGCTTCCAAGTAAACGGCCTGAAGAAAGCCCACGCATTAGAGTCTGATTTCCTGACTGGGGCCACCACGACTAGCCCGGACTCAATATATGGCTGTGTAAAATCCACCATCCTAGTCCTGTTGGTGGTGATCGCGATATCTCCTACTGCAGCATCAAAGGTCTGTAGAGAGGGCAAAAAACTGATCACTCAAGGAAAAGAGTGGCTAACAAATTAAAACTCACAAGAGATCTTTATTGACACCAACCCCAGTTGTTAGCAACCGAACAAGCTCCGTGGCACTTGGGTTGCTGTGTCCATCCCCAAACGGAATGAACTTATAAGGCACGGCATAAGGCAACAAGTTCAAAGCAGCTGTGAAGACATCGATGCAGTAACCAGTGAACGTATCAGTCGTGCCCTCCGCTGGCGACACAAATTCGCGGTAGCTAACTCTCATTGGGACTCCAATCTTCAAGTGCCTACCATTGTCTGGGAAAACCCAACCACGAGGCTTCTGTGTTGTTTCTCCGGGCCAAATAACCGGGTACAGTTGCTGGCTCGAGCTGGAACGATTTGGTGGCCTTGCGTACAGCATATCGGGAGGCACAATCGTTAAGCCAGAGTAGTTAGACCAATAACCAACCTTCCTATATCCACTGCCTGCCACATTGATAATTTCAAATGCTGGATGAATAAGGTTTTTGTCAGGAGCGAATTGAATAGGGCCCGTTATGCCCGTTGTATTGACTTGCAGAATGGAGTCGCGCAGCAATTTCCCTCCATTGAAGATGCTCATTGCATCGAGGTGCAGATTTCCCCCTTTCAGCTCGGTCAACTTCGAATCATTTGAAAAGGAAATGACTCCACCCTGATCGAAAAACGTGTTAATTGCTCGAGCAAGTATCCAAACTGTGTCATATGCGTATAAGCCGTAGCTACTCAGTCCAAACGTCCCATTAGACGAAAATGTGCTTGTCAAATTGCTCCACCGAGAAACGAATTTCCTCTTGAGTTCGGTGTCTGGTGTGTACGGACTCAGCGATAGGATTCCCTGATACGTCTTCATCACATCCCAAGGGAGGGGCGAGCTCGTGTCTAAGATTGTTGAAAGCCAGTTAGTTGTGATCCAAACATATCCATTACCCATCATTCCAAGAGACTCGGCCACTTTAAGCACCAGTGGTCCTGGAGTGGAGTAAGTGTGAAGAACGATGATGCGCGACTCCATCAACGCCACCTTCACCAGCACATCGGTCATGTCATCCCGACTCGCAGTATAGCTCATTGGTGCCTTGTAAGAGATCTTGCAGCGGCGCTCCGCGAGCTTGTCTGCTAATGCAGCAATACCATTCCTCCCGTGGTCATCATCAACATAGATGGCTGTCACTTCCCTCCACCCGTAAAAGTCCACCATTGCCGCTATCGCGGCCATCTGAAACAGATCATTCTGTGCGGTCCTTATGAAGTAAGGGAACTGGAGTGAGGACAGGGTCGGGTCCGTGGCTGAAAACGAGAGCAGAGGGACTTGCAATTCACTTGCAAATTGCGATATCACATGAGCAGTGACCGAAGTTTGGGGTCCAATTATGGCAACTGTGTCACTCTCCATGAACTGTAAAGCTGAAAGAAAGGATTCTATTCAGCTACAAACTCTGAATCTCACGATTTACACACTTCATACCAGCATAAATAGGCATTACGAGAGAAACATCAGACTTACCCTCAACTATGCCCAGAAAGCCACTGTAGTTGGTGTCCTGTATTGTAAGCTTGAGCTTGGTTCCACCAAGAACTGATGGGTCGGAGTTCACATCCTCAACTGCAGCGAGAATAGCCACTTGAGCCACTTTGCCTATCAGGGTGTTGACAGAGAAGACACCCCCAATGTTCACAAACTCCGGCCTCGTGGAAGCGTTTGTGCTAGCTCCAAATGAGCACAGTCCACTTTGCAAAACCAGAAGCACCACGAGCCAGACCATGCTGGTGCTTGCTTGCATACTCCCAAAGGCTTATAATATCTTTTCACTTTTGTTGCTCAAAGGTCCAAATATGCAGCAAAAATCAAGCAAGAGAAGTGACACGAACATCAAAAAGTAGCTATTTTGGGAGGTTAGCGACAAACCCTTTTGGAGACCATGCTTGTTCAGAAGACTCAAACTCTCCAACAATTCTCGCCTGTAGAGCTTTGGTCTCAGAATCAGGCTATTACACCCAGGAGCAGCATGAACTAGCGCCCGAGACAAGAACGGGTAATGAAGTGGGTGTGTGGTGAGAGCGCATTTCGCTGCTTTGCTTTTGCTGGGTTGTCATGAGATGATTTGTCACTGGTCACTCCAATGAGAACCAAGAGATTTTGTAATGGTGCTGCAGCCAGGGAGAGAGACAGAGAGACTCTGAGAGAGTGGCCATTTTCGGTGATGCAATGAAGATGCAGACAAAGAGAACCCTCCAGCAGTGGAAGTAGCCTCTCTCTCCTCTCTCTCTCTCTCTCTCTCTCTGCGGTGGTCCTCGAATTGATTACGGTTCTCCCGGAAAGCTACCACGACTTTCACACAAGTGGGAAAACAGGCATGCCGCTCCAATCTTACTTTTCTTATTTTTTCGTTTCTGAATTTTTCCAAAGCATCCTTTTCACATGGAAATGACAAGAAGGATTGTCCATTAATTTGTCAAACGACTGCGTGGAAGCAACTCTATCAAATTCTGATTGATTCCGTACTTGGGCGGATGTTCACATCGTCTGGAAAAGTCTAATTACTTGGCATTTCCCTTGTGTCGAAAACACTTGGGGAATCGTCGATGCAGTTATTAAATCGTGCATTAACAGTCACATTCGGTGTATGAAAAGAACATCGACGTAACAGCTTCTACAGTAGAGCTATCAATGTCCCTACTTTAACTGCTTTGCCTGTCTATGCCCTCATCGTAATCATCTTTCTCATATATAAAATTACCTAGGAAGCACGGACACTCTTCCGAGGCTTTCGTACCGTGTGGGACGTGTCAGATATCGACACTCGTCCGACACTCTTTTTTTTATTATTTATTTATTTATGAATTTGAATCACATTAATTTGATTGTAATAATCATAAGAATGATCATTTATTATGTATATATAAAAATATACATTAAATATATAACGTGTCCCAACACGTCGGATTTCTTTATTTCTTGAGAAATAACATGTCAGCGTGTAGTGTCGTATCGTGTCGTATCGCATGTCACGTGTTGGTGCTACTTAGAATATTACTATCAAGTTTGGAATATGTTTATGCCTTTTGACATCGACGGCTTCCGATAAAACATGTCCTAAATCAAAGTCATCATTCGAATAAAAATAGCTCCCCTTTTATTTTCCCTCGAAGATGCCACATCCGCCAACCAGGAACCCGTTCGCTTTTTGCATACCCAGGTGCTCCGACGTCATTTCCGATGCTCGATCCGCCTCGCGAGATTGAACACGTCCCCCCGACCGGTTGGCGAGCTATACCTCGTTATCAAAGAGTATCTGGAATCAACGTCTGAGCTTCCGAACAAGCGCGCAACTTTCTCAAACACGAAGTGATGCGTTGCGCATGGTGATTCCTCGGACATGTTACTGACAAACCACAAATTCCTAGAAGAACAGCATTAAGCTTAGGTAGATGTGGTGGTGGGGCTTCTTTTTCTGGAGGGGTACAACAACAGAACATCTCGCAGGAATTCCACCGAAGAGCTTTGCTTGCCAATCTCGATTTCTCTCGTGGACATGACGGGGGCCAACGTACGGTTCGTGGGTGCCGACGGACATTAAGCCCCCACAATCAGTGGGATCTGCTGTCAAATTGTTATGCAATTACGCCATGATCCCTAGTTTGTCACCATACTTTACAAAGTGGATATTTCCGACCTTTTCGCTTTCTTCAGATCTTGGAGATCTCCAGTTTTGATCTTTCTGTCCGACGCCAAACACAGAAGGCCTTTTTCAATCCACGGATAGGGACGCGAACGATCCCTATATAATTTTTTTTTATGATTTTAGAATTTGGGGTGCGGTTGTTTCATTGGAAGCTGTTCCAAGAAATATGATCCGTTTTAATTTCTTTGGTGATTTAGGGAAAACTCTCATTTTCATTTAAATTCCGTTTGTTTCATGGTGGACATTTTTTGGAAGAACATTTTCCGACCTTTGGATCGCTTAGGAAATTGAGCCAGTAGAAAATGTTTTCCTAGTCAATGAAAAATCTATGATTAAATTCAAGAAGATAATTTCCTCTTTAAAAATTGAAAATCATTTTTCAAAGCATGACTACATATCAACGTTTAGATCAAAAAATCTACGTATGGCATGAGAACCCAAACTCTTGTTCTCGAGCCCTTAACAGCGGTCCCGTGGATGGAGGTTGGGCTCGGGACACCAGCGCCCATGGTTGGGCGTAGGACTCCAGCACATTGCTCGACTCCCATTGCCCTAGCCTACGTCCATATTGGCGGGGCCCGAGACCTCGATGCTCGTGCCCGGATCTCTAACACCTAGGCCAAGTACATTGAGGTTGGGCTTAGGTGCACAGTCCCCGAGCCCAAGGTCCCACGCCTGGGACCGGGTCCATCAAGGCCGAGACCATGATCCTGATGTTAATGATTGAGTCCCCGACGACCGAGCCCATGTCCATCAAGGTCGCACTTGTGTCCATCAAGGCATGGTTGGGGTCCCCTACAACCATGCATGTGTACATCAAGGCCGAGACTAAGACCTCAGCGCACATCCCCGGGTCTCCAGCGATTGGACCCAAGTCTCGAGTTCATCGAAGCTAGGTCCTAGAGCCGGCGCCTACTCGAGTCAATCAAGACCAAGCTCGAGACCTCAGCGCCCGCACCCAAGTTCATCGAGGCAAGGTTCGTGTTCATCAAGGTCTAGCTCGGGACCTCAGTGCTCGAGCCCAGGTCCCAACACCCGTGTCTGAGTACATTGAGGCAGGCATTGGGATCCCGGAGCCCGTGCCTCAATCCCTGGCATCCAAGTCCATCGAGGTCAAGCTTGGGTCTCCAACACTCGGATCGGGGTCTATTGAGGCCAGACTTAGGATCCCGGTGCCCATTCTCGATTCGTTGGCTGTCCATGTGCATATTACTAGCGCCCGAATAATAATGTATGTCTATTTAAGAAAATCAAGTCAAATTTTCCTTACCAAATGACAAAAAATATTTTTCATTTCATTTTTGAGGTATCAGTCAAACACCATAAAATATTGTCATTTTCCTAAAAAATAACTTTATGGAATTTTTGACAAGACAAACGGTTAACCTAAGTTTGTTGTTTTCAGTCAATGAAAAACGTGTTATGTACGTCGATAAGTTTTCCGTCGTCCAAGCACGAGAAAGTCGAATAGTAATATTCTGGCAACAGTTTTTCTTCAAACAAATGGACTCTAATTAATGTTATAAATCTTGGCTCCAAAGTCTGAGTAACTCTTCACTTTAAAATAAAAAAAAAAATCAAGACAAGAACATGCTCGGAAAAGGCCATCAGCCTATTGCCCAATAGCTACGGAAAACCAACGGGCGGGCCTATGGAATGGCGTGGCGTCAAAACGCTCGGCCTGCTCAGCTTTTATCCTGTCCCAATCGAAACATTTCGACGTGCATATGAGCGATGGTCGGCCTGGGCAGCACATCAGATCTCGCTTTCTGCTTCGTTTCGGACACACGCACAATGAGTACTTCTGTCCGAAAGTACTGTTGCTTTTTATTACCTATAACTTTTCTTTCAAATGAAAAAAGCTCATTAAAATAATAAAAATATAAAAATATTATTAAAAATTATCCATGTCAGCGTCACGTAAATCGACCGGCGTTCACATCAGCAATTTCCGATCAAAATTAGCCGAAACTGGATGGACTCAATTGATAAGAAGTGAAAAGAGTTTAGCTAACTATAGATTTATTACTTTTTAGACAATTTTGCCGTAAAGTCATGAATACATCGTATCATTTGTGTCCCGTATAACATGAATCTAGTCAAATGAGCAAAATGGTCGACTCCGATCAACTCAGAAATAGGCCGTGTGGTGTTTTGGGCACGCCACTTGAACTCAGATGCACAGGAACGAAGGAGTGCGCTCGCAGGCGAACAGGGCAGAGCCCACCACCCATTTCTTGGTCAAACAAACCGTTTGCGATTTCACCACTCCTCCGAAACCGTCCCCAGGTGTCGTCACGCCAGCAATGGCTACAATGTCGACCGCAAAATCTGCAATCCCAGCCATCTCTTTCGCATTCCTGCTTCGCTCGCGCACCGAGAGGATTAACAGAGCAAAAAAGAAAGGTACCCTCCTTCTATTTCCTCTTAATGGCCCTCCCTGTTTTGTTACTTTTTCCGTGGCTTCAATCTCCGATGCTGATTGTCTCTGCGAAGCCTGCGACCTCTGGTTGGCGGAAGTGTTCATCTTGCAATCCTTGATCTTGGAGCTGGAACAAAAGGCGACGGCAAGTCCGTGGGATTTCTTGAGGTGGGTGTCTGCGGATGAGGCGTTTGTGGGGAGTTCTCTGAGGAAAGAACCGATCTTGGCGAGTTGCATTAGAAATTCCTGGCTTGGGTTTTTTCTGTTTTGCGAAATGGAGTGAGCATATGGTGGGTTGGAATGGCTCCAGGTACTGATGTTGCACCTCTGGTGACCCGGTTGGCCCTTGAGCACGAACAATGCAAGGGAAGTGCGTCGTCCATGGAGGATGAGGACCATGACACGTTGGAGAACTTGAGCTCAAACATGAGTGGGAGGCCTCCAAGGAACCTCTCTGTTATACGCCAATGTAACAGCTCTGCTTGGTTGTCTGAAATGGTGAGCATTGCTTTTCATCTTCATCATCATCATCATCCCACATTTTCTTTTGCTCCATTTGTTAATTGAATAAAGTTGTTAAGTGTTCATTTTTTTGGTTTTTTTTTTTTTATGTTACTCGATTACTTACAACGGTGCACGTGCTGTTTTGGCATCAAATCTTTGCTTTGCTTTGTTTGAGCTGAGTAAGATGGCATGTGTGTAATTAAGATAAGGACCTTGGGCTTGCATTGGCCAAAATTCTGGTCACTGGTCTGCAACTTACGGTGAATTCCTACCGTCGCAATTTGAAAGGATGTGTCTTTTGGTGAAGGAATTATGATGCTGATGCAGATCACGAAATATGAAATTATGGCCTCGGAATCCACCTTTGCTTTTCTATTGCTTTTTTTTGCTTCATGTAACGGAATTCTGGGGCTACTGATCTTGGGCCACATTTTGGCTTAAGTTCTTTGGACTGTTTATATTGTTCTGGGTGATGCAGCGGTTGCCTACTAGCTTTAATAGATTGTCAGCCACTAGATTGGCTGATCCTGGAGCGAGGATCAATTCCATGAAATATTTAACGGATCTTCATGCAGGACTCTGACCTTGGAATTATTGGTTTCAAGTCACCACCGATTGAGAAATCAGGGTTCTTACCTGTGTTTCGCTCGGGAAGCTGCTCGGAGAAAGGACCAAAACAGTTTATGGAGGATGAGTATATTTGTGTGGATAATCTTTATGAACACTTCGATTCAGCTGTGCAAGTCCCCTCCCCTGGGGCATTTTATGGGGTGTGTATTTTTTTCATTTGTTACTGTCTCACATATTTCGTTTTGGACCATCTGCAGTAAATGTCTAGACATTTTAAAGGTCCAATTTTCATGCAATTACCCCTTACCACTAAATGATGTAATATCGAGATGGGAATGCACTCCTTGTGCATAGTCAACCTTCACCCACCATCAAGCTACGATGCCTAAATCTCTAAATGTCAATAAGTTGTCGCAACACTCCTTCACTATTAGAAACAGTCAAACTTATTTGCCTGAGGGCATTATCCACCTTATCACTGCTTCAAGCATTGGTGTATCTAAATCTAAATCATGTATTTGCTGCCTTCTCTGGTCCAGTTGCATGTGCATTTTCAGACATTGCTCTGTCATGTGAGAATTGGGCCTTTATCTCTACACGCTAAGTATTTTTTTTTTTGTTGCTCTTCTTGATGAACTGAACCGATACAGGTGTTTGACGGGCATGGTGGTACTGATGCAGCGTCTTTCACCAGAAAGAACATACTTAAGTACATAGTTCAGGACTCCAACTTTCCAGGTGGCTTAAAAAAATCTGTGAAGAGTGCTTTTGCGAAAGCTGATTATGCATTTGCGGAAGCTGGCTCCTTAGATAGTTCATCAGGCACCACAGCTCTGACTGCCCTTATATTAGGCAGGTGAGGCTGCTTGTCACTTTCCCTTCACAATTTTTGTTGGTTATAGCTTTTTGGCCCTGATGAAGTTGAGATTACATTTGCATTTGCAATGTCTCTGGCATTCATTTCACAGCAATGTTTTTTGACAAAGCATTGTCTGCTTTCAACAGTAATATGCTAATTGCCAATGTTGGAGACTCCAGAGCTGTCTTGGGCAAACGAGGGAGAGCAATCGAGCTGTCCAAGGATCACAAACCCAACTGTACCTCTGAAAGATTGAGAATCGAGAAACTGGGCGGTGTCATATATGATGGCTACCTCAATGGTCAACTATCGGTTGCGCGTGCCCTTGGTGATTGGCACATCAAGGGTTCAAAGGGTTCAAAGGGCCCTCTGAGCTCCGAGCCAGAGTTGGAGGAGCTAGTCTTGACGGAAGAAGACGAGTTCCTAATAATTGGTTGCGATGGGCTCTGGGATGTGATGAGCAGCCAATGTGCGGTCACCATGGTTAGGAGAGAGCTCATGCAACACAACAATCCCAATAAATGCTCGATAGCACTCGTCAAAGAGGCACTCCAACGCAACACGTGCGACAATCTGACAGTAGTTGTGGTCTGTTTCTCGCCGGATCCGCCCCCTAAGATCGAAATCCCAAAAATCCACAAGAGGAGGAGCATATCTGCTGAAGGGCTGGACGTTCTCAAGGGCGTGTTGAACGGTATATGAAGAACTGCCTCATTGCTTGTGTAGGTGAAATTTAGAATCAATTAGTGTTGCTGGGGGCAGGGGATTTTTTCGAGTTACCGCCGTCCCGTCACCTTTTCGAAAGCTAGAAAATATGTGTTCGTATGTCTTGTAAATTCGAGGAATAGTTGTCGTTTTTCACTCGCGTTTTACCATCCGGATTTGAATTAGTGCAGTTCCTCTAATGGGCATGAACTCAAATGGGAGTCGGGTGAATGGCCAATTTCTGCAAGCTGAAGCCTGCTTGAGTGAATGCATCCATCCTCTTTAGTCTCTTTCACGTTTTGCGTGGAAGATTGTAAATGGACCTTTAATAAGTGGATGACATTCAACATTGAATATCTGTCAATACAGTTAGCATCATCTCTTGACAATTTTATGCAAAGCATTAATTTTTGTTCTTTCTCAATACAAGAGTTGATTGAGACAAATTGAAATTGCTTAAAATGACAATTGCTTCATTGAACTCGAGCTTGACTCCAATGAAAAATCAAGACACTCAGAACTCAATTGTAGAACAATGAGGTTGTAAATGAAGTCGAGCAAAAGCTTGAATATACATATGTTTTGCATGAGGAGGTGATGGGTCTCACATAATCTTAAGAATTTCTAAAGGAAAATGACACAAATGGTCTCCGAACCTTTGCCCAATTTGTAATATGATTTTTGAACTTTTAATTTGTTCAATGCGACCCTTGAATTATAGCCCAATGTGCAATGTAATTTCTAAATTTTCAATTTGTTCAATGTAGTCCCTGGACTTTTTGTATATGTTCAACTTAGTCCCTTAAACTATATGAAAATATTCAATGTTGACAGAGACTAAGTTGAATATTTACTAAAAATCCAGAGACCACATTGAACAAATTGAAAATTCACGGACCATATTATACATTAGGCTGAAATTCATAGACCACATTAAATAAATTAAAATTTTAGGGGCTGCATTGCACATTGATCAAAGTTCAAGAACCATTTGTGTTATTGCCCCAATTTCTAAACCTCTCTATTATGACTAGTTAAATGTTTCTCAAAATATGGTAGACAGCTTGAGTGGGTTCGTGAGTTTTTCTGAGTTGATGAATCGACGATTTCGAGATCACTCGAAAGTCAAAATCAGGCATTGATTATCGAGCAATCGTCGAACCAACGATTCCCGAGAACTCGACCCAAGCCGTGTAAGAAGCTGCATGACCCCAACCGGCCGCCGTAAATTCCTGAGACAGAGAGGATACTTCAAGAACAAAAACCCAGGCTGAGCTTTGACTAAAAAAGTTCTCTGTAATTTCCTCGCTTCTTCTTGTTGATCCGCAGTGTCACAAATTACCCTTTTTTTCTGTGGAGTATTTTAATCACTGTTTTGCCCAGTGACGGTTAACCCTCACTCTGCCGGAGGAGCAGCAGCTCATGTAACCCCCCTCCATGCCCAAATTCTTCAACTCCCCCAAAGCCTCCATCTTCTTCTCTTCACTTTCCAACCAGAGGTTTCTTCTCACCTTGCATCCAAAACGCATCTCATCATCATCATCATCATCACCACGTTCATCCACAAGATCCTTCAGCACTGTCCCAACCGACCAGCACATTGCCCATTTGATCCTAGACCAGAAAACACCGTCCCTAGCGCTAGAAACCTTCGAATGGGCCTCCAAGATCCCCAATTTCACCCACTCCCAATCCACCTACCGCGCCCTCATCCACAAGCTCTGTGCTTTCCGCCGCTTCGACGCCGTCCAGCAACTGCTCGACGGAATGCCCAGCTCAATCGGGTCGCCCCCGGATGAAAGCATTTTCCTCACGATCGTCCGGGGCCTGGGCCGTGCTCGGAGGATCCGTGAGGCCATCAAAGTTCTTGACTTGGTGCGCAAGTTCGGCGAGGAGCCGTCCCTGAGGGTATATAACTCAATCCTCGACGTTCTTGTGAAGGAAGATATTGATTTGGCTAGGAAGTTTTATAGGGAGAAGATGATGGAGAGTGGCGTTCAAGGGGATGAGTACACTTTCGGGATTTTGATGAAGGGTCTGTGTTTGACGAATAGGATCGCTGATGGTTTTAAGCTCTTGCAAGTCATGAAGTCTGGTGTTGTCAAGCCTAATACAGTGATATACAACACTTTGCTTCATGCCCTCTGCAAGAATGGAAAGGTCGGGCGGGCGAGGAGCTTGATGAGTGAGATGGAGGAGCCAAATGACGTGACATTTAATATCTTGATATCGGCATACTGTAGTGAAGAGAACTTGGTTCAAGCTCTTGTCTTACTTGAGAAAAGCCTTGGCTCGGGGTTCGTCCCTGATGTTGTTACGGTGACCAAAGTTTTGCAACTCCTTTGCAGTGTAGGCCGCGTGATGGAAGCTGTTGACGTATTGGAGAAAGTTGAGAACAAGGGGGGTCCTGTGGATGTTGTGGCTTATAATACGTTGGTGAAGGGTTTTTGCGGAATAGGGAAAGTGAAAGTAGGACATTGCTTGCTCGAGGAGATGGAGAGAAAGGGGTGCCTCCCAAATGCAGACACATACAATTTGCTGATCTCTGGCTTCTGTGATTCTGCAATGATGGATTTAGCTCTTGATATGTTCAATGACATGAAAACAGATGGGATTGGTTGGAATTATGCTACATTTGATGCACTGATTCGAGGTTTATGCTCAGGAGGGAGAACGGATGATGCTTTTAAGATCTTGGAGCTCATGGAGGAGAACAGAAGTGGCTCCGGTGGTCGTATTGGTCCCTACAATAGCATATTATATGGTCTATACGAGGAAAACCGCATGAACGAAGCATTGGAGTTCATGATCAAGATGGAGAGATTATTTCCTAGGGCCGTTGGTAGTTGCATGAAAATATTAGGACTCTGTCTCGAGGGCAGATCAGGGGACGCAAAGATTGTCTATGATCAAATGATAGGGGAAGGTGGATTCCCAAATGTTCTTGTTTATGGCTCCCTGATACATGGATTGAGCCAAGATGGGAATGTGCGAGACGCATTCGAGCTAATGAACGAGATGATCGGTCTGGGATATTTCCCGATCGCGTCAACATTTAATGCCCTAATTAGCAGCTTTTGCCGGCACGGGAAGATAGGGAGCGCCTTGAAGCTCATGGAGGACGTGATCAAGAGAGGTTGTAGGCCTAATGCAGAGAGTTACAGACCTCTGGTTGATGCTTTTTGCGGGAAGGGAGAACTCGACATGGCTTTGAAGCTCTTATTACAGATGGTGGAAATGGGAATCGCCCCCGATCATTCCATATGGAACGCGTTGGTTCTTTCTTTCAGCCGAGAATCGACGTCATCAACAAAAGATGATATGTGCAGAAACATGTTACAGTCGGTTATCGAGACTTGAGTATTCTGGTCAAGTCCCTTACTCTCTCAGACTCAAATCATATACATACTCATCAAACCTTGGACATAATTTGAAATACCCTGATGCTTGGTGACATTATGCTTTTTGACGATTCGCTTTCCTCTTTCTTTATGATCATGGAGGCCCTTCCCTGGCAGATGAGTGGGCTGGTTGATTGTCTTTTAGGTTTGGCGTGAACCCTTTGTACTGATTGCTCCGAGCAATCAATGATGTCCTTCAAATTTGGGAAAATTTCATTTTGGTACCCAAAGCGGGGGCCTTTTCTCAATTTGGTACCTAAAGTGGACATAGTCTCAAATTGGTACCTAAAGTGCCCATTCAATCTCAATTTGGTACCCAAAGTGCCCATTCAGTCTCAATTTGGTACCTGAGTTCGCCGGCCAGTCAAATGCTCACCGGCCGGCAAGAAATTTACTGTTCCGGCTACCGGAACAGTATTTTTTTATCTTTTTTATTTTTTTTCTTTTTTCCTTTTTCTGTTTTTTTTCTTTTCCTTTTCCTTTTCCTTTTCTTTTTTTTTTCCTTCTTCCCTCCGCCGGCTATAGCCGTGGCCGGCGGAGGTCGCCGGCGTCGGGCGAGGGCCACCTCGCCTGGGCGGGCGAGGGTCACCCTCGCCTGGGCTGGCGAGGGTCGCCCTCGCCTGCGTCGGGCGAGGGCCGATCCTCACCAGATCAGGCAAGGGCGAGGGTTGCCCTCGCCGGCGTCGGGCGAGGGCGGCCCTCGCCTGGGCTGGCGAGGGTCGAGGATGCAGCCGAAGAAGCGAGAGCGGTAGGCGAGAGAAGAGAGGGAGTAGGAGAGGCAGACGAAGTGGGAAGCCACGAACTGGTCCTGCTCGAGCCCCATGACGATGATCTGGGCGTGCAGCTGATCGATGTGGGCGGAGTTCTTGCAGGACTTGAGGAGGGTGACGATTGACGGCAGCTTGGCGGAGGTCGCCGGCATCGGCCCTTGCCGGCTTTGGGCGACCCTCGCCAGATCCGGCGAGGGTCGGCCCTCGCCCCCCCAGGCGAGGGCGGCCCTCGCCCGACGCCGGCGCAGGCGAGGGCGACCCTCGCCAGCCCAGGTGAGGGCCACCCTCGCCCGACGCCGGCGAGGGCCACCCTCGCCAGATCCGGCGAGGGCAACCCTCGCCCTTGCCAGATTCGGCGAGGGCCGACGCCGGTGACATCTGCCGGCCACGGCTATGGGTGGCGGAGGGAAGAAGGAAAAAAAGAAAAGAAAAGGAAAAGGTAAAGAAAAAAAACAGAAAAAGGAAAAAAGAAAAAAATTTAAAAAGTTAAAAATACTGTTCCGGTAGCCGGAATAGTAAATTTCTTGCCGGCCGGTGAACATTTGACCGGCCGGCGAACTCAGGTACTAAATTGAGACTGAATGGGCACTTTGAGTATCAAATTGAGACTATGTCCATTTTAAGTACCAAATTGAGAAAAGACTCTCACTTTGAGTACCAAAATGAAATTTTCCCTTCAAATTTTACCAGAAAAATACAAACTTTTGACATCTCTCTCTGGGTCAAAATTGCTCAAAATGGGGCATTTATGCTCTGCTCTCTGTCCCTTCATATGGGACAGCAACATGAAACATCTGAGGAAACAACAGAGCTGGACCCAAAAATGGGGTGGGTTGGCTAATTTATCTACCATCCATCAGCCTCTTCGGTTACCAAACGAAAGAAAGAATAATGGCTTTGTGTACCACCTTCCCGGGTGAAATCTGGTCTTTTTGCACATTTCCTGTTGTGACAAAATTCTAAAGAAATGTCTTTTTTTTTTTTACCTCTTTCCTTTTGGGGGGGGCAAGAAGTTTGGTGTGAATAGATGAAGTTATGCTCCTATTGTCTTTTGACTGGGACAAAGATGGTTGGCGTCAAAGAGGTGTTTCAATTTACTACTCGCACCCGATATGACATGTTATCGCGATCGATGCGCAAAGTTTGTATATTTGCATCCAATTATCGACGGAACACACGAAAATAAGAAGGAGAGATTGCGTCCAAAAAAGCACGCGCCTCATTCGTACTTCTTCTTACACGATCTCGCCGCGCCGGAATTGAGATTTCTTTTTTTGTTCTTTTGTCAATCAAATCAAATTGGGTTGCTCACCATATGATACCTCTCCTCAACCTAACCACAACCAAATCTCATGAATCCTGCCCCCTAATTCTCACTTCCTTTTCCAAAAAAAAAAAATGAAAAAAAAAAGAAGGGGGGTAATGAAATTACACAAACGAAATGAAAATTTTCCTGCTGACCCAAAAAAAAAATTTACAAAATTAATTAAAGTTTTCCTCCCTTTTTCTTTCTGTATATTTATTTTGCTTTCTAAGAGAAATTGGGAAAAAAAAATGGAGACCCACCAGCGCAAGCGAAAGAGAGGAGAGAAAAGTGGAGAGAGAGAGAGAGAGAGAGAGAGAGAGAGCGCCTTGTGGGAGAAAAGGCCACATATATCATCCCCCTCTCTCTCTCTCTCTCTCTCTCGCTCTCTCTGAGATCGCACCGAACAAGATCAATAAGAAAGCTTCCTCTTTTCTTCTCCTTCTTCTTCTTCTTCATCATCATCTTCTTCATCATTTTCGCAATCTGCCATTACTGGGTTGCCCGCGGTGCAATTTGAAGGGTGGGGGATCATCCGGGTGCGTGTGTGTTTGTGGAATCCCGAATTTTTTTTTTGATCGAATCGGGTTGGGGATCATCGCCGCCGCCGGAGGAGGAGGAGGATCGCCATGTCGTGTTCGTCTTCGTCGGGCTCGGAGGGCGACGACGAGGGGATGGAGAACTACCGGAAGGGCGGGTACCACGCGGTGCGGGTCGGCGACCAGTTCGCCGGCGGCCGGTACATCGCCCAGAGGAAGCTCGGGTGGGGCCAGTTCTCCACCGTCTGGCTCGCTTACGACACTCGATCCTCCGTAACACCTCTCTCTCTCTCTCTCTCTCTCTCTCTCTCTCTCTCTCTCTCTCTCTCTCTCTCTCTCTCAGATCGTTTTTGGTTCGTTTTGACTTTTTGGCGATTTGGCTTTGGATGATCTCCTGAACGGCGGTTTTTGGCTGTTTCTTGATCGCGGGCGTGTTTGCTGTTGCTTGGGACATTGTTGTAAGGAAAGGTGGCTTTGATCTGGTATTGTTGGTTTTGCGCGAATGTTAATTGATTTGGTTTTTGACGATTGATCACTTCGCTGATTCATTTTTAAAAAGTTTCGCTTTTTTTTTTCTTTCGGAATGATGATGGCTGTTCAGCGGTTGAAATCATGTCGGGGAAGAGTTTCGGAAAGATGTATTTTTGCTCTGATCGTTGGTGGTGGTGACTGGTATTTTCAGATGGTGTGTTGTCGTTTGGTTATTATTGACCAAGGTGGTTTATGATCTGGGATATCACTGCTTTGGGGGCCGGAATGACAAAGAAAATGTTTTTGTCCGGATGAAGATATAGCGCCTTTATCCGAATGATCTTCGGATGGTTTTGTCCCCTGATTCAAAGCCATGTGTTTCCTTTAATCTGAGCTTATCTAAGGTTGTTTCGTTTTCACCGTGGTTTATACAGAGTGCTAAGTTGAACTGTAAAGTAGTCCGTGTAGAGGCGTTACGTGCCTGGACTCATCTGGCTAATGATTTTAATGTGGCCTCATATTTAACTACCACCCTTTTGCTGGGGGATCCTGATGTCATTCATGTGCTCTGAGCTGTAGTGGGCTAAACGAAAGAGCTTATATTAGATTAGCATCCCTTGAATGTCTCCAGGTGCGGTCTCCTATAAGTCTGATGTCCTCATAATTTGAATGTTGAATGAATCTCCATATTAAATATAGACAGTGCTCGCAACATTCTCCTGTTATTTACTTAACTTCTTGACACGGAATCATGACAGTCATCAGTTTCTATAATGGTCTCAAACAATTAACTAAGTATACCATAAATAGGATCAGTGCACCACCTCGTCAGTGTCAGGAGTTTACGATGGACCTATGAAGCCAAAGTAGTTTATTAGTTCAACGATGTGCTCTCTCTTCTTTCCTAGTTGCTTCTAAGTATTTTGGTTCTTGTGATCCATGCTCTTATCCTGAATTTGGAATTTTTTCCAATTATTTCCAGAAATATGTTGCTCTTAAAATCCAGAAAAGTGCGGCACAATTTGCTCAAGCTGCCTTACACGAGATCGAACTGTTATCGGCAATTGCCAGCGGTGACCCGTCAAATTCAAAATGTGTTGTGCGACTGGTTGACCACTTTAAGCATGCTGGCCCAAATGGGCAGCATCTCTGTATGGTCCTTGAGTTTCTTGGTGATAGCTTACTTAGACTAATCAAGTACAATCGGTATAAAGGCCTTGAATTGAACAAAGTGAGAGAAATCTGTAAATGCATCTTGATTGGTCTGGATTACTTGCACAGAGAAGTTGGTTTGCTCCATACTGATTTGAAGCCTGAAAATATTCTCCTTTGTTCCACTATGGATCCGGCAAAAGACCCAGTGAGGTCTGGCGTGTCTCCTATACTTGAAAGGCCTGAGGGCAATCTCAATGGTGCTGTGACCATGAGCATCATCGAGAAAAAGTTGAAAAGGAGAGCAAGGAGAGCTGCTGCTAAGATTTCAGCGAGAAGAGAATCGATGGGAGACGCATCTACGAAGCCCGAGAGAAGCTTGGATGGGATTGATGTAAGGTGTAAGATTGTGGATTTTGGGAATGCATGTTGGGTGGATAAGCCGTTCACAGATGAAATTCAAACGAGGCAGTATAGAGCTCCTGAAGTTGTACTCCAGTCTGGTTATTCCTTTTCTGTAGATATGTGGTCATTTGCCTGCACTGCCTTCGAGCTTGCTACCGGTGATATCTTATTTGCTCCCAAAGGTGGTCAAGGCTTCAGTGAGGATGAGGTGGGATTACTTTGCCTATCATGTTTTATACTGTCTAATAATTGCGTGAGTTGAAACATCTGATTGATCAGTTCATGTTTGATACTAAACATCATTGGCCAGAAATGGGTGTTCCTTGCTTGTAAAGGTTGACTTGTTAGTTCCATGTAAGCTTCTCTTGACTTTTTGCAGTTTGGATTAAAGATTCTAGATTTTATTTTTCTTGACAACCTTATAAGTGAAACCATCTCAAGCACAAAAAAATGGCCTCTCTCTCTCTCTCTCTCTTTCTCTCTCTCTCTCTCTCTCTCTCTCTCTCTCTCTCTCTCTCTCTCTCTCTCTCTCTCTCTCTCTCTCTCTCTCTCTCCACACTTGCATGTTCGAGTGCTCGTGTGTGAATGCACACTACTGGTTCCAGGTTAGTGGCAGTGGCACTGTTAGCATACTTTCGCTATGAGTTTTCTCATGATACTTCATTTGTCAGTTTGCTTATTATATGATTATTAGGTATATTTTCTTGTTGTTGGCACCTGCTAATTACCTTGAGATGGTCAACAAGGAAATACTTTGGCTGACATGATGGTTTGTTGAACTGTTACTGAGTTTGATTCTGTCAGTGGTTGAGCTTTGAAGTTATGGACGATCTGTCAACCGTTGACTTGTTCAGAACTCTTGATGTATGATTCGTTATGAATATTTGCAACCTCTTCATCCATTTTCGTCTAAATGTGCTTGGTTGAATTTTTGTGAAGTTGGCCTTCCATCACGCGACAGTTTGTCATTGTTACTTGGTAAAGGTGGAAGTTTCTTGAGCTGCATCAAAATCGTTTTTAACTGAAATTTCTTTTGTTGGGTTAGGATCACCTAGCACTGATGATGGAACTTCTTGGGAAGATTCCAAAAAAGGTAAGCTCGCCTTGTATTAATCTTAGTCTTCCTTCCGTTACATATGTGATCACAGCTTTGAAGGGTGTACTATATTCTCTCCCCTTTGTGAGCAGATTGCCACAGGTGGAGTTAGATCCAAGGATTTCTTTGACAGATATGGCGATCTGAAAAGGATCAGGAGATTGAAATTCTGGTCATTAGATCGGTTACTCGTGGAAAAATACAAGTTTTCTGAGACCGATGCTCTCGAGCTCTCTGAGTTCCTTTGCCCTCTTCTCGACTTTGCTCCCGAGAAGCGGCCTACTGCTCAGCAATGCCTGCAACATCCATGGCTCGTTTTGAGAGACTCGACCCATAACGTCGCGAGCAATGATTCGAGAGTCCACAAGCTAGAAGCTGGTGTGAGCAACCTTAAGATCAAGGTGGGCAAATGAAAGGGGTGGGAGTTCTGGCTGCAATTCTAAAAGCAGTTTTGAAGCCCCTTTTCTTTTTTGGGAATTTAATTTTGGTGGGTTTTTTTTTTTTTTCGAAAGAGATTCTTTTTCTGCTAACAGATGTAAAGTTAATATTTTTTATCCCCTCTGGGAAATGACGAGGAGCGGATAGGCCTTTTTGATGGCTTGTATAATTAGCTGTGGCTTTAACAAAACACATACGTTGGCTTTCAGAAGTTGCTTGTTTTGCTTGACATTGGAATTTATATTTATATATTTTACTGCTGCTCCACGGTTATTTTCTCTAAAGTACTTTATTGCTTTTGTATTGACAGCTGAAAAGGGCGATTGACTGCGGACACCGAACGTCATTTTATTTGCACAGCAACCTTAATTTTCACAAACCTTGATGCATAGGAGCGTCGTGTCCTTTCATAAAACATGGTCGATATGACCGGAAAACAAGATGCGGCAAAAAGATCCAGACACGACCCGGATCGAAAGGACTGTTGTTAGGTTTACCTTTAGTGTGACAAAATGCGTACAGATTCACCGTTCATTGAACAACATACGTGCTTGAGGATAGTATCATAACTAAGGTTTTCCGAACGTTAATAATCAAACAGTGATCTGCTAGGTTATATCTTACGCCGACGTTGGCTAATAAACATCCCGAAAAAGCCTCTGATGTATGGTGCGACTCTTGTGTGTTAACAAAACTTTACCGAGCAAACATTCTCGGGACAATGAAAAGGTACTAAGATCCCCTCATTCTACATCTCGGGAAATTGAACATGCAAGGAGAAGAAACGACGTCGAACATAAGTAAATTTCGTTTACCAAGCGATGTGATGGATTTCTATCGAGCGTTCACTAGTGCATTGCTGCGTTATCCTAATAAATCCATTTGACGAACGGGTTTTAATATCCCGAACCCATCTGAGTTGAATTTATCTTTTGATGACACGGGCCTCATTTGTCTCGCGTGTTGATCTTTGAGAAGAAACAATAGAAAAAAATTTCAAAATAAAAAATGAAGCAGTAGATTACGACAGTCTTTGATTTTTATATTTCAATAAGACGATTCTTTTTTTTTTTTTCCGAGCGGGGGCCCCTTCAGGAGACGAGAGCAACTCCCGAAAAGGATGGGGGGTCCAGTGGTCCCTCCCCCCCTATTATTAAAATTTTTAAATTCCTAACTTCTAATTTTGGCCACCTCATTATTAATATCATATCCTAGTCCCTCTCTCTCTCTCTCTTTAAATTTTTTTTATTTTTTCCTAAAATATCCCAAGTCTTGAAGCTCATTCCTTTATTTATTTATTTTTAGGCCTAATTCCAAACCAAACTAATTTCAAAACAAAGTATCAACTTTGTGTTGAGTGATATTTCTGGTTTGAACTTTTTTTTGTCCCATAGAATATGGTCAAATTTTACTGAAATTTCAAATTCGATCCAAACAATGCTTTTTATCAAGGCGAAATAAAAAAAATTGTTGTATTTTTTTGTAAATTAACCCTTTCTTTTTATATATTCTTTGGCTCTAGGACAGAAGAAAGTGACAGAAGCAGAGCCATTTAGGTGGTGCAATGTCATCATCTACTGAGAGAGAGAGTGGCGATTTGTTTTGATGTAATTGAATAGAGGCCAGCTTTTGCCCTCTTTTTTCGGCCTTCTTGCTTGGTCCCGAGTGGCCAATCTTATCTCTATTAGCTTGATCTAGACATGGACACATAACGCTTTGTCTTCAATTCACTTCACCCAAATGTCAAATTGTTAGCTCGCTCTGTACAAATTCATATCTGGTTTGAGCTTTCGAGATTGGAGTCTCTTTCTCTTGTCCTCTAGGGTTTCTAAGAACCCGAGTAATCCTCACCAAAATACGACAGCCTCTCTTCACCTGAACAACGGGTAATTGTCGACGACCGGGTTCGTACTCCGGAAGATAGCCCCGAGAGAATACCCGAGTGCCGTAATTTGGATTCGAATTTTGCTGCCAAGCAACCAATAAGGAAGAAAAGAAAGTTGAGTGGTATGCTTTTTCCATGTGTCAAAAAACCTAAAGAAAAACTTAGAGCACTAACCACAAATTCAAGTAAAGCATAATTGCTTTGAGAAAATTTAGGAAAAAGGAATCAGAAGGGGATTCAGCAGGGTCGGCAGGCTCAGCTGACTTGTCAAATATCATAGGTACAAGTTTGATCAAACTACAAGTATAGTTTTTAAAACTCAAACACAAATTCGATTGAGATATATATCACGCAAACAATATGATTGATCGGTTACAGCACACCAATCATAACCGGCACATAAAATATTTCCGCAAACTTTTTAGTAGTGTCATCGGCTAGGGGGGGGATCTCGCTAGCACCTCTGCAAAAACCATGTTCAGAATCTGAAGCTAACATCTCTTGCGTAGCCTTTGATGAGCCTCCGAAAGCGCGAAGAGATGTGATGAGTGAAAATCATTTACAGAGTGATGCTCAAAATGCAAGCGTGCAGTTTAAACATTAATCACCTCTAAACGAAAAGATGCCGTAGGAAATAATCATTTCGTTCTAAAGAAAGAAGTTAAACTTATTCTCAAATCACATACAAAACGTTGGATTTATGGGTAAGCAAACGTGGGTCGGTCCAACCTAAAATAAAGGGAGAGAAGAAAAGAGGGAAACGTGAACCAACCGAAGATTATCATCAAGGAATATATTCAGCAAATATTACTGAATGCCATGCAAGTAAAGCAAATGCTTTGGACTTGGAGATTACCGACTCTGACCAGTCAATTGAAGGAAGCCAACGAGTGGAGCAGCCCATCTCACAACCATTTCAAACACTCAAGAACGCTGACAGAAATCTTCATGGCCATTTCATGTCCCATTCACAAAATTGCCAGATGAAAAACACCAGGAAGAAAATCTTCATCAGAAACAATGTCATGTGCCAGGAATGCAATATGCATTGCAGAGGCAGAGGCCGAGACCATATGTACAAGCTGCAACCATGCTGCAGGGATGCGATACTCGCCGGGAAAAATTAATGAGGTCGAGCCACGACAACCTCAGACTTCATACCATTGGCAGGACAAGATATTCTGTGTCAAATGACATTACATCCTTCTCCTATTCAAACCTCGGGCAGAATACAGTAGATATGCAATGCAGAGCCTGGATTCAAGCAAAAGAACATACAAATAGTAATATACATGCATGTGTTCAATTGATTACAAACAAAGGGAAAGCAGCAAAAAAGAAGGTCAAAAAAATCAAATAAAGGTCGTTCTCTCAAACGTATATCGGGACCTCTATTTCAGCTATCGACTCTTATCATAACGGTCACAAACAAAATTTGCTTATCGCACATTACGACTGCACGACTTTATTTTGTTTGACACAGGCGGGAGCCTTAAACTCCTGACACTTCCAAATTGGAGTGGTCTCGAAGGGCCTCACACCATCCATAGAAGGTTCTACAGAAAACAAAGGCACATTGCCAGCAACAGGCTTGCCCGTCTTCTGTTCACTCGATGGGGAGCGTCTACTGTTCGACTCGTCCTTCGGGTTTGCCTGATCTTTAGAAGTACAGATGCTCAAAGGTAACTTCTTTAACTTCACTCTTCCCCTCTTTTTACCAGTACTGCACCCATCATCCCAAACTCTCTCCTTCGACCGACTGGATTCCCAATTTTCGTCCACCTTAGTTACGTTCACCTCATACGTAGATCCCTCAGAATCTATCTCACCCATTACAGCATGTCCGTTGCACTTGGGTGAAATCTCCCCCGGTACTACACCTGCATTTGGAACCCTAGCCTCATCTAGATTAGGCAAGATTCTGGGTCTCTTCCTCTGACCCTTAGAGTCAGAGCTCGATGAATTCTTTGAAATCCTAGGAGAGCTATTTATAGCTCGATGCAGCTTTCGTGCGAGTTCTTCGTCTTCCCCACAACTTTCAACAGCCCTCTGATTTCTGTACAAAGAGTGAACTGGAACATGCTTTTGCAGCTTATTCCTTTTTAGAGTCCTGTCCTTGTTTCCTAATTCTTCTGGAAAAGAAGCAACCAAATCCAAAGCGCTTTTGGCAGCCGCCACTGCCTTTGCTGCAATGGCGGCCTTCTCTTCCGCTGCAGCTCTCGCAGCCTTTGCAGCTTTAGCTTTAGATGCAGCTGCTGATTTTGATGCCTCCACAATTTCTTCAGGTGAAAGGTCAGACTCGCCGGCATGAGAACGCAACAAATTATTCAGATGAGCATCGAACACACTTGACGGTGATGATGATGACGACGAGGCAAAGCAGGAGGCATGAGAAGCACAATCGCTCTCGCCATTCTGCCTCTTCAGTCCTGCGAGCAGACGCTTCCTCGGGGGCAAAAGCACATCGGCATCCAAGTGATTGACATCGCATAGATTACCCTCCATCATCCCCTTATGATCAGATGCTCCAGCTCATCGGCGAGAACAATTCTTCAATCGGCACAACATGCAAATCCATCTACGTGCACTCTGGAAAACAGCAAAAACAAGACCATGTCTAAGTCCATCATCTCATGTAGAAAGAGAACCTAAAATCTGATTTTTCGTATCCGAACATCGGCCAAAGCTTTCAACGGAAAACCGGTTCAGATCGACCGAAGCATTGATCAAGGTTGCATTTCCTTAAATTGATGCTGCTCTCTTCTTTTCATTCCTATGTTACAAATCAAAGGACCAAAAAAATAAAAATAAAAAAAAACCCAACACCCCAATTTCCATCCAGCATCATCGTACCGTCCTCTAATCAATAAGATCGTCATCAAACACACCAGCATGGTTCCAAATCAAACATGCACCACAACAAAAATCAAACACCAAGCTCCCTATAACGTCAAGCTGACAAATTTGCTGAAACTGCCAATATACCGCATCAAGACCAAGCAATTCGATCAAATTCAATGCTAACAAAAAAACCCAGAAGCACGATTCAAGAGAACTTTGCAAATCTAATCCATAAACACGTGAAAAATAAAATTTTAAAAAAAAAAAACCAAGACCCCATCTGTTCCCAGATGAGTGCGGAGAGCAGAAAGCCTTGGACTTTGACGTACCTAACCTCTGAATTTCCATGTCTTTGGGAGATTCGAGGGAGAAGAGAGCGAGAGAGAGAGATGGAGACAGAGGAGAATACTACAGAAGGAGAGGTGAAATTAGGGTTTTCTGAGGAGGAGGAGGAGGAGGAGGAGGTGGTGTGAGAAATCCAGGTCATGTGGAGAGATGGAGATCTTCCCCCATTTGTTTTTGTTGTGGTATGCAATTTTTTGTGGGGTTGGGTTGCTTGGGTTTCTGTATTTCCTATTTTCTTTTGTAATTATTTTCCTAATTTCAGTTTGTAACTGTTAGGAGTTTACAAATAAAAAATTATAAAAAAAAAAATTGGACTGAAAAAAGGAAAATTAACAATTGTGTAAGCCGGATCTTAAACCACAAATTGAATGTGATCCACGTCGTCACCGAATTTGACGAGCGTTCAAGAAACACGTAATAAAAAAGTTGACACTCTTTCTCATTTTACCTGATTGGGACCGTGTGGGAACCAAACTTGAATTTGCAGCAAACTGAAAATGGCATCACCTCGCGGCACTCGACTTTGGCTGCTCAATGAAGGTGTGCTCGACTTCGGCCTATCACCGCTGACTGGATACTTGACAATGTCACCCCCACGTCGCTCAACTTTGGTTGCTCCATGAAGGTGTGCTCGACTTCGACGCCCATGGCTGCCTGGATACTTGACGGCGACTTCCGCTCATTGAAGATACTCGCAATCGAAATAGAGTCCCACAACGAATGAAGTCCATAGTAGGCCTTGTTGAGTGTTGACAACATTGGGAATTCACTATGTGACTAATGACAGCGAGACGCGACTCCTGATGATGAGCAGAGATTGGTACGCAGCTCGACGCCCTGATAGAGACGAAGATGTTGATGTCACCGGCCACAGGAAGGTAATAGAGACGATGAGGCCCATGTAAGTATTCTGTGATCTTCAATAGAAATAGAGAGAGAGAGAGAGAATCAACAAAAATTACATATTTACTAAATTGACTCAACTTTACACTTTATTGGAGAAGGGATATTTATAATACCCGAACAATACACATGGGAAAGAAAATGATTTAATTTAACAAGAAAGTTGGCTATCATAGAAAATAACAAAATACCGAATAATATCCGTAATAACTAATGATATTTTACACATAACTCTCTAATGCCCATAAATATACTTTAATACATATAAGTATATTCTCAAAATTTCAAAAGAAAAGCACATGTGTAATTTGCCCTCATAACAATCAAAAACAAGATCGCATGGTGTGGTTGATTTAGCCCAAGGCGACCACGCTATAACACGGTGTGGTCTTCTGAGCATTGAGCAGCAGTCCCCTCTTTTTGGTATAACAATTTACCTCCTTTTTTTCTAAAATTAATCTTGATTTTATTCACAATCCAATCTTACGCGTGATTGACATCCAATCTTATGCATGATTTATAAAATAAGATGCCAAATATATATGAAAAAATCCAAAATTTTCATACCTTGTCAAGTTCTATTCTATCCAAATCTTCATTCCCGACGGCCAAACACGGGAGTAATATTGTCACGGTGATTATTGAAAGTGTTTGATAGCACATACATTCGAGGCTATGGACAAGCTCTAAATGTATTGAGAATAGTTCCTCGAATAAAAAGGTCACTCTTGCAAATATGAACTTAAGTGCATTTTTGCTCTATGCCCAATTCACCCATGATGAAACGTTCTATGTAGCTTGAAATAGCTTCTACTTTTATATTCTAGAAATGACCTAGCAATTTTACTATATATATATATATATATATAATTAAAGTAAATCAAAACTGTTCAATAATAATTAATCCCCGTTATTTGAATATTTTTTACATAATATTTTAATAGTATAAAAAACATTATTTTTTACTTTATTTATAGCATAGTTTAACAAAAAAGTTAAAGCTTAATTCATGGTTATGAGTCTAATTTATAAATAGTTCAGTATATACTATTCAATAACATAAAGTTATCCTTAAATCGTCATTCTCTGTTACATAATTTTTCGTGATGATTACACTTACTATATTTAGATAATGAAACTATTTTTAATATAGTTTATTATGTTATGTGTATTGCAAAAATATTAAACAAAACTAATAAAGTACCATATATGATTATATAATGATTTTTAGTTTTATTATAGTCCGCATATAAATTAGTGATCTAATTCAATTATAGCATATACACTTAATGAAAGCTTATTTCATAGTCATGATTCTAATTATAAATAGTTTAATACACCAGTTTACAACATGTATTTAATGGCATTCCTACTTCCTTGGATAGATCATTATTAATATTCATTAGCAATAATAATAATTTACCATTTATAGTCAAATAAATCTAACAAAAATTATTGAAATAAGTAAAATTTATAAGTTATACCTTTCATTTCATTGAAAAGCGAATGCTATCTTTTGGCCTATTAATTTACACAATAATTTTGGAAAGTAAATCTTAATCATATAACAAATAGCACACAATTGATATATGGATATCAAAAAGCTATATTGTTGTTGATAAATTGTAATAATTTCCCATATGAATTTTAACAATATGATAAGACAAGAAATTGCACTTTGCTTATATCTCGTTAAAGATGGGTATCGGTATCATTCTTAACTTATTTCCGGTGCAATGCTGGTAAACCAAATTAGGACATGGTCTCGGAACTATTCCATAATGCAAATCAAAAGAGAGAATAGTTATTCCATTCGTATTCCTACCGTATTCTATCCCAACAGAGCGACTATTCCATTCTCATGTTATTCCGTCCCAAGTATATAAAAAAAAAAAAAGGGAAGAGAAGATAAAAAAAGATTACAATTCATTGAGCATTTTTTTTTTGGATATACGAGCTCATTTTGGGGGTAGCAAGTATAAGAAAAAGGAAGATGACCCATTTTATACTCCGGTTAACTAGATCATTATAAGAAGAATCATATGAAACTTATTGAGTAACCAATTAGGGAAACTTTACAATTTCCAATGCACCAATTGCCCTCGTATTATGACCGATTGGTGTCTTGAAAATCGAACTATTCCGTCTCACTCTACATAACAAGTATACCCCAAGAGCACCCGTTAACCTTGCCCGTTCTAAGAACGACGACATACATCCTTTTTTTCCGAAGGGCATTTGCGGATGCTTTTTGCCCCCCTTTTTTTTTGTGAAAAGTGGGAATGCATGACGATTTTCCGAAAATATTCGAAAAAAAGAGAAGAAAAGAAAAGGAGAGTCAAGAACGGAGAAGTGAGCCACGTCACGCCTCCCATCCAATAATTTTGGGCCAAATGTGAAGTCCTTATCTGTAGAGTGGCTGCCTACTCTCTCCACAGTTCCTTGCGCCTCTCCCATGAATTTCGTAGCTTTGATTTTTTTTCTTTAATTTTTCGAACTAAAAATTGGTCACATATATCGAATATGAAATTCAGATATATTACAATTCTATTTTTCGGGCATTCGTCAATTCATCTATTCTTTTTTTTTCCCTTTTCTCCCTCTCCATCGGTCGTGGCGCGCAATCGTGTTAATTCATTAATTTTCCTCGTGAAATCGGTCTCGACATGAAAAAGGAAAACAAAAAATAAGAGAGGAAAAAGAAAAAGAAAAAAAAGAAAAAAACAAGGTCGATTAGGGTCCACAAACACCGAAATCCGAAAGGGGTGCGTTGTACCCACAAGTTAGCAGAAGGTTAGGTGCTTCTGCTACCGGTAGGAATTAAATTAACTCAATGTGGAAATTTAATTTTAATTAACGTCGAACGGCAGCCACATTTCGTAATAAATGCGCGAAAATGATCGCTTCCTCCTCTTCGTCGCATACCCACGTTAATGCGCGAAATTAAATTTTCATTCCGTTGACCATTGGGTAATCTTAAACATTACCACAGTACACTTTCATAATCTGATATCGACCCTATTTTCTTCTATTCCTGATCGGTCGGACCGACGAAGGTCGCCCGCCCGCCCGCATTTATATTTAGTAAAGTTTACAAATGCTCGTAACTTAGTAGCCGACCCATCAGAGACATTTTCTCCGACCATGGGATAGAGGAAAACATAACCTATCGATCGTAAGTCTGTTACCCTAAACGTTCTCCCGCTAATGAATGATATCAAGGGCGTTCGCGGGTTTGATTTCATTATTTCATTTTTTATTACCTATGACGACATTTGCAATGGAAAAGCTTTTTTTTTTCTTTCTCTTTTCTACATTTATGCAAGAAGAAGAAAGAGCCGCCGGCCTCGTGGTTCGCGTGGGTGAGCGTCGCTACTTAGCGTGCACAAACTTCATGAATTCACATTAGCCCAGGCCGAGCAACCACATCTCCCTCCCCGTTTATATGTTAGAATGTTCGTGCTTGTCTGGACAACGGCCCATCGGCCATCGCATCACATACCAACAACCACCGTGATAATTTTCCGGGGGCGAATCCGGGCCTACGCACCGGTAGACTCGCGTTCTCGATGCTCGCGTATCGATGAATCGAGGACACGGTTCGAACGAGTTCGACCTGGCAATCTTTCACTCTTCACCCGAACTGAGTTCGGGTTTGATCAATCAAAAGCTTCTCAATCGAATTTTCGTCAGTTCCGGCTTCAGCTTCCGATGGGTTTCCCGCTGTGTCGTCCACCGAGACTTTGACAATATTTGATTGGGGTTTTTCGCGCAACTCTGTGACCTCAATATCCCAGTACGCGTATATGCAAATATATCCACACGTATAAGCGGGGGTGCGATTAGACATGGAAGCACCCACCCCTTCGATTGCAGTTGCATCGAAGAACATCTCAAGCAGTGAAAATAACGGTTCAGTTGGCCAAATTGGACAGGGTCACCGTGGCGCGGCTTTCTTGAAGGCGACGGATCACCAGGCTTCTGTATTTCAAAATTGACGGCTCAATCACGTCACGGGTTTATCTCAGATCGAACTCCTTCGTCAGCATCTCCACCGTCCTCTGTGCATGGATGCGAGCTACCTTCATCAGTGGCAGCACAGAGTGCTTTCCATACTGGGATTAGCATCTTCAATGGTGGACGTAGTTCCTGAAAATGACAAGGACAAGGTCTTAATATGTTTCCAATGCATCCATCAATATTAGATCTCAGAGCCCAAACAAATTCACCATTTCACTCCACCTCTTTCTGCGTACTTCAATTAAGAGATCCGTCATACCTTGAAAACGGGCGTCAGTTCTTCTTCCTCACGCAAAACCAAAGACAGGCTCCAATAACAAGTGACTGGCGTGACGCATTCTTGTAGCACAGGTTTTAAAATCTTGCTGACGGGAACAAACTGACGCATGATTCGGCCACTGTTCAAAACATGAATTTAGAATATGGCACAACATTGTACATAAATGGTACGCATGTCCCGTCTCAACAAAATGACCTAACAATGCATTTAAATATCTGACAATGGTCCTTCGCAATTCCTAGATTCATAAGTGTGCATACACATAGAGGATGAATGAGAAGAATTGGCTGCCACTTGTCGTTCCAGGAGAGAATGCAGAGTAAATACTCGGTCTCAGTTCTGACAATCAACCAAACATATGTACCCCCTGTCATTTCAGAATCATACTTCTTCATCAAATTCATGTTCTCTTAAATTAGCGTATAATTTTCATGAATCCTGATATGATCCAACTATAAACCGTAAGCATCTAGAATCTAATATTTCCATGCAATGGTAGAGAGCTCAAGTCATCAGCTAGAAACGAATTCTTCGTGTAACCCACAATCAAACTGCATATTAGTACACATGAATCAGAAGTACCTCAGATAGAGAGTTTCAAGCTGTACCCCAAGAGTTGGCATAATCACCACAGATTCTGAATTATCAAATGAAAAGATGTCAGACACTAAACCGATACGATAAGACCACCCGAGAGTAGACAGGACCTGGGTTCCTCTGACCTTTCTTAACAGGTTTCCCGAGCAACAATTTTCTCAGAAATGCCCACAAAAGGAAGCTTGAGAAAAGAAGAGTAACTGATTTCTCCTGTCACGTGAACAAAAGCGGAAAAACAAAAACAGAACAACCATCATGAGTCTACATGTTCCAAATTCAGTAGAGTACCGCATGAACACAACTAGACTGAACTGGACCAAATATACTAATAGTCAACTCCAATTTCAAACTTATTTGACGATGGCAGAACTCTTTGTTGCAAACTCCAGTCATCTACAATAGGTGTGTTGGGTTTGACTTTAAGCAAAACCAAAAGACTCCTTTTGAGTTTCCCGCCAAACTAAAAAGAGAATTGGAACAGATAAGGTGACTTCAAGTGCAATTATCCACACATTTTTTAAGATTTAAAGTACCCAAGATTAAATGAAAGTCTGATTTCAAACCCCAACAATCTCAAAAGAAAACAAGAAAACATAAAGAATGAGACGCAAAAATTAAACAGACTTATAACCAATAATACAGCAATAGAAGGCATTTGGGTTGAAGTCATTAAGAGCAAGGACACTTCATTTCACCCATTAAAATAAACACTGACTAGTCACTGATGTACCTTGACAAGGACAAGATACAATGCATTCCCCACAATGATGGCAGCAAGGAGAGAGACAAAAACTCCCTTTGCACCATTACTTCGGACCTCAATGTGGTGGATGTCGATTGCTTCACTGGGATACTTCTGGTCATGGAAATACGTATATTTTCTGTGGGCAAATGAATTTTCTCCCATTGATGTGGGTTCATGACCATCCGAATGGTTTCACATTCTACCTGCATGGAGCAAAAAACACTGTAACCTTAGAGGTCTACAATTTGTTAACAAAAGCTTATAACAGTTTCGCTGTATCAAATAACGAAAAGCATCAAGATGTTAGGTCTTCTATCAAATCAGAGCAGTATATCTACTCCCAAGTAAATAATATGGAATCAAAGATGAAGAAGATGTGGACCAAAGCAATCGCCCAGATAGATACGTCAGCATATAACAATGAGTTGAAACGCAAAATATCCAAATTCTCTAGAATAAGAGGTGGTGATTCTGACAGGCACATAATGTTCACCCCATGAGCTTCCACTAGAAAAGCTTGACCTTTGGTACTAAAAATCTAGCACAATCCCCCCAACCCCGGGTTTTTTCCACCTGATTTCCCAGAGACATTAAGTGTTCCTCAAAACCCAAACAAACAAAAAAAAACCAGCATAAGCCCCCAAAACCTTTCTTAACCGATTTCCCCACCGATCAGTGTTAGAACTTAGATTGCTAAATGCGTTGCCACAGCCACTCAACTCAAAACATCTTTTAGCTGCCATCAAGTTCTCTTTATCGCCCGACCAACTACAAAAAGAATCTGCTAAAATATATGCCCGAGAGCTCCCTGGTAGTCATCACAGCGGAACAGTTCTTGCACGTTCAGCACAGAGTCGTCACTTTACTGCAGTCCCCACAAAAAAAGAAGAAAAAAAGCAACATTGTGGTTCAACTGGGTCATACGAAATTTCAGTAAAGGATCGCACTCCAACTGCTCGGGGGCATTTCATCAAACGGGAGATGCGCGCGACCGGGAACTACCAAAACCAAGGTACAAATCAAGAACCACGAAAGCCAATCAAACGGGTGCACTCACGGATCAGAGATGCAGCGAGACGACGAGTCGAAAAGGCCCTGCGCTGGAAATTCGAGATGGGTCTGCGTTGATCTCCGCGAGATCAACCAAGAATTTCTCGAAGATGGGTAAAGAGACGAGAGAGAGAGAGAACAGAACCAACCTCGACGATGCCCGAAATCCGAGGATTGATTTCTGCGACGCCAATTCTCGAGAAATTCTCGGACTCGAACGATTGTACCTGTAACCGGATCGTTGCTCGGGTTGTCCGATGAAGCGAAACAGGGCTACGATTCCGAGGTAATTCTATGGTTCAAACGAAGCCATTCACGGGATCGGCTCCCAGTATGTAATCTGTATCGTTGGATAAAAGGAAAAGTGATAGTAACTCATAAGTTTATCTAAGAAAAATGACTGAGCGTAAGATTGCGAATGTCGCTATTTTGATTTAAGCAAAATTACGGCATGGGAGGGCAATTACTCGATGATAGAACTAAATTCACGAACAGTGAAGAAATGTCAGAATCGCCGGAGATTTACGACAAATTTATTAGGTTACTAACGATTTTTCACGAAGCGCTTCGGACACTCGGATATTCAACCATGCAAGACCTAAAGTAAATGGCTACGCGTGAAAGGTTGTTACTAGTCGAATGACACCATTACGGTCATTGAGGTGTTTTTCTGTGCTATTAAGTAGTTACCGAGCGTTGACAATTTCATGTTACGAACCCTATGGACAATTACAAATGCAAATTGATCATGATCAGTACCATCACAGCTAAGTTACGAATCCATTCGGTTTAGTTACGCCTTATAAGTGTAATACATTATGATGAGATGTGCGCTTTCTTGTTTCAAAGGACATCTTTTTAGTTCGATGAACTCGGACTAGTTGATACAGTGTCTCACACGCTTCGTACATTTTATCTTTTTCCTCTCATGGTCAAATTCAAAATACAACACAAATTATTCTGAATGCCAAATTATTCTAAACATGTTGTGACTAAAAGAGCATTGGAACATCTTTTTCACAATTTAACAAGCTGGACGAAAAAATAATAAATACTTTTCCGTGAGTTAAACCCAAACCTGCATTTGTTATAGGAAATCTCATTGCATTGTCGGAGTCGACAAGGTATAGACGTGAGATTCCTCAAATTGCATTGCACACGCACACGCACGCACAACACAGAAAATGAGAGAAACTGCTTCCTCAACCATGAATACATCAAAGTCGTTCACCAAGGTAATGAATTCTGCACGCTCAAGACAATTGACTGAACGGGTGCACGACATCATGCATATATGTAAACTAGATGAAACACAAAGCTTCGCAGGTTCATCTTCAACAGTAGGTAAGACCTAGGACAGACGAAAAACCGGGCCTAACTCGAGGGTCTATCTAAACGCCAAGCATCCCGAATTGCAAGAGCCAGAGTAACTTGGACAGAATATACAGCGATCATCCCATTCCCGTGAACAAATCTGCGCAAAACTAGTTCATCAAATCCAAACAAACTAGTCAAACTAGCGTATGATCTTCAGTAAAAATCAGTTCCTTCACAAAAAGCAAACCGAACACCCAACTCTGCAAGATTAGGCTCCGACCTAGCTATGACGCCGCGAGCCGCAAAAGCTAAGCATCAGCATTAGCATGGCAGGCAAGTTATGCTATATGTAGGAGAGAGAGAGAGAGAGATCTGCGGCACCAATCAGCATCATCCGCTCATGCCAAAGTCTTCCGCATGATGATACAGACCGTAGGCTCCTGGTACTTCCATCTTCCCACCCAGATGCTCGTTTCCTGCAAGACCAACTAGGAACTTATCAGAAATTAGCAACTCCAATTGCGCTTAGGCAAATTTGGCTTTCTGCCAAGGAACATTTGCAATTCATTTACCATCATCGATACTATTTTCCAAATCCAAGATCGGAAACCCAGTATAATCATTACATAGATAGCAGGGAACAGCCAAATTTCTGTGTTGAATGGAAAAGCTTGGGAGGGTCAATTGAACACTTCTGTGTTGTCGAGTTGATCAATTATTAACTTCACCTAGAACTGTTCATACCAATTTCTGAATCTCTCTAACAGGATAATCAGCAAATGCATGGATATACAAACACTTCTCTGCCGATATTATCGCTAAAAATCTCCTAATCTGTTGTGTTTCACATAGATAGCATCCAAAAGCACGTCTGGAAACAATAGACTCTAAGTTATCAAATCAGATTACACATTACTAACCTAGATGACTCCCCTTAATAATGAGGTGTATATCTGAGTATGTACCTGCATTTGACAACATGGCATCATAGAAAGATAGCTGGCCCAGGTTCCTACTCCTGGATCTTAAACTGCCGTCTGAAGAAAACATGCTCTCCACTTTGGTCTGTGAATCAGCAAAATGAAGATCTGAGCTAATCTCAGGGCTTTGGAAGCACATATCTTCGTTCCTTGATACTGGATTCTGCTGAGATTGAAAGATCTCTGGTTTTGTCTTCATCTCCTTTGGTGACTCAACTTCTGCTTCAGCTTCAGATTCAGTATTGTTGCCAGCTGTATTCTGTAGTTTCCTTTTCGATCGTGCACGCCGGTTCTGGAACCAGTTATAGACATTTGTTTCTGAAATTTGTCCATGTTGGCTCAGTTCGGTAGTAATCTCTTTGATCTTCTGTTTGCTTGGAGTACCATTTCCTTCATTGAAGATGCGCTCAAGAATTTGAAGTTGTATAGGAGTTGGAGTCCATCGCTGCCTGGCAGTTATTTTGTGACCAGCAGTTGTCATCAGGGGGTCACAATACAAATTTCCCAGCCTAACTCCTGATGGAACCAGTAAAACGTCAGCTTAAAAGCTACATTCAGCTTCGTAAAACTGATGTTTTTACAATGATGCAAGAAAGTTAGGAATATCAAGTGCAGAAGTGCTAAAGCCTCCAATATGCATTCAAAAAGAAAGAAGAACACAAAAATTTCTAGGGTCATCTAACAAAAATAGGCAGCTATTACACGGCTAAAACAGTAGATTACATATCAGACAGCAGGGAGAGAGAGAACTGTAGCCTTCAGAAATATAGTGGTATAATTCGCGTTCACCAACACATAATGTAGTATGTGCTTTACCGGAATTAACATATCTCATAAACCTCCTCTCTATGGAGAAAAAGGCTCCTAGACATCATAATTATGAAGCCACACTAAGGAAAACAAAATCCCCAGAGAAAGAAAGAGAGTCACAGAAGATTTAAGCATATGCTTTTGAGTTCATCAATTTGTAATGTAGCATGTGCTTTTACACAAGGACGGATTAAAAGTTATACGAGCATCAGTATTTCTCATACACCCTATGGACAGAAATGCTTCCAGACATTATCATGGTTATGAAGCCACAGACCGATTTGGACTGACAAAAGCAAAAATCCCACAGAGAGAGAGAGAGAGAGAAGGACTCTAAATATTCTGTTTCCTGTCAGTAATTCCAGATGTCAGTTAGTTTTCCAGTACGGAAAAGTCAGAACCCGATGGTACATAATTCATCCTCCAAATGGAAAACGTCAATCCTCATCTATCAAACTGAAATCAAACTCAGAGCACACAAAAAGAATCTTACTACCAACTATCCAATTCAGTAGCCAACAAAGAGTGAGATCCTCGTCAGAACCCAAAAGTTACTAAGGAACAGCCACTGGGCATGTTCCTCCCGAATCAAGAATTCCATTTCGAGTGATCAACGGGTCTAAAAAATGACACTTTTACATTCCAACAGCCAGCAATTTCTTAAAGAAGACGCACCACGTCTGAACGTGAATTTGACATGAGACACCGAAAGTGTACAGAAATGACACATCGAAGTACGAGAGTTGAGTGAATAGGAGGAGTAATTACATCAGAACCACTCTCGAACGAAGAAGTAAAAGAACAAACAAAATAGAGTTAGCTGATCAGACACGAATGCGCCGCTTGCTTCCAATATCACAAAACTCTCTGCAAAAATGGAGAAACTCCGCTACCAAACGACAACATAGCTATATAGCTATAAGGAGGACAAATTCGTGACCGACAATTCAGGAGTGCACATGCCAAACTCCTCCCTATCTTAACAAAATCTGCACGGACACGCCCGTTCATGAATGTCCGACCAATTGCAGCTCCAGCCGTTCGAGCAGACACGGGAAGTGCGCAGGCAATTGGCAGGAATGCCGACACAGATCTCAGCAAAATAACTCATACGATGCAAGTCCCCGTAATTCAACCTAAATAGTACAACGACGAACCAAACTGCACCCGATCAGCAACCTCTAATCGTCCTATCCCGAAGCAAACAACGGCGAGAGGGCCGCCACCATTTCCGCGAGCGACCGACAGAGAGAGAGAGAGAGAGAGAGAGAGAGAGAGAGAGAGAGAAACAGAGAGAGAGAGAAGGGGGGAGAGGACCTGCGAGATCCTGCTGAGCGGTGAGGTTCTTGTGCATCTCGACGAGCTGCTCGCAGATGGAGGCGTAGACGGCGATCTGCTTCCGGAGCGTCTCCAGCTGCTCGTCCGTCATCACCTTCACGTACAGCACCCCGTTCCCGCCCGCCGCCCCGTTACCGATGCCCTCGCCGCCCCCCTGCTGCTGCTGCTGCTGCTGAGCCTCCTTCGCCTGCTGCGGCGGCTGCTGGTGCTGGTGCTGCTGCTGCTGCTGCTGGTGATGCTGGTGGTGGTGGTGGTGGTGGTGGTGGTGTTCCTGCTTCTCCCATTCCATCACGGCCTCCTTCTCATGGCACGCGCAGGGGTGTGGAGGAATGCGCCGAGCGTGCGGCGGTTGTTGAGGAGGAGGAGGAGGAGGGGGAGGAGGAGGAGGAGAGCGTACTTTTTGCAGTGATCAGTGAACAAGAAGAAGAAGAAGACAACGACGACGGAGGAGGAGGAAGGAGAGAGAGAGAGAGAGACGGAGAGACAGAGACAAGGGAAAAAGGGAAGAGGCGTGGAGCAAAAGTCTTTAAAGAGTGTTGGTTGGGACTGGGGCCCCCATGTGCGCGCACGTTAGCGAGGGCCGCGCGCGTTGTTTTGGCTCTCTGTCGTTCGATTCCCTCGGCGGGCGACACGTGTCCCTCCTCGGGGGGGGAGGTGTTTCCACCTTCTATTTTAAGAAGATCCCCGTGATTCCTTCCCCGCGCCCCGTTTCATTCCCCCTAAAGTCATATAAACTTATTTCCCATAAATAAATTCCACCGAATTTGGAAAACAAGAAACATTTCGGGAAAATAACACGAGTGATCAATTGTGTTCACTAAATTTTTAATTTGTTCAATGCGGTTCCTGAACTTTAACTTTAACGTGCAACTTCCGTCCCCGGATTTTTTAATTTGTTCCATGTGATTCTCGGGCTTTTTGTACATATTCAATTCACTTCTTCGACCATAGTGAAACGTTCCATGCTGTCCCCGGACTTGAATTAATGGAGAGACGACAATGAACATCGAACATATCGAACAAATTAAAAGTTCAGGGATCACATTTCACATTGAACTAAAATTCACAATTAAAAATTTATAGAACACATTATATACCGTGCCAAAGTTGAAAATACCGACTTTCTCATCAGCAGAAAATACCTCGATGCAAAATCGTTCTCTCTTCCTCGTCTACCCTTCTTTCCTAATTAATGAAAAGGTTCGAGATTTTTTAATGTGCGCAAAGAAAAAGGGATTATGTAAAATCCCCCGGGGGGACATAAAGAGAGAGTCGGTGGAGATCGCGAGACGGTGGTGCTCCCTTTTGAATATCGAGAGGGACGCCGCTAATTGATGCGATATTTGCGCCCCACGAATGTCTTTTCCCACCGTGAAATCGGAAAATCCGAGGTGGGGGGGGGGTAACATGGTCGTGTCTTTTTTGTCCTATTATACCATTGCCCCTCGCTCTCGATAAGAGAAATTCGTGGGACCCGTTTTTTCTTCCTTCTTTTTGTCGTTACGTGTACCTTCTTCCACGGCTTAGCTGACCCTGACCGTATCGTATTTAGCGCGAGTCGCCGCCGTCGCCGTCGCCAAAAAATGTTATTATACGTAGCGGGAGGGTATACATTCACGGGAAAATTCCAAATGAGGGCATGATAGGAACCTGAACTGTTTTCATTTTTTTTAAATAGGGATATGAAGTAAGCTTGTGTTTGAATAAAAACATGAAGTGGCATCGTTTTCTCAAATAAGAAAAACGAAATAAACCTTATTTTAAATAAGGATATGAAGAGCCTGATCTCACAGCCGAAGGACATTTTCGTCCTTTGCTTTTTTGAATTTTTTCCCTTTTTTTCTTTCTTTCTTTTCTTTTTTCTGTTTTTTCTTTTCCTTTTCTTTTTTTCTTTTTTCTTTTTCCCTCTTTCCTCCACCAGCCATTGCAAAGCCTCGACGATGGCCGGCAGACTCGGGGGAGGGCGACTCTCGCCGGCGTCGAGCGAGGGTCACCCTTGTCTGATGCTGGTGAGGGTCCCTCGTCCGTCCAGGCGAGGGCGACCCTCGCTCGACACCGACGAGGGCAGCCCTTGTCCGGTTGCCTTCGCCGAATCTGACGAGGAATGCCCTTGCCTGAGGCTGGCAAGGGCAACCTTCGCCTGAGGCTAGCAGGTTATCAATGAGGCGCGACAATAGCGGGGGAGGGAAAAAGAAAAAAGAAAAGGAAAAGAAAAAGAAAGTAAAAAATAGTTAAAATTTTTTGATTGAAATATCCCTTCTCCAATGGCAAGAATAATTACATGTTAGCCGGCTAGCCAAAAGTCCTTATTTGAGACAATTTGGCAATTTCCGGCCCTTATTTGAAATAAAGTCCACTTCATGCCTTTTTATTTGAAAAAATTATAGCACCTTAGGCTTTTATTTGAAATTTTCCTTTTTATTTACCTATGGGAAAGACTATATTATCCAGCACGTATCGTAACTTCCATATGGCGCTGACTTCGATACTATGATTTTTATCCCAATCACTTGAATGCCACTTTTGTAAAAAAATCGATCTCTTAAGTGCTATCGGCTTTTACCACCAAAAAAAGAAAAACAAGGGGTTATTGGCGATTTGTGTGGCTGTGAAATCCGACGTGTTTTAAATTTATCATATAACCAACAAGCGAGTGTGTAAACGACGTCATTTGGCCAATAATTTGCTCCAAATTAACGAATTCGGCAAGCGATTAATTTTTCATCGATGTGGCCTTCCAGTGATTGAGAAAAATTGTGGAAAGCAGCGCCGTATGGAATTTATGATATTCGTGGTGTGATTTATCCTTATGGATGATTAGTGTACTTTGGTGCGGGTTACTAGACTTCAATTTTGCTCATCAAGTGCACTCAACTTTGATTTACTTGCGAAGGATGTACATTGACTGTTTCCTGATCAATGCCGGATGAACTATGGACACGACCTGTGTTAAGGCATAAATATGCCACATAGGAAGAGACTCTTTAAACCGATGCAATGTGTTCATTTGGCACCACACCGACCCGCTAATTTGAAGAGCCGCCGTCAAGCGGAAGGAGACAGCTGAGCGGTTGCAGGAAGGAGACTTTAAGCCGAGGTCGCATCGACCATGCGGTTGCAACCGAAAAATGCAAGAGCGACCTTCATCAAAAGCCTCGACCGGCCGTTAGAGATATTTAGATGCGATTAATTCCCCTCGATTTTCCATATCTTTTATGATGATGCGCAGACGTACTCATCGTCATCATTATGATACCTCCAAAAATACATCGAAATATACAGATATCCTATAATTAATTTCTCTCTTCCGTATCATTCTTATCTCAATCAAATAAGAAAAAGTTACGAACCACCACCACGATGAATTCCTTAGCTATCACTCCATACAATTCGCAATTTGCAGTCATTTACAAGGCTCTCTTCATCTTTAACCCTAAGTAGCTTCATCAATATGCAAATCGGCATCGATTCCACAGCACCATCGAGTCAATCTCTCTCTCTCTCTCTCTTTCTGTGATCTTGGTGGGTCCAATCAAATTTGTCTTTTTGACACCCTTTTGTAAGGTGGAAGTCATGATGGGGTTTTCCTCCTTGGATGCTACCCTGTTCAACAGGGCACAAGATTTGGCCTCTAATGCATAATCAATGCCGATATGGACACGCATCTCTCCAATCTCCCACTCAAAGAAATTTGCTTCGTTCGACCGAAAAGAAAAAGTTCTTGAAGACTATCAAGGAGAGAGATTCCTCTTGGTGGGCCTGTGCCATACCCACCACAACCTTTGAGAACATTTTAGTTTGGAAGATCTTCTTAAAGTTTGTGATGGTTTGGTACTAGGGCAAGACGAGGTAGTTGAAATCGCATAAAAGGGTGTGTTTGTTTCGTAAAAAATGAATAATTTGGAAAATATTTCCCTCAAAATGATCGCTCGTATCGTTTACAAGAACGAACGAACGAACGAAAAAAATTTCCACCGTTCGCAAAACTATTGACATGTAAATTGTTGTGAAAAATGAAAATATTTTTCATTGGCTAATTATTTCAAATTAATTAAGTGATCATTTTTAGGAAAATATTTTTCGGATAATTCATTTTTCACCAAATAAATAGAAACCTTAGTAAATTGAGCACTTTTCTAATTTCGCAAAAAAGAAATTTTCATGGTAAGAATTAGGATATGTTCATTTTATGGAAAATAAATGGCTTGAAAAACATTTTCCAAAAAATGATCGTTTGTATCGCTTACGAAAATAAATGAATGAAAAATGTTTTTATCGTCTACGAAAATCTTTATATATAAATTGCTGCCGATGATGAAAATATTTTTCATTTACTAACTACTTCAAATAATATAAACGATCATTTTCAGGAAAATAATTTTCAAACCATTCATATTTCGCAAAACAGATAGAACCTTAGTCTAAGCAGCATCTTTAGCCTATGAATCACAAAGAAAAAAAATGGCCGATTTGTTTAAAAGATTGGAGCATAAGCATGCTCCGGATATTAAATCTCATATAACCGTACTATTTCCAAAATATCAGGGCTTCTCTAATCACGGGTCCCTTCCCCCTCACTCTACTTCGATACCTGTAAAATTTCGTAGGGTCATTATCAACTGTCCTAAAAGCTCAAACTATTAGATGAAGGCATGGTTTATTATTTTAAATTCCGACAGTGATATGTCGGTGAATTTGGTAGATACTGAGAACGCATCATGACACAAGCCATCAATTGGTCGTGATCGGATCACATAGAACAAATTTTATGATTATTTTATTTATTATTAATTCTTACAAAAAATAAAAAAGAAGAAAAAAAATTAATAATCAACGGCCACAAATATCGAACGGGCGCACCGAAAAGGAAATCTGCCCTATGCTTGCAAGTCCATTGAGTTGGTGACATAATTATAAGGTTTGAAGACTTTAAGAGGTTTGTATATACCTAACTAAAGTTAACACCAAACTTTGTCCTTATCTTCGTTTATAATCAAAGTTAGAACCAATCTAGCAACCACATTTTGGATCCGGCGCGAGATTCCTTGATTCTGAAATTAGTCATCCAATTTAGGCCGATATGCCGAAATTGGCCCAACTTTTTCTTTTTTTTTGGGTACTTCAAGCATTGGGTATGATGATTAATCGCCCGGCGGCGGCGGCGGCGGCGTCTGAGCGCTAGTGCTAGAACCTCAGGAGTGCGATGCTTGCCTTCCTAATAGATCTCTGAAGGCAGGAATTGGGATTCGCTCCGAGTGCCTAACCTGACCTGAGCTGGTCTAGAGCTAGTGCCCCTCTCTTGATGAGGTCGATCGTTATTGAATGGTCATGTTGCTCTTTGAAAGGGATCGGTGCACGAAATGGCAAACACGGTGCTCCGACGATCTCAAATGCCGCACGGGGTGTCCTGGTGCACGGCTTACGCCCATAAACTAAATATTTAGAGTAACTATTATGAGTGTATCTTTGTAAGGATCAAAGCTCTCGAGTTTTTATTTTACTCTAAACTCTATATCGGCCAGGTCAGCGTTTGCCACCAAGGTGGGCTGGCCCAGTGGTGAAACGGTCACCTGTTTTGCACGAGGTCACAAGTTCGATTCATATGGCGAGCCAACTTCTCAACAGTCGGTGCCGAGAGATCCGTCAGTGTTCTTCTTCTGCTAATAACAATTTATCCAACTGAATCTCCATAAAGACCAAAACTACCATCTCAACTCAGCCATATTCACATTAAGATAGGTAATGTCTTCAAGCAAGTCATGGAAGTAGAGAACTCCCACTGCCTCGCAGGACCTTAGCTTGAACTCCATTCATTCTTTCATTCTCAATCTTTATATGTCAAACGGATGGGTCGGGTCTCGGGTCATAAATGGTCCGACCCAAATTGATTGCCCAAAGGATTAGAACTCCATCCATCCTGCACTTGGTTAAAAAGATCAATCTAGGTCGAATCGAAAGCGATAGAAAAAGATGGGTAAATACAGGACAAGATTAGAGCTTCTAAGTTCTATCCTTTGAGAAACTGTATTTCGCAATCACTTCTGAGTTACTAACCCATGTCGAGAATTACCATTCTACTGACTTTTCAACACAAGATTGTAGACGAAACGCAATAGCTGAAATGCAGAGAGTTTCTAGCTCGACAATCGCTTTCACCGTGATATTTCGAAACTCAAAAGAGTTTCCCACAATCGCTCCCAACTGCGATCATTTCTTCAATATCCAACCCAAGTTCTGGAATATGATCTCTATAGCTCCTTGTAAAATCGATAATTATGCGAGAGGATGGAGCATAGTCCAACAATTTCTCAAGTCAGTCACGCAAGAATTCAGGCCAGTGAGGTTCATGCCCACATACCATCAAGGATATCGTTTACCTGTCGTTTAGACAAAGCTGCTTGGTTGCATAATGACCACTAACTTCTACAATGTCATGGTATATCGACATCTAGAAACTTTCCATGTGACTACAATAAATGTAGATCGTTTTGTACTTTCCATCAGGGATCGACGTCTAACAAAGTAACTGCTCAAAAACTACGTGTTCTGGGAAGAAAACAAAATCCCAACATTCATAGACTAACTCAACTGATTGTCAGATTTCTTGTGGATTACCTTATACAGCACAAACACACCGCTTTTTCAATGATGAGACGAAAATCGAACCAGTTCGAGACTAATGGACAATTGTCATTTGTCAGCACGACGCAAGGCAAGTTGATATTCCAAACGAGGGTTGAAACCCCAAACTTGTGCTTACCCTATTGCTTGGGGAGTAAGTCGAGTAGCTTGGAATATATCTGTTCTCTAACAGCATCTCTGTTACTGGTGCTCAGAGTGAGAACTTCCGCTCCCGGATGATTCCTCAACCGCGCAACTGCAGAGTCACATTGTTAACTAACAGAGCCCGAAGAGTAACATTTTAACTTTAACAGGTAATTTTCGTTCTGCTCAAGATTTTCAGGCATCAATTTCCTCTAAAAAGACTTTATTCTTATTATATGTCTGTATAATTTCTCTCCCACATTATGATGCCCTAATTGCCAGTCTACCGCTGTGAAGGTACTGTTCTCAAAAGTCTTATTATCCGACAAAAATTGGAATGCTACGGCGGCAACTTATGAGTAGCATCTGCCTATAGAAAACATACCTCCGGGTATATCGCGACCGTTTTTTGGAATGGGAATGGATGCCAAAAGCAGGACATTGGACTGGAGAACCTTCAGGACAGCTGGGAAAAATGATGAGCTGTATAGCTCCATCTTACCAACTTCATCAATGATGAAGAGATCGGTATCTTCCTTGACCTGATGATATTGTCATTCAAGCTTCAATCAACAGCGCCCTTCTAGAATGTTGAACAATAGCTACAAAATATGAGCAACAGAAGTATGTGGCAAAACCGAGGATTCTAGAGGATCAATCAATACTAGGTAGTCCTAATCGAGCCAGGCCTGGGAATTGCCATTAATTAACATGAACAGTATATTAAACTTTGGACACAACAAGTAGGACATCAGTTCACAAAGATGACCAGATGATTGAAAAAAAACAACAACAATCAAATTGACAGGCCTCAACAAGTTTTGAATAATTGATGCAGAGATTGCCTAGTATGAAACTCATTACTTTTTCTACCTTGATGTCAAGGATGCAAACTCAATGCACACATATACATCTGCTTGTTGAATAAAATGGATTAGGTGATTCGCAAAATCAAGCGAGATAAGTCAACCATATCAGGGACTTAAAACATCAAAGATCAGGAAACACATGTTCATATCACAATTACAACATATGAAACACCCACCTGCAACACGGGTAAAGCAAGTGACTCGAACGAAGCTATATCTACTTTGTACCTCCCAACGGTTGGCCATCTGAGAGAATCTGAGCTGCCACCGCAAAAGATGCATTAGCAGAGAGCGAACACTAACTAAGCCTTAACAAGCAGCAAGGGAAGCAAAGATGAACGGTGATGTTTAGCACCTATAGAGTGGAATGCTCCACAGGGTAAGCAATAGCACTTAATTTTTTTGCCAGAGACCATTCAGCAATTCAACGCTTTCACTAAAATAACCAGCCTCTTGAAGAAAGAAAACAGCATACATCTGTTAAGTCAGTATTTGCATTTCTTCAATCTCCTCAGTCTCTCGCATTCAAACAAACACGTCTGTCAAATCAAACACTTCTCACAATGGCTTCGTGCTGTCATTACTAGTAGGGGGCTTTGCACCAGCGATCATTCGATGCAAAGTGCATAGCCTTACAGGATCACGCATTCCGGCGACAACTAAGCCTAAAAAAATTCGATCCGATCAAGGGCAAGACGAGATTGGATACGCAATCGGTTCATTCAAGCTGCAGAATTTAACAAACCACTGTTCTCTTCGAAGATCACAGCAATACAGCAACAGCAACGTGCAGAAACCGAGCACCCTTTCACCGAGTTTCCGCATCGAATTCTACGCAAGAACTTGATAAATCACGGGCTCAAAGATCATATCCCGCAGCTATCCACTATGATCTATCTGCCCCGCCACGACATCGAACCTTCTATAACTCTACACGACTTCATTTTCATAGCAGGCACAGAGCAGGCACAGAGAGAGAGAGAGAGAGAGAGAGAGAGAGAGAGAGAGAGAGAGAGAGTGTACGTGGAAATGGTGGAAGAGGCGAGGGGACCAGTACGGCCATCCAAGGTCACCACCTCGAAGCCAACTCTGTCTCCTCCTTGTCTTATCTCACCTGCATCAGCCACCAATTCGATCACAAGTCTTCACTGCAACTGGAACAAGGAAGAGACAGAGAAAGAGAGAGAGCGCGCGCATACGGGTATAGAAACCCTGGACTTTCAAACCAGGGTTCGAGGCTCTGAGCGACTCGAAGACTCTCGTTATCAGCGTCGTCTTCCCCACGCCCTGCGACGACGAAGAAGAAAAGAAGTTCCCATTGAAGTGCTCGCGAGATGACAGAGAGTATCAGAGACGAGCTCGCTCGAGAGAGAGAGAGAGAGAGAGTAGAAAGGGAGCTTACAGGAGGACCTGTGACCAGCAAGCACTTCCCAGGAGCCGCCATTGCCGCCCTCCCTCCCTCCCTCTCCCTCTCTCTCTTTTGTGTGAGCCCCGCGAGGAAGAAAGCCCACAATGACCGCTCCATGAGCCCATGTCTAGGCCCGACCCGGCGGCCCACGAGCCCGGCGGTCGACGGTCAGCGGAGATTCAGAGCTCCCTCGCCGCTCCGGTTCGTCTCGTCCATCGCCATCGCCCGTCCCCCCTCCGCGCGCGCTCTCTCTCTCTCTCCTTCCCTCCCTCCCTCCATCTCGGCGGTTCGGTTTCACGCGCCGCCGCCGCCGCCATGGCCGACCTCCCGCCCTACCCTCCGATCGAGCCGTCCAGCTTCGACCTCGTTATCGTCGGCACCGGCCTCCCGGAGTCGATGCTCGCCGCCGCCGCCTCCGCCGCCGGCAAGTCCGTCCTACACCTCGACCCCAACCCCTTCTACGGCTCCCACTTCGCTTCCCTCTCCCCGGATGACCTCGCCGGCTTCCTCGGCCCCCGTCCTCCCTCTCCGGACCCTGCCGCCGCGTCCGGAGGCGGCGATCTCGCCGCCGCGAGGATCGACGTCCGATCGCTCTACTCCGACGTGGAGATTTCCTCCTTTGCGCCCGAGAAGCTCGAGCAGCACTCGCGGAAGTTCAATTTGGACCTGGCGGGACCACGGGTGTTGTTCTGCGCCGACAAGGCCATCGATGCGATATTGAGATCGGGTGCTAATCAGTACGTGGAGTTCAAGTCGATCGATGCGAGCCTCTTCTACGATAAGGGTGGGAATCTGGTGAATGTGCCGGATTCTCGTGCCGCCATCTTTAAAGATAAGAGCTTGAGCTTGGTGGAGAAGAATGTGCTGATGAGGTTCTTCAAGCTTGTTCAGCAGCATTTTAGTGGAGATGGTGAGAGTGATAGGATTGCAGAGGAGGACTTGGCGAGTCCCTTTGTCGAATTTTTGGCGAAAATGCGATTGCCGGAGAAGATCAAATTGTGAGCTCATGCCTTTCGAGCTTCGTCATTTACGGCTATATTCATTTTAATGAGATTTGATGGCTTATTTGGACATTGTCCAATGTGTGAAGTTGAAATTTTTTTGTAATGCTCAAGTTTAGCTAGAATTGATGAAGCTTGTCATTTGGTGTTTAGGGTTATTCTTTATGCGATAGCTATGGCCGACTATGATCAGGAAGATAAGGAGGCGTGTAAAGTTGTGATCAGTACAAAAGAAGGAATCGAGCGATTAGCGCTCTATCACTCATCAGTGGGCAGGTTCATTCTTGTTCTCTTGTCTCATTCTCAACCTGTATTACTGGTTTGTACTGATGAGCAGCATGGCAATACTTCCCGAGTGATTTCTCTGGCTTGCATACGCATGGAAACAATTATAGTTTTTTTTCGAAAGCTTAAATAGGATTCAGAGATAGGAAGGTAAGGAGTCTATCTGGCCTGCTGCTAATGATGACCTTTAAACTAGACAGACTGGTAGAGTGCTTAATGAAGGTGAAGTTTCTGAGAACCAGAATATGAAAGGAACATATATTGAGCTGCTGACAGCAAGTTCCCTTAATCAGCCAGAACTCGTATAAACTGTTTCGTTGGTTGGGAAGTAATGAAAGCTAGATAGACTGGTCGTTATGTGTGAAAAATGGTGAATGCTCTTTTGATATAACAACTGGAAGATTGAGACATAATAGTTCTGTAGTGTTGAATGAGCATATCATAACTCTGTCGGACATCATTTATTTAGTTTACAGATCATGGCATTGTTAAGATGCTAACGTCATGATTGGGATTTTAGCAGCACTACTCTGATGGTTTTACTGGTTTCATTATAGATTTGCAAATGCTGTTGGGGCTTTGATATACCCAATCTATGGTCAAGGGGAGCTTGCACAGGCATTTTGCCGACGTGCTGCTGTTAAAGGTTGCATCTATGTAAGTCCAGTAACAGGTCCATGAATCTTCGTTTTGCTTTATGGCATCACTGGTTGCTGATGCTGTTGACCTTGCATGCTTTGCAATCTTTAGTCTCTGTTTTGTGTTGTTAGTTTTTTTTTGCTTTATCTTGGTCCAGAGATCAGGCCTTAACATTCTATCGATATTTGGAATCAAAGAAAAGCACAGAGGAAAGTCATATGATTAGAGGATGAGATACTTGGAGTGATGTATAAAAAGCTTGTTTATGAATAGGCGTTTGTTGTACATCTTTACATAGATGGCAGAAGGGAAAAAACTGATCAGGAGAATCAACAGTGAGGATGATACCTAGATATATGTTGACAACCTTGGTTAGCAGCTAGTTATCCCCTTCAAGATGTAGCCTGTCACAGCTATCTTGCTAAAATTACTGTACAGCGTATAAATTCAAATGTAATTTGCAACAGAAAGTTAACATGTTGTGAAAATCATTTGACTGTCTTTACCTGCAAAAACCAGGGAAACGACTCCTTCATCCTGCAGAATGACCAGACAATGCATGTATGAGCAAATTGACAGGATGAAAAAAATGCAGTGAACATTTTTGAAATCTGAAACTGCAAGACATATGGCTTTGTGGTTTTAATTGTTATCAGGCCTTCAGTTTTATATATTTGTTCAGAGATAAATTGCAGGAATGAGGTTTGTTTAGAAATATTTAAGATAGTACAATCAACAGTCAATGGTTTTATTGGTTTTAAGGAAGAAGAAAGTCACCTATGCGTCTGTTCTACTACAAACCTTAACATCCTACCTGTGAAATTGATTTTGAAGTTTGGAATATTATTCATATTCATGCTCGGGTTACATTAGAATTCATATGCAAGTAATTGGCTCAAAATGGCACTACGCACTGTATGGTGTGTTGTACTTGGTCTTCTATAGAATGTGATGACAATGTTCATTCTCTACACGTGAAGAACTGAGTCTAAAGCTGAATGTTAGCTGATAAAAAAGGAAAACTTTGGTTTGCTGATTGTTGCATTTCCTGGTCTTAAACTTATTTGTACAGGTTTTGAGAATGCCAGTGATTGCCTTGCATATGGATAAGGTACATAGTTATGACATTCTTTTTCGGTATCTGTTTGTCTGTTTATAGGAGTCCCATTTGTGTTATTGCTTGGAAGTTCTGCAGGAGAGTGGACAGTACAGGGGTGTTAGATTAGGTTCTGGTCAGGACATTTTCAGTCATAAGCTGGTATTGGATCCATCATTTACAGTTCCATCGTCGATAGGCTCACTACCACAGATGTCTCTTATGGAAAACGTACAAGTTAAAGCAAAGGTGGCCAGGGGAATATGCATTCTGACGTCTTCTCTGAGACCAGATGTATCAAACTTTTTGATTGTGTATCCTCCAAAATGTAAGACTGCTCATTGGTTTCCTCTGTATGTCCTTAAGGTGGATGAGCTTAGTTATTCACTGCTTTCTGGGTTTTGCTTGACCTCTAGCTTTGTATCCGGAGCAAGTCACATCAGTTCGAGTTGTGCAGATTGGTGGTAATTTAGCCGTTTGTCCCTCTGGCATGTAAGTCTGTCTTTGTTCTTCAAATCACACTACCTGCTTCAAGAATATAGCCTAAAATTTGCTGATCTATAGATAAGACTCCTATTTCAGTGCTTTGCAAGTTTTACACATGCTATTTCATTTACTTTTTCCCATGGAATGAATTTTAGTTGCTGGTTATCAAGTGATGTGATTGGATAGGTGATAGGTCTCTTCTTCTTTGAAGTATTAATTTACTTTGCATAATAGGTTTAAAGTGACAAAATTCTGTTTTTAATTGCTTTATAATAGCTTAACAAAAGAAAAAAAACAAAGAACTGAGAAATAATGTATATTCGAAGTGGGAAAGAAGGTGTTTTGTGTGGTTATCTTGGAATAGGATGTAGAGTGTGCCTCCATGATGTTGCTATCCTGATCTAAAGTATATAGAAAAACTTGGGGTACATGAAGGTTTGTATTTATACATTTCTTGAGTTCTACGAAGGATTTATTTTTTATTGTAGTTGAATCCTTTATGGATCTTGTTAACGAGTGCGCCGGGGCACTCGTGGCACTTGTAAAGCATTCTTAATCAGGAAAAGTTCAATTTTCAAAGTAGTGATTACACATTGTATGAGAAGAACAGGGCATTGAAATTGCACTTCGTAATCTAATTACTGAACAAGTGCCCCGGCGGCTCTCTTTAACAAAGTCCTCCCTATATTGCTTGGTCAGGAATGCCCTGACTCCTGACTTGGACAGAGATTTCACCTCTTTTGATGTTTGTATGGCTACAAGAATATATTAACAAGGTAGATTTTGTTCAGAAAACAATGAGATTTAGGTTTTATCATGCCAAAGTGGAACAGATTACAGTTTGCAAGAAAGCGACATATTTCCTTTTCAAGAATATCTTATTGAGTTTATATATAATTGTCTCCAATCAGGTTCGTGCTATATCTTTCAGCTTTGTGTGATGAGGCCGGTCAGGGGAAGAAAACACTGCATCAAGCCATAAATGCTCTAATCAGTCCTGACGATTCTGGGATTTCTGAAAGCACCCCTGGTTCTACAGTACAAACAGAGGATGCTAGAGCAGATCCACTTCTTCTTTGGAGGGCATTGTATATCCAAGAACTGACGGCGGTTTGGTTCTTGACCTTTCATATTTGGAGCTACTCATGTCTTATTACTGCTTTAGTTTGACCTATGTCTGTTAAGAAGTGTGTGTTCTCCGTATGTTGCCAACCCAAATCCCCCTTCAAACGAGTATTTTTGGGGAGAAACAAGATAAGGTCAAGCACCCAGGGCTTAGAAAAACATTTTATTGCCACATGTGGGATTGTAAACTTTTAAATTAGGAAATTTGTCAAATACTGTTGTATCTGCATGAGAAGTATTACGAACATGTCTTGGGAAAATAGTATTAAAGGCAATTAAATCTGAAAATTTCAGTGGATGCAAAAAAAAAGAGTTTTTTTACGGAAGAAATTATTCAAATAATGGACTCTCGGTTTAGGAGTTTGTGGTTGGCCAACTCCAAAGGCACCAATCTCAGATAAAAGCTCATGCTTTGCATGTCAATTGGCAGAGGAAGGTTCC